CAATAAGGTGGTCAATGTCACGCGGAATACTGCTGCTACCTAAAGTATTATGTTTTAATCGATCTTATTTCAGCCGGATCTTGATAATTATAGCTTATCACTAGCATAATAGTCACTGCGAGGCAATGAGTTTAATGTTATGTGTGATTTTCTAATTTTAAATTACATTCTATTACCAATATAATTAAGTTCAAATTATTAGTTACTCTAATAAATTGTTTTATTATTTTTATAGGCTGGCTAAATTAGGTTAGGTTATGGTTCATAACTTTCTAAAACTATAGTATTTTTCAATTTATTTATGTAGATGGTTTACTAATGCAATGCAGCTAAATGGCGCCAATTTGATTGTTATAAACGTGGCTGTCAAGAGGTTTTTTTTTATAATAAATAAATGACACATCTCACACTGTCGTTTTATTAAAAAAAAAAGAAATTTATAAACTAGAAATTTATATTTATCCTGAGTCGTGAGGAAGTTTACAAATACACATGAAACGAACACAAAGAACATCCAGACTCAGAACAACAATTTTATTTGTGGATCTCACTAATTGTTGTCAAATATGGATTGTCCCATAGCCAAAGGTCGTGGATTTGACTCCCATCCAAGACTAATATTGTGTGATGAGCATTAATTTGTTATGTCTTTTTGCTCCGTATTCGCTCAAGCAGTAATTTAATTAACTAAAAATATAGTCTATCCATATTGCATTGTGTGCTGACGGATTAAGAATACGGAATGTCACAACCCCTATTCATCCCGTGGGTGTCGTAAGCGCCGACTAAGGGACTAAACTACAAGACAACAGCACTACAAAGAGAAGGAAAACTTGAAACAAACCCTATACCAACCCGTCTGGCCAGCGTGGTATAGTAGGCCAAAACCTCCTTTATAAGGAGAGGCCTATGTCCAGCAGTGGACAATTATAGGCACACAGTGGATTATGATTGATATTGCATTGGTTCCGAAGCATGACTCTCCGACAGTGCTTAAACTTACTACTATACTACAATATTTCACGGTCACGTTATATAATTGACCGACATAACGTAGGATCATCAAAGCAGGTTGTCTTTTTATGTACTAATAAAGGTAGGTAAAAGTATACACACTTTGCTAGGCGTTCGCCGTGTACGCTATACAACACATACCTCGGCTGGTGTGGCAAAAAAGAAACCAATGCATGCTCAGGCTGAATGTTAAGGCCATGCAACGTGCGTGCTCGACTTAAAATCTATATGCGTACGCATGGCTGTCGAGACGCTTATTCGTGGAACATTTTAAAAGATATACCGTTGTCTTGCCTCGCCGCGTGTTCGTCGAATTTGATGAGTCACATACCCAGTGTGTATCCGTCTTAAGCTTAACTATTAAGATTTTAAGGGCATGCCTGACCTCGTACTAAAGCAAGCTTAAGTTATCGTACTTGACCTGCTACGGATAATAATTTTAACTTAAGACACCTCTTAGACTAGACCTTTGATCCCAAATTCGGCAGACTGCTGTTAAACATACTTAAATATATACATATAGTAGATAAATTACACTCAGACACAGCTCGGGTTTATGACAAAACTATGTCCTGGTTGGGTATCGAAGAATCGTTCTCTAGTTTAGCGGTCAGGACCAATAAACATAGGAATTATTGCTACTTTTAAATCATATTCATTTGATGAAGTGATTGGTTTTAGTCACAGCGATCTCACATGTGATTGTAATTTCGTCATAAGAATAATTAAGTAGCAGTGGTTTTTAAATCAGTCTCAGGTATGATGATATGATTTATAAATCCTATAATTTATCACATGCAATCGTGATTTTATTCCATCCCGACTAACCAATACTCATTCATATATTTTTAAATAGAAATTACCCCCAAGCTACATTACCTGCCAATAAAGCTATAGGTATCTATTGAAGTAAACTGATTTGTCAAAATTCTAATAAAGTATCAAAGAACTATATTTATAACAATACAACCAACTAAAACACTTAAAATATTTAATTTTAATTATTTGCTAGAGATTTCACGCCTATTTCTTGTCTTTTTTAAACGGTTTACTAGCAACCGAAATTACTAATATTCCCGTTAAGCCCTCCAGCTAAGCTTGTAAATTTATTTTTGTGAAATAATCTGTTTACAACACACACATTTAGCTGGTACTATTAATAAACACATGAACAAGAAATTAAAATGAGAAGAACTACCATTCTATACAATAAAGTCAATTATGATTTAATTTCAATTTAGAACATACAGAAACACCCCCGTAAACATCGACACAACACACAATGGCACACAACTAGAAACTGTAGATACATTCAAATTACTTGGTATAACTATAGACACACACATCAACTGGAAAGCACACATCGAACATACAAAAAATAAACTGTCTCGATTTACATATGCTCTATTCCAACTTAAATGCAGCACAAACGAAAAAACCGCACTGTCAGCATACTACGCATACGCATACTCCTGGTTACGATACGGCATTATGTTGTGGGGAAACAGTGTACACTTTCAGGATTTATTTATATTACAAAAGAAATGTATTAGAATTATCGGACAAATTGGAAATCGTGATAGTTGTAGGCCCTTCTTCATTAAATATAACATCCTCACACTACCATCATTATACATATTTGACATCTGCATATTTGTATCCAAGAACATGAGTCACTTCGCGAGAGTAAAAGACAATCACAATTTAAACACACGCCACAGAGACAGACTATACCTACCACCATCAAGAATTAAAATGCTACACCAGAGCCCTTACTACATGGCTGTAAAAATATACAACAAATTACCTATCCACATAAAAAATGAAACGAAGACTACACTATTCATTAAAAAACTAAAAGCATTCTTAATTACAAAATGTTTCTATTCTGTTAAAGAATACATTGAGGAAAAAAACACTTAACAAACTACATTTCTTATTACACGGAAAACAGAAAGCATATACCTAAGTACAAATCATAAAAAGAAAAATCGGTCGTGATGCACGGAAATGCTAGGGACAGTAGGAAAATGTGTATGTGTATTGGTGATGTAGAATGTCGGGTGCCTTCGTATTTTTGCATGCTTTGTTCGATTGTTATACTGTACTATTGAGTCACTTAATTTGTATTGTTCAAAAAATGCTTGTACTTGTGTAACAATTTATTCTTCTGCGTTCTCTCTCAAATTTTTGCAATGCCTGGAAAAGGCTTCTAAGTTGGGACTACTACATATAATATTATAAGATCATTGATGTACACTTGGTTGGCAAATAAAGATTTGATTTGATTTGATTTGATTTGATGATAATAAAAATAAAAGGTTTTGATAAAATAGCATGACAGATCAATGAATCGACCATTTACTATTACGTAAGTACCTACAACGTACGATCAATAAATGTGTAGTACCTAGCGCTTGAAGTTAACCTATTGACGAGAAAAGGTACTAAAAGGTTATGCAACAAACCGCGCACTTCTGTCATATCTGGGGTCAAATGACGTTCATTCTAACCATGGTGTTTTATTAAATCTTTTTAAGCTGAAGTTAATTACCTACGTCTAATTTCACCAAGAAGTTTTTCACACATTCTTCATTTATGTCGCGACGTTCTGTGTTTTCATCATCTAGAAACGAATTTCCTTATAATTAAATTTTATAAAAACGTTTTTATTCTTGAGGTAGTCGTATTACTTGTATAATTTAAAGACAGTTATTATAGATTCAAATATCCTTGACCTTTGGTCGTATAGTACAGAGTGGTTACATAATCACCCGAATTAAACAGTCGCTTACGTAAAAACGACAATTCCAAGCTACAATACAGGCCTCAATTGCAATGAAATTCAAAAATAAAACATCGAGACTCAATAGTTAGTTTTTTTTTTTGGTTGACTATGACGTCACGAACACCTAGATTGATGACGTCACTGTTACTAACTAGGTATCTACTAGGAGTGTTTCAATAACAAGTATATTCTGAATGAAATCACATTAATTTCATACTTAGGTACCTGTCAATATTTGAAGATATAACAACATGAATATCAATGGGAGGAGGGTGGAGAGCATCATATCTATTTTTGAAATTTTTTTGTGCAAGTTGAATTAAATTTGTTAACTGCAGGATGTAAATGTTTTTGAAATAAAAAGGCAGTAGGTTGTATTTTTTAGGTTTAATTGTCTATAATAATCTCTAAGCATGAGTTTTTCTTACAAAAAATCCATACCGAGCATAGATGTTTACAGGTATGATTCCTGAGAAGTAGTAACAGGGCTAAATGGTAATGTTACCTAATGATCTTGTAAGATCTTGTTGAAACTACTTTGAACAACACTAACAGTGAACTAAAATTAAAACCTTAATGGGTCACCATGCACACACCTTAGAACAAACACTGCAATGTTACATAACAGCTTTCAATCACATGATTCTGAATTCCACAGCCTTTTTGCATCGTGTTACACCTGTGCATATCACTCTTATTACCAAGAACAAGGTCTCACTCCCATGTGACATTCTAAGTATTGATTAAATGATCAATTCAAAGCCAAAATTTCCACTTTAAAATCACCTAATAGAAGTATTTCCAACTTTTAATATTTAATTTAGTTAACATCAATCATATAAACCTTGGCCTCATAGATAGTGAAAATGAGGTTGTTACATAACACTGGCTGAACAAGTGATCACTAGTACAATACATGACAAATGACAAGTTCCAATTTCAAATAAAAAAATAAAATTAAGAGGTAATTGGTTATGCAATCAATTCAGTTGCTAGGTAAAAATAATTACATAACAAATTTTTACAATAAAACAATTTATGTTGGAATTGGTGTATAACGCTTTTATTTTACTAAAATAAGTTACTAGTTTTATTCCGCGTCTAATAATACATGATTTTAAGGGAGGTGGCTAACTGTGGTGATTTGGAATCACAATTAGTTGTAGTAGTAATTATGGTAACAATTCTTACATTAGATTTAGAGGAGCTTCTTGATCTCGTCATACAACACAAGTACGAAGGCACCACCAGTACCTCTGAGTACGTTGGAGAAGGCTCCCTTGAAGAAGGCACCGCCACCTTCCGTCTTGGCGATGGTGGCCCAGCAGTGAAGTGTGCCCTTGTACAACATATCGCCCTTAGCGCGGCCAGACTGCATCATCATGCGCCTACGGACAGTGTCGAAGGGATAGGAGATGATACCAGCAACTGTTGTGACGGTCTGTGCAATGGCCCAGCTGATGACAATTGGTGTGTTCTTGGCGTCAGGCAACATGCCTCTTGCTGTGTCGTAGAATCCGAAGTATGCTGCACGGTAGATAATGATACCTTGTACGGATACTCCAAAACCTCTGTAGAGACCAGTCAGACCGTCGCTCTTGAAGATTTTGGTCAAGCAGTTGCCGAGACCGCTGAATTCACGCTGGCCTTCTCCTTTGCCGACATCGGCGGCGAGACGGGTACGAGCGAAGTCGAGCGGGTACACGAAGCATAGGGAGGTAGCACCGGCGGCACCACCGGAGGCGAGGTTACCGGCGAAGTAGCGCCAGAACTGGGTGTGCTTGTCAACTCCACCGAGGAACACCTGCTTGTACTTGTCCTTGAAGGCAAAGTTAAGCGCCTGGGTGGGGAAGTAACGGATGACGTTGGCTAAGTTACCACGCCAGAAGGACAGGAAACCTTGCTCCCTAGGAATGCGGACGAAGGCATCGACGATACCCTTGTAGCGCTGGTCAACGGCGATCTGTTTGCTGACGTGCTGTACCTGGAGCAGCAGCTTGACGCGCTCGATGGGCGCGACGGCCGTCTTGGAGACAGCGGCGGAGACACCGCCAGCGATGAAATCTTTCGCGAACGCGACCGGATCAGCGAGGTTCGACATTTTGTTCGATTGGGTGGGTCTTCACTTGGTAATTACCTCGCGGGTTTCGAGGTGGATTCTACACACACGGAATGGAATTAATCACGAAAAACGAACCCCTGATTTTATGTAATCAGGAGATTTAGAGTTATTTCGTGATCACGGGAGCACAGGGGTAGGTGTGTGCCGTTTTTGAAATTCGATCGATCACGTTCTCTCACAGGTCTGCCCAGAGGATCGGCGCAAAAGAAGGAAGGAAGGGGCAGGTGTTGCCAACATTACGATAAAACACCACGAGGTCAGGGTGGCCACGACAATGTCCACAATTTACACTGGTTTCTAAATATAAAACGGTTGCCAAGTAACTCATAGTTGAATCCAACCATATAATATTTGAATAAAAAATTATAGACTATTTAAAAAATTTACAAATAAATGCAATCTGACTAGGAAAAAAGTATATTGTAACAATTATCAAACCAAACATGTTTAAAACCACACTAAAGTTTTGATTCTAGTACTCGTATACAATTTTGTAACCCGCAGAAACATTTTATGTTCTTCTATTGTTATAGTCTTTTCGAAAACTAATTGAATCATTACCCATTTTTTTTAAATATTAACAAAATTCGAGGTAAAATATTTTAGGATGGAAATACCCAAGTTACGTACGCACTTTGCGTTTAATTATTACTTCTTACATTATTTTAAATTTATTTTAAAGTAATGTCCACGGCTCGGATTGCACTTCCTTGTAACATAATTGAGACATTTTCATAACAAACAATATAATGTGGTCATTAATACCAATGTTATTTATTAATATTGAAATGTTTTAGAAATCTTCCTAGGAAAGCAGACACAAAACGTTATCAGGATAGCCAACCTTCTTTTTCCATGACATTGTATAGCATGATAGATGACATTTTGTAAATAATCTGTGGACTGTGCTGCTTGCATCTGTGCTGCTCGGTGAGTAACTAGCGAGGTGGTAAAGTTTATATTTTGTTTATTTGTAATAACTTACGATAAATTGTTAACAGCGCCATGCAAATTGGACGAATGGGGTCTCCATCGGTAATTGAGGATGATGCAGGTGCGGGTCACGCTTTGAGCGATTTCCTACTTCAACTTGAAAACTATAATCCTTCAATACCAGACTCCGTTGTTGCTCATTACTTGAACATGTCTGGTTTCGAGTCACAGGATCCCAGGTAATTGAAGAGACCTGATTATAATAATAGTAGTAACTAGAGACAACTCACACGTGGCCTTCTGATCTTAAACTAGGGAGAGCCCATACTTTTCTACATACATATAATAGACAATTTACTTAGAAGAATTGAACGTGCTCATCACACAATGTGTCCTGGGTGGGAATCGAATCCAGAACCTCTGAATTAGCAGTCAGGATCGCTGACCATTACAGTAGACCAACAAGCCAGTCTGTTTATATTATCTGTATAATATTATCTATTATTGTCTGCTACATTTAGTATTATAGAATATTTTATCAACCAAAATATCATTTATCTTTGTTATTATTACCAAATCACAGTAGTAATTTATCACAAGTGAAATTGCAGTGGCTAAAACCAACCACTTCATTATATGATTATGATTTAGAAGTAGCAATAACTTCTATCACTAAATCTGATTGTAACAGATGGGTTGTGAACTTTTCTTTACATAATTAATTACATATAAATTAATAATAATATTTTCACACATCTCGCACGCGGCCGCTTGATCCAAACTAGGCAGAGCCTGTACTATGGTAACCAGAGTGCTGATAAACATATTAATATATTTTAATAGTACACTGTTTGACTGTTGCCTTGTAACTGGTCAATTGTACCATTTATCTGGACTTATGTTCCATTACATTTTCAATAATATTTTTTACACTTAATTTCAAGCAGCAGGTTCTTAATTTCACTGTATTTTATTTTTGTATTTCCTATCTTAGATCTTCGTAATTTAAAAACCGATTTGGAAAAAATATTTTTATTCAAATGTTAGTAATGCCCGTTTTGGTCTCATTGAAGGTTACCAGGTTAAATACCTTTTTTGACGAATTAGAAAATGAAAAAGTGAAGTTCAGTTTTATTCTACTGTACACAATATTGTAGATGCATTGAAGTCACACTTTTCTCATAGATATTTGTTACTTTGGTAACAAACACTTGCTATAGACGTTAAAAACAAAAATGCAATCATAAGTCAAGATTACCAAGCAGACAGTGTACGTTCTTCACAAAATACTAATTTAAAATCTAAAACATTTCAGGTTGATTCGTCTCATCGCACTAGCATCTCAAAAATTCCTGTCCGATATAGCCAATGATGCACTCCAGCACTGCAAAATGCGAACTTCTAGTCAGATGACGCAGAGTTCTAAAAACCAGAAGGGGCCTAAGGAAAAGAAATATGTGATGACTATGGAAGATCTGGCTCCGGCGTTGCAGGAGTATGGCATTGTGGCACGGAAGCCTCATTACTTTGTGTGAAGCATCATACAACACACACCAATAAGTGCTGGTTTTGTTATAATATTCTAAGAGACATTGAATCTTATTTTCTTCTAGTTGATAATTTGTCAAGCCATTTCTTCATCTACATATTGTGGAGTTTTAAAAAATATATCTTAACAGTACTTGTTCATTTTGTGTAACTTGCATTGTAGTTTACGTATAAAACGTTTTGTTTTAAATAATGATATCTAAATTGGAAATTAAAGGAAACGGAAAAAAAAAATACTAAGCAATGTTGAAAACTGTAGTAGAAATATGTAATGGTATGTTTATACACTTGGCAAGTGTCCACAAACGCAAGCGTGTAAATGGGGTGCTGGGCTTGGCTTGCATTAGCTTGTTGTGTTTAGTGTCACTGATTATATTTTGAATAAAAACATGTTAAGTCATAGCCGAAACAACAACTGGTATGTTTGCCTGTCAAAAAGCATCCAAGTATTTGTGAAGGCTTGGACCTTGTGGATGTTTGCCAACGTGTAAACCAGGTATAAAAGCTTGGAAAAGTGCTAGAGTTCGGGAAAATTCTAGAAAAGTAGTTAATAAGCTATATAAAGAAGGAAACTTGTAAAAATAATAACTAACATATTTTTATCATGTTAGTAAGGATATGTAACTAGCAATATAGGCATCAGGGGAGTTTATAGATATGTCCTGGATCGTAGATGGGATTAATTGAAAACCGATAAAACACAGGCTGCCTTTTTTGCTTAAGCCAGGGGAATAGACTATATAACATTTGAAGCACTAAGAAATATAATAAACCTATTGACCGTTACTGAAACATAATTATTTAAGTATTTATATTGAGGATGCAGTATACTTTTGTCACGTATACGCAACAGTGGCGTTCAGAAGGTAATAAATTTTGACATGTCCCATCAGATTTACCTACTGTGATCATATTGTGCTTTAGACTGACTACAAACGGAGCCCAGAAGGTGAAATCTCGTTATAAAAATTCCGATTACGATCCTTTACTACAAGAATACCTTTTGTGAGATCGAGAGTAGAACAGCACTGAATTTTATTACGAGAATTGACCTTCTGAACTTACATGTATGAGTTCTCATCTTTATACATATTTAAAGCTTTATATAATAGCATTATCAATAATGAATTGTATACTATAAATAAGTTTGTATATCAAAAATGTTTTGTATGTCAAAAATGGAAGTAAAATGTACTATGCTCCATATATGATTGTAGACACATACATTGGCAGTAAAGAGGAAATGAGTAAGATGTATATGTTTTGTCCCTTTCACATTTGGTCCTATTGACAGAGTTGAACTACATCTGGTATGCCGTCGCGGTCGCATATGTATGCTGCAAAATGCGGCTGCACGTGGCAGCATGCCGACACTTTTTTATGACATCTGTTTTACTCGTAGAATAGTTTTAAGTTCGAAAGGATTTTAATTAAATACTTATATTTAAAAAAATGTCCTCCACTCTAGTGAATGCGACGAAGACACAAAGGGCGGCAAAACACATATCTTTGACATGACATTTGTGAGATCAAAAGTGGATCGGAACTGAATTTTGAACGAATTTTATTTCGAGAATTTACCTTCATGACAGCTTGCGAATCTCTGCAATCCAATACATAACAGGACCAAAATATACTTGCTTACAATAAAGCTGTGTATACACCTAGCATTTTCATTTTGTCTTCACTGCCAAAACAACACAATGTAATTAAGTTAATAAATTAATTGTTTTTATATACGTGATATTCATTTAACAATAGTCAGACATTATCATAGGAGAGTCACGCTTCGGTACAAAAGGGGGGTCTGACCGGAGTCAGAAAATCGGTGTTAAGCATTTCTGTCGTTAATTTCCACCGAGTGAGTGAGTTTACCTTAAACCTCGCAAGAGACCAAAGTAACTCCTACTAATTCTGAGGGAGTGAACTCAAAAGGCGACAACGCACTTGTGCCTCCAGGTGTCTATGGGTGATGGTAGTCATTTACCGTCAGTGACCCGTCTGCTCGTTTGTCTCCTACGCCATAAAAACCGAAGTTCCGTTCGCTTTTTGGTAGACGTTTGCTAGTGTCGAAAAAAAGTCTTGTAACACATTTTTCGGTCTCGTACCCATACGCGCGATAAGGAACTTCGTTCTAAAAAAGTAGTTTTAATAAAATACCTGCACTTAATCGTAGTAAATACATTTAAAAACTGTCGTAAAACAATAAAACCGGCGTGAGGGGTCTATGGACCCCCGGTTTGAAAGTTCGCGTTTTGGTAGACGTTTGCTATACAGTCATGATTTAAATTATAAAATATCAAGTTAATGAGTTAAATTAATTTTATTTAAAATGTATAAAAAAATAAAAATTAAACACTGAATGATCTGGGGATTATGTCGGGAAAAATCCTTGACACACATTTTTCAGTCACGCTCCCATCTGCTCAGAACTAGAAACGCGCGAAAAATATTCGTGAGTGGTAAGAACCTAACTTCCTTCGTCACCTTCGTCACGGGTTGAAATGACATGTCTACACACACTTGAATATTTATCAAGCTGCTGGTATCTTGTTAAAACTATTTTACTGGTTTATTCCCAGTAGTTAGATATAGCCAGTTCCACATGGAACTTTTGCAACCCACTTGTGGGAATAGGTATTCGAACCTGCAAATTATACTCAATAGTTCCATGAAGTTGCATTTAATTAGCTTGTTGTATTATGATTGATAAGAATTTATTAGACATAAACCATTTCCTTATTTCTTGTGCTACAAAAAAAAAACCAGAAGAATAGTTTCATCTAAAATTCATATCCACAGCAGCAAGAATGCGAACTTTTCATACAAACTCCAAATACTTGCTGGCCAGTTCCTTTGAGTGATAAAATTTGGGTACCCTATATGCTACACAGGACTACGGTTATCCTAAATCCAAAGTTTCATTCAAATTAGTTTTTACGTGAATCGCACAAAACTGACACACAAATAGACATAGACAAGAATTTAAAAAATCACATTTCGCCATCCATTACATCTATGACCCCCCTGTGCTATTTTTTTTATTTATTTGTCATGTAGGTACAATATCACCTCTCTTACAGTTTTATTACATGTGTAGATAGATAGTAATTTCTTTTTCTAACGTTCAGTAGTTTGCCCAGACTTGCTTTTGTTATTTTGAATAAAAAAAGTTTGAAAATAAAATAATTTTAATTTAATTAATATCTGCTGTAAAAGTAGCATAAAATTACATAGAACAAATGGTACATAAATCGCATTTTTAAGGTTACATCAGTACCATGTGGAACTAGCTATGTAGAACTACTGGGAATTAACCAATTTATTTATATTTTTTTTTTAATAATGCCTCTTATATTAATACTTTAGCCATATTTAAATAAAACTCCACTACAATAAATAGTTTTTTATTATTCATACTGACAATACTATAATATAATATAAGATTGAGATATTATATCTTATTTCCTATTGTTAAGAAACGAATTAAGAATACAGTGTCACCATCCGCATTCATACTGTGGATGTTATTAAAACATAAAAGTGTAGATGAGGCAAGTAGGCACAGAATCATTAGTAGTTTTGTTTCACAGAAATCAATCAAAATAGTGACTATGTTATTGCTTTTATATAAGAGTGCAAATTTTAAATATTTATATTTAATCCCTATGTATTTGATGAATTAAAATATTAGATACATCCGCCATTATGACGCCAGAATAGCAGGAGTATCTTGATTTTATTTTCGTTTCAATAGAGGTAAAAAAAATTAAGTATATGTACAATTTAGTATAGTTTATGTATAATTAGGGTTCCGTACCTCAAAAGGTAAAAAAGGAACCCTTATAAGATCACTTTCTTGTCCGTGTGTCACCACCGATTTTCTCAGGAACGGGTAGACCTAGCAAGTTGAAATTTATACCCTATTAGGTGTATAAAAATCAAGGTCCTGAGTCAACACGATAAAATGATATGGGCAAATTTCGATTTTCGCGAAAACTTGTAAGTACCAAAATTTACCTTAATTTTCAACTTTTTTTATTTTTTGGAATTATTCCTATATTTGTTCTGTTGGTACTTACAAATTTCGCGAAAATCTACGTAAAATCTGGGTAAGTACGGAACCCTCGGCGCACGAGTTCAACTCGTACCTGACTGGTTTTTCTTTTTCTGTACTATATGAGATTGGATTTGTTATCGTACACCCGCTATTTTGACTCCCACCATCCATAGACTGATCTGGCTAGGATTGCTTAACTTTGCAATATGCTAACTCAGTTACCACTTAGCCACGAGCAACTAGTATAGTTTTATTACTATTTTTTGTCAATATTAACCGGGGCCAAAGGGCAAAGTGTCAGCCTCCGACCTATTCAAACCACGTGGTATTCCGGATAAGACCGCAAACATGGCCGCCTGTAAAAGTCGCCAGTCGATCTCAATATGGTATGTAGGACTACCCCTTAAATTCAGAAATATGGCACTCGAAACGTCATCCCGGGCCTGCTTTGGCCAGGCCTACCTATCCGCACACACGGGGGTCGTCTACCCGCCGTAGATGACCCGAGGTACGTCGGGGCACCAGGGATTTTCTTTCTGGGGTACACCTGGTTCCCCGACTACTGGTACCTGAGACGGTGTGCGGTTTTAGTCGGTTCTAGTCCGACATTGCCACCGGTATGTGGTATACGAGGGGATTTCCGCACAGAAAAAAAACAAAAGGCCTTCCTATCCGTTGTTCTCTCGGCTATAGCTAAATTGACATCTGCGTATAATGATAAAAAAAACTGCTTATTGACAACATAGATTGTTTATTACAAAACATTTCCTTGGTTATAAACATCATTAATAACTAATTATACTAACTATAATATGAGAAATTATACAAGTATCGCCATTGACACATACCTATATATAAAAAAAACGTAACACGTAATTTTATTCTTATATAGGTATGTGTCATAAATAGTGACATTATTACTTGTAACTTCTTATTTCGTGTTCCTGATTGAAAATTAGGGACTTCCATACGTCTAAGGTATACCTGGCTCCCCGGCTATTAGTACCCGAGACGGCGTGCGGTTTTAGTCGGTTCGAGTCCGACATGCCACCGACAGGTGGTATCCGAGGGGATTTCCGCACGGACAAAAAAAAAAAAAAGGGACTTCCATACAATCGTTCATCCATTATTTAATCTCCCTAGGGGTGAAATTACCAAAAATCTTTTCTTACTCACAACATCTTTTCTCACATTTCAAGTTTGAAGACTCAGTGGTTTAGGCTCTGCGTTCAAGAATCAGTCAGTCAGGGTAAATAAAAGGTTAACATAATAATAAAGACTGTACTACTGACTTTCTGTCTGTCTGTCCGTTTTCCACAAACTAGTGACTAGTATTTCTGAGCTCTGCGTTCAATCCACTACTGCAGATAAATTTTATTTCCAACTCTTCCAATTAATTTCGTTGCGGGTTCCAAGACAGTTTAATTTTTTCCTGGACTGCCCGAGTGGCATAACTCGGTGTGTTTATGGCTCACTGCTGTTGAATCCGACACATATTGCCCAGAAACCAGAGTTTGTACCAGTGTACCTTTCATTTTTACGCGGCGAATGCTTTTCGCAGCATACCCTCTGTTGGGAATACGCAGGACATGTGTGGGGCTGCCAGAGAATCAGTCTACCCACTAAACCCCGCGGAAGGCTACCTCGGCAGTCGGGAGGAGCTCCAGGAACGCATCACGGGTCACGGGGCGGGACGCTGCTGCGCCTCGCATTGCTCTACACATTAAGAAGCGCAACAGCGCCCTGCCTTGGACGACACCCCCAACGCCTTAGCCGTAACGGAGTATCACCTGTGTCGGGTCGTTTGCAGCGGTCACATGGCACCAAGATGTAGCCGCCGCGACCCTTAGGCATCGATTAGGGAGCAACAAAAGTATTCAAAACACTCAATTAAGCGTTCCTTTAATTTTAAGGCTATAAATTTATGTATGTACGTATTATTTTATTATTGACGATTAAAACGTACTCCGTATACAGAAAAAACTTATCGGGGACGTGTCCTGAGGTAGGTCCTTATTAAAATTTACGATGAGATACTTACAACTATTAGTTAACTGTATTTAGTAAATCTAAAAAATCCATAACATCCTGTTCAAAAAGGGCGGCTTTATCGCATCGAAATAGTCTCTCACCCGGAATAATCAGGTTCAAGCTTACGTAAGAAACGATAATTTCTTGGAATCTGATTAATCAGGGTGCGGGGCTTAATGGATGCGACACTATTTTCTTAACCCGAATGGACATTATGCCACCTGTTGGTAAGTAACTGCACGCCGCTCTGGACACCTGCAAGTCAAAGAGACAAGAGCGCCTGTCCGGACCTTTGAGTATCTCAAAGAGGAGAAGAGGAGGTTAGGCCCAATGATTTAATCCTCTACTTTAGTATAAATCGCCTTCAAATGCTCACTCAAAGGAGTTGTATCAGTTTCCATAAACAATTCACATTGCAACGTTTGAGGTGACAGTAACTTTATGATTCGCTTAAATTTTTTTACTGCAGGGGCTTTGGCAAAGGACATCCTAGCTACGCTAACAGTTTCTAGAACAATTTCTTTTGTTTCTTCACAACAATGACCTTCCTCTAGTGATGTTAAACCGAAATTGTGACTGACGACCAATGCCAGTTCATTGGTACCAGGCTTGATGCGTAAGAAACCTCTCTCTTGATGCATGGGAGTCTGGTTTTCTGGATGTTTCGACATTGAAGTGAAGTTGAACATTGGTTGGCCTGAAAATAAGAAAAAAAGATTTTAGTTACAATAAACCTGGTAAAATAAAATGGTAACCAAGTAGTTTAACACCTGATGGGTGACCATTCTTAACCTCTGACCCCTCCGTGCCTCGGAGAGCACGTTAAGCCACTCGGTCTCAGTTGACATACGAACATCTGTGTCAATCGTTAAGGGTAGTTAAGGGTTGGAGCCCTAAAAGTCCTACAAGTTTGTTTACAGCACTACCATATTGTATAGTACTTGGGTTGTGGAGGTTTGTTGGTAGTTGCTCCGCATAGGAAATCTAAGTTAAGCCATTTCATAGTAAACTTAAAGCCAACCTTAACCAAGTTAGGTGAAAAGAGGGCTTGGAAGACGAAGAATTATCCTTCAATAAAGTGACACCGAGTTCATTGGCGTCCTATACACGGTGTAAGTCCTATACACATAATTCTGAGTCGAAAATCATTGTAATTTTCTGCCGGAAAATTATCTTTACATAACATTATTTGTTTTTTATTAAATTGTTTTCAGTAAAATGTTCTGTCTACTCATTGTGATATTATTTTTAACCAGAAAAATGGAAAATAAAAAAAAACATTGATGAATTTTCCCATAATCATGGTCTGAATACACTGTTTCAGTATTCAGTACCATGTTCCTTACACCTTACACTATAGTGAGAACACGGGGTACAGCTGCTTGTAAGTGGCAGCGGTACAGCGATACAACCCGATGGTTCCCTCTGCCCTATTTAACTAAGCTACAATAGGCTATTTATTAACCCCTCATATTCCAAAGCCAACCACAGAGCTCAGCTAGAAAGAGATAGAGGGAACTATCTATTGTCCATCTCACTCATTGCCTATATTGCAAGATTGGGGCTCTTGTTCAGTATGTATGATGACAGATATACTTATTTTCAATGTTTCCAGAATGTCAATAAATGTTTTTCATTATTGTTTGTAAATATCTTATACCTGGCAGCTGGTTACACATTGAATTGTCATTTGATAAAACAATGAATTCTTAAATAAGAGACATTGTTTACATAATAAAAGAAACATAATTTTCAACTACCTTAAACACAATTATTTTACATTTTTAATTTTATGCGACATTTATTACTCTTAATAATTATAACTTGTATTTTTCAAAAAACTACTTAAAATCAATTGGTAAAATCCGTGAGGTGACAGATTAAGAATTGAGAGTGTCACCATCCCTATTCACCCCGTAAGTGTCGTAAGAGCCGACTAAGGGGAAAAACTACACAGAACAACAGCACTGCAGAGAGAAAGAAAACTTGACACAAACCCTATACCAACCCGTCTGGCCAGCGTGGTATAGTAGGCCATAACCTCCTTTTTAAGGAGAGGCTTATGTCCAGGAGTGGACTGTTAAAGGCTGTTGATGATCATGTGAAATTTATGTAAACTAACGGTCGTCCAGTGGTCGACATTCAACCATAGTTCATTTAATTCTAAGTTTGAACTTCTTCTCCATATATATATTTTTTTTAAAAAACATCTCTCCATTAGGAATATATCCTGTGTCTCAGAGGACTTTACAAACACGCATGAAACAGACACAAAGAAAACCCAGATTCAGAACAGCAATTTGTGGATCACACAAAGTGTCGTCCCATGTGGGGATGGGACCCACAACACTCAACGTAGTAGTAAGCGCCGTTGCGACCGCTGAAACCACTACGCCATCAGTGCAGTCAATAGTGTCTTGCACGTTCATCCGTTCGCGCAATTTTCTTAAAAAGGGGTGCAAAAGGGTTCACGTATTAATATATACATAAATAAAAAAAGTCTTACCAATGCACAAGAACTCCAATTCGTCGTGAAAGCGAAAACTGGGTAAGTTAGGATACATTCCATGACCGTCTTTGGTAGACCAACGACCGGAGAGCCATGATATCGGTTTGAGAGCTTCGGGGAGAGACATTCTTTTTAAATATGAACGTTCGGCTTATACTCAGCACAGATGGCCGAATGAAATGAATATTTGAAAATGAAATTACGATTAATGAGAGAACCCAAAACTGAAAGTCAACTGTCAATAGTGTTAATGTCAAGTGACAGTGACAACTATAAAAATATAGTAATATCGATTAGTGCAGTCTTGAGTGGCAGATTTGATGTCAAGTAGTTTTAATTAGAAATACATGGTTTAAAGCTTCATTTTATCGAATTTAAACTAAATTAACTACATTAAAGATAATTAACTTAACATTATTTTGACATTTCAGTTGAAAGGTAATTATCGTGTAATATAATAGTGATAAATAATATTATTAAAAAGAACATTGAGAATGCTTTTGTTTTTTTTCAATTAGGTATTGAAATATATAATTTTATCAATTAATATTAAGCCTCATTAACGTTAGTATTATTATATCACACATCACATCAATAGCCCATAATAGTCCACTGCTGGACTTAAGCCTCTCCTTAGGAAGGAGGTTTTGGCCTACTATACCACGCTGGCCTGACGGGTTGGTATAGGGTTTACACACTCCCCCGTCGATGGAATCCCTGGCCGGAGACGACGGGGAGCACGGGGAGGATAATGTTCCGCCCGTCCGGGATTCGGAGGTAGGGGCGGCTGTTCTACTGATCCGTTCCAAGAACACCGCCCCTGGGCCAGACGGGGTACCGGCCCGAGTGCTGGCCCTGGCCCTCAACCACATGGCAGACCGCCTCGGGGAGGTGTTCGACGCTAGCTTGGCGTCGGGACGCTTCCCTGAGTGCTGGAAGAGCGGGAAGCTGGTCCTATTGAGGAAGCCGGGACGGCCTGCCGATTCGGTCGCGGCCTATAGGCCCATCGTGCTGCTGGACGAGGCGGGCAAATTGTTTGAGAGGGTTCTTTCTGCCCGCATCGTCCGGCACCTCTGCGAGGTGGGCCCCGATCTGTCGGACGCCCAATTTGGTTTTCGGGCGGGGCGTTCGACAGTCGACGCCGTGTTGCGCCTGAGGGCCGTGACCGAAGAGGCCGTGAGCTGTGCCGGGTGCTGTTGGCGGTGTCATTGGACATCGCCAACGCATTCAATAGTCTGCCATTCAGCTGCATCAGGGAAGCACTCCACTATCATGGGGTGCCAAAGTACCTGAGGCGGCTAGTGGCAGACTATTTAGAGGAGCGTACCGTCGTGTACGAGGACCGAGAAGGTAATCTGAGGTGTCGGCCCATGTCGTGCGGTGTTCCACAGGGGTCTGTTCTTGGACCCCTCTTGTGGAACATAGGGTACGACTGGGCCCTTCGCGCCGATTTCCCCCCCGGGCTGGGTGTAATCTGTTACGCAGACGACACCCTGGTGACAGCCCGGGGGGCAACTTTCCGCCTGGCCACAGGGGGAGTCTCCCTGGTGGTCGGGCGCATTGAGGCGCTGGGCTTACGGGTGGCCCTAGATAAGACGGAGGCCCTGTTATTTCATGGGCCCCGTCGTGGTCCACCCCCTGGCGCCTCAATCGTGGTCAACTCGGTCCTCGTACCGGTTCGGGCCCAGATGAAATATCTGGGCCTGATCCTCGACGGGAGGTGGCTCTTCGACGAGCACTTCCGACAGCTTGCTCCAAAGCTGGTCGGCGCTGCGTCTGCCCTAGGGCGACTTTTGCCCAATATGGGTGGACCCAGCGTCGCGACAAGACGGCTGTACACGGGGGTTGTCCGGTCAATGGCACTGTACGGTGCACCGGTGTGGGCGGCATCTCTGACCTCCCAGAATAGGGTACGCCTCTGGCGCCCTCAGAGGGTAATGGCGGTCAGAGCCATACGCGGTTACCGCACCGTTTCGACGGAGGTGGCATGCGCGTTGGCCGGAACTCCCCCGTGGGATTTGGAGGCGGAAGTGCTCGCCGAAGTTTATCGGCGAGTGGCTGACTCCCGGGCGGAGAGCGGATTTCGCCCTCCGCCCGAGGATGTGCGCGAGTGGCGCGAAGCCGCTCGCCGAGCCACGATGGCTCGTTGGTCGTTCCGGCTGGAGACTCCACGCGCTGGCTTCGCCGCTGTGGAGGCTCTCCAGCCGGTCATCACCGAGTGGGCAGGGCGGCAGCACGGGACCTTTTCCTTCCGGCTGACGCAGGTGCTTTCCGGGCACGGTTGCTTCGGAAAGTACCTGCACTCGGTCGCTAGGAGGGAACTGAGTCCCGCCTGCCACCACTGCGACTGCAGTGAGGACTCGGCCCAGCACACGCTGGCGGTCTGCCCCGCATGGGCGGCGCAGCGCCGGGCCCTCACTGCAGTCATCGGAGTGGATCTCTCGCTACCGGCCGTAGTACGCTCCATGGCCGGTAGCGACAGTTGTTTTACCGCGGTCGCAACCTTCTGCGAGGTAGTAATCTCGCGGAAGGAGGCGGCGGAGAGGGCCCGGGAGGACGACCTCCACTCGGACCCGATCCGCCGCCGGCGAACCGGGCGGCGGAGGCCCGCCTATCAATGCCTCATGCCGCCCTGAGTGTGGCCGCGGGTGGACGGGGTGGGTTTCCCCTCCACCCGCATTAGTTTGGCCAGCCGCGAGGGGGCGGCGTCCGCGTGTGCCGGACGTCGCCTAAAGAGAGGAAAAATATACTGAGACGGAGCCCGCACCAGGAGCGGGCTGGCGCTAGGAGGGGTCCGGATGTCTTAATAACAGCTGTTCCCGGATCCCTCCTATTACAGGCGCAGAGTGGCACACCGTGTGGTTTTAGTCGGTCCGAGTCCGACACACCACCCCGCCGCAAACCCCGGAGGGGTGACGGTCCGAGGGGATTTCCACACGTAAAAAAAAAAAAAAAAGGGTTTGTGTCAAGTTTTTCTTAGTATTTTATACTTAGGTATAATAAATAAGTTTTATGTTAAAAAACAATTCCACCACAAACCTATGAAATAATACCAATATTTAAAAGTGTATAAATAAGGAAGTATAATTTTATTAACATTAATACAGAATAATCTTCAAACAGAATAAACATCTTTAAATTGATATACCAACTTCTTTATGTGAAATAAAAAAGTTACAATATCAATTTTAGACGTTTTATCATCTACTTCATATTACTGACATTCCTTCTTCTTGGCACAATGTTTATGCCTTAAATCGCATCATGTATTTACAATAGTCCGTCATGAAAATTAAATACTACTCTGGGACACTGCCAACAATAGGAAAATCCAGTTTAATTAAAATGAAAAACTACAGTCTTACGAAAATGAATAATTTCAATATAAAGTTACCAAGAGTTAAACTTTTAAAGCGTAAAGACAAGATATTAACCCCGAGAACAAGGCACGCATCATACCACAGTTCAATGTCAAATAAAACTAAAGATTTTTTGCATAAACTTATCAATAAAAAATCTCCACAAGTTGATATGACGCAATATGGATTTATTAGAGATAAAAAAATGTATCCTACGAGTACATCGATTAATCCATTAAAGGCACAATTGAATAAACTAATTGGTAAGACTTTTCTTTTGTATTTCTCTTTCTCATTGTATTAATTTTCGTTATTAGCAAGCTTTTATTCCAAACGTTAGAAAGCACTCGGTGAGCAGGAGTCATCTATAATCCTATTATCTTACAGCCTTTGCCTAGTCTAAAAAAATATCCACGCATTATCCTCTGAAATACAGTGGATTCATTTTGGGCAGCGATCACTACCTGTAACCCTGGATTTAAATTATAAAATCATAAAAAAAGCCGTATAAGTTGAAACCGCCCATCAATCAACATTACTCAGTAATTTCTATGGGGAAACAAAGTAAACACCGCTCCAACTCAGTAAGATGCCGCATTAAACATTACAATTATTATTATTACAATTGTTTATTTTCTCATAATTTTCCAGGTAGACCCACTGAGAAAATTATAATACCACGATACCGACCTCCAACAAGTAAGTATTTTTTTTTTAACTAAATGAATATCATAATGCGCCAACGCTATTCCCCCCATCAGTCCCCACGTTTGACCACATCAAGTTGTGAACAAGACTGCGTTGTTGTCAATCGAATCACTCCTCAAGATAAGTTCTAATAAAGGAGCTTAGCAAAGCTTTTTCTTTACACTTTCGTATACTCCATGGTCCGTGTGGTGACGGATTAACAATACGGAATGTCACCACCCCTATTCATCCCGTGGGTGTCGGGATGTCCCGATGTACTCGTAGGACAATAGCACTGCAAAGAGAAGGAAAACTTAAAACAAACTCTATATTAAAACGTCTGGCCAGCGTGGTATAGTAGGCCAAAACCTCCTTTCTAAGGAGAGGCTTATGTCCAGCAGTGGACTGTTATAGGATGTTGATGATACTCCATGGTCGATAGTGTCAGGCTTTGCCGTTGCCGTACAAAGAAAGGCCACCGGTCATCCGGTGGGAATATCTAAAGGTGATTTCCGAAATAAAGGTTGGCTTAACCGGTATTGCAACCGGGCGATTAAAAAGATAACAGCAAGCCAGGATGTGAGCTTTCTTTGGTTTTAAATACAATAAGCACGATAGCAGAAAATCGAGAGCCTTGGTCTTCCAATCTTCCAACTGTATGCCATAGGGCAATATGATCACTTATTTTCGTACCTAACTGTACACCTTTTTTTTTCCGTGCGGAAATCCCCTCGGATACCACCTGTCGGTGGCATGTCGGACACGAACCGACTAAAACCGCACGCCGTCTCGGGTACTAATAGCCGGGGAACCAGGTATACCCTAGAAAGGAAGTCCCTATTGCTCCGACATACCTCGGGTCGTACATTTACCTTTTTGCAAAATCTTTAAGCATATTTTGTTTAAAAGTTTAGCCTTTCTGCACATCTTTAACATATAGAAGTTAATTATTTAAAAAATATTTATGTTATACTCCCGGGTGCGATATTTATGTTATACTCCCGGGTGCGATATTTATTTCAAAATGGATACAATAAATTTTCTTAACAATTAATTACATATTTTTTTTAAATTCTAGTATTTATTCGTAAATTATAGTTGCCATATTTCTGTTAAATTTTATCTATTTATTGACATACGTATTAATAGAACTATTTTTTTTTGTTATTGAATACTAAAGATTTTGTTTCATTAACAGTTAAGAAAAGTTCATCAAAGCGAAGTTACTTAATGTCTGGTGGGTCTAACGGATCTAGGAGTATGAGCATGAGTTCAGGACCTTCTAACAGAACGTCTATGTCGATTCAAGCAAGTCCACAAAATAAACAAGCTAAGAAAAGATGGGGTTAAACCTAGTGAAATGAAGTCATTGTAACGTAACAATTTTGACTGCAGCATAAAGCAGTAAATGTGACTAATAATTGAAAAATAAAGTAATATTTGGTATTTTAAGAGATTATTTTATTGTTTATAGGTATATAGTGGGTCAGCCTGCCGATATTTTTAAAAACAACCATTTTATTTTATAATCTATCTGCCAAGTTTCATTACAAGTAAAAAGAAAACAAAAACAGTATTTTAAGCTGTATGCTATTTTACGTTTTTAACCACGCTGCTATGTTTTCTATAGGTATATACTCTAAAGCCAGCTCAGTTGAGGATGGCAGTGATACCAGCACGGCACGGGGACGGTCGCGCACGAGATTGCCGGCTTATAGCGTACAGCGCTGTAGCATGCAAACGGACTTAGTTTGAAGTTCGACGCTATGGCAGCGCTGTACGCAGATAGACGTAATACAAAAAGCAATATCCGAGTTCAGTCCGAGATTTCTAGATCCGTATTTTCACGGATTCGAATCGGACGTAGTGCGTAAACGCTCTTACACTGCCACAGTGTCGTGCAAATTCGACGCTGAGGCAGCGCTGTACGCAAACATGTTTCCTTAGACAATGGCAATTTAAGCATAGGTAACAATTTGAAATTATTAGACGCAAATCTCTGTGAGATATTATATTAATAGTTGAATATTATTCGTTCGTCGTATCGTCATTAATCATTTTATGAAAAGGAAACAAAAGAAACAAAAATCTATGGCAATTTATTCTTGACAATGCATGATTGATGTAGTCGGACGGGATAGGCACTATTTCGCATTATTTATGTTCCGAACAACAACAAACGCCAGTGATAGTCCCTGCACATTGAAAGTAATGCTGAAAAGCGGGCGGATAATGACAGTCACATCCTGCCTGTGCCTTCGTTTTATCTGGACATTTGCATTTGGAAGAAGCATTACTTTTAATACTCGTTTTGCTATCTTTGCTTCTCTTCTTTACATTTTGTTTTTGATTACTATTCTTCCTTAATAAACTCGATGTTATTATTTGATTGGCGTTTGCGGCTATGTTGCTTCCCTGCCTGCGCGTCAAACTTGGTGGATGTAGGGGCATGGTGTAGACTTTGGACGTCTCGTGAGCAGGAACATCCGAGTGATTTTTCTCTTCTGGTATACAAGCAACTGGACAACCAGCCATCGTACAGCGTGCTGGTTCCGGAGGCGGAGGTGGTATAGAAGTTGATAATCGGCCACTACCATCTGATTGTCTTTTTATATTTTGTGAGGATACATTACCTTCTACTTGCTGTTTTGGGTAATTTTTTTCCTGGCAGCATTCTGGTAGCGATCGAGTGGATAATTTTCTTTCATTCCGAGGCGGCTCTTCTGGAGGACATGTAATTCCACAGGAATGAGGTAATCCAGGGGTCGTGGGAGGTGTTCTCGATGATGGTTGGGGCGGCGATTGCTCTTCTGGAGGACGTGTAATTCCACAGGAATGAGGTTTTACAGGGGTCGTGGGAGGAATTCTGAATGATCGTTGGGACGGCGATTCCGTACTTTTTAATTTATCTGATGAAAATGTTGTCGAGCGGCTACACGTGCTGCAAGGTCCATTGAATCCAGTTGAACTTCTCGAAGTCTGGTTACCAGCGTGTACGTTTGGCGGTTCTGCGCCACATTTATCGCATTTTCCCAATTGACCTTTAGAAACGTTCACCTCTGATACTTTCGCAGGCTCTTCGTAGTCATCCAAAATTTTGACTGCCTTACAACTTTGGGAATTACAAATACCGCTGTGGCAGCTTGTACATTCCATTGAGCAATCTGAAGGTTGGTGAGACAGACATATATAGTGTCCTGCTTTAGGTTGGCTGATAGCTGGTTTACTGCAGCTATCAGCACAAGCTGAGGATTCATTATTATTGTTTTTCTTTTGAGGCATGTGGTGAAATGGCTGATGATTTTTCTTTTATAAATTAAACCGTTTTATTTGTTTCATTGTAATTTTTGTTATGACATTTTAGCACAGATTATTTTATATTCTGTCCTTTTGACAGCGAGTGGCTCTAGGTTTTTGAGATCCAGAATACTCTCTGGATTAATGACTAAAGTAAATATGCCTTTTTGTTTTAGAAAATCTATGGAAAATGTAACTAGGAAACTTTCACACTCGAAAAATCCGTATCTGTAGACTTAATGTACTGCGCTTGTTTACAAAGTCTATGAAAGAATCAGTAGCAAATAGTAGCACCAAATGAAATAAATAGACATCAGATGTCGCTACCTTAGAAGTAGGTCTGAGCTGTCAAAATCGTCAAATTGGACTAAATTTCATGTCAGTCTTTTTTCACCCAACTTCGCACTTTTTAAAAAATGGATTACGGACTAGGAAAAGTAGTAGAGTTCAAGTAGCTTTTACATGTGAAGCTATTTTTCCTTGCAGTAATAGTCTTCATCAACAGCCTTTAACAGTCCACTGCTGGGCAGCCATTTCAGTCACACGTCAATAAATATAGAGAGCCAATGAGGAAGTAAATGTATTCTTAGGTCAATGTACAGACACATTGACCTAAGAATCACATATTTAAAAAAACAATGTTGCCACCATTCAAACATCTTATTGCTACATTAATAGTTTTAATATTTACTTAATCTTGTATATCAGCGATATTTCATAATTTATTGGCTTTTGTTCGCGTCTCTTCCCGCGTTCATGTCGGTTATCGCGGCCTATGTCCTCACAACTCAAACTATCTCTATATCAAATTTCACCTAATTCGGTTAAGCAGTTATTGTACCCATTCTAACTTCCACCTCCCTCTTAACCCCAGGGAAGGAAGGATGATATGTCCTTTCTATGTCCTTTCTATGTCCTTTCTCTGGACTCAAAGTATCCCTATACCAAATTTCATCTAAATCACTCCAGCGGCTTAAGCGTGGAGAGGAACAGACAGAAAGACACTCTTTCGCAATTATAATATTAGTATGAATAGAATGGATTTACGTATTTGTCGGACTTTCATAATTTTTATACTAGGATTTCCTAGTGCTTTAGGCGTCATAGCTAAAAAGAAACACATTAGCATTTATAATATTAGTTAGACTTAAAACAATTTAAATTTTAGTAAAATTAAGTACATGCACAGATCATTATATGATATCCCTTTTAAACGAAATATGGCCCACGGAAGCTTAAACATTTGAAATATTTAATGTTACGGCTACAGGAAGCTATAAGAATCTAGGCTTTATGTTAAACTATCACGGTAGGTACATAATTCTATGACTATGAGAGGTCAAGTTATACCGGTAATTAGAACAATATATTCAAAACGACGACGACCCTTAAATAAATTATAGAGGTACGATAAAAACGGCGCCAACTCAACTTAGCTTAAATTTTGCAGAAGTTTGCACAGTTACATCTATAGAGTATTTGATCAAAGTTGAAAACGACCTGAGGCCAAAGTGCGACTTTATTTAACATGTCATCTATTGCAATCTGCAATCTTCACTAAACGCAACGCCGAACGCTTTCGCCGTTGAGGGCCTGTTAATGTGAAATAAACTCACACTTAGGCCCGGTATCCACCAAAGTAGAGAGGAGAGGAGACGAGAGGAGATTGTCAATATCGTCATAGTCGTGGAAAAGTGTCTAATCTGACATTTATTGAAGTTTACAGGGCAGCCACTTCAAATAATTAGGTTATTTTTTTGAGATAACTTTTTAATTCTAAATCTGTAATTATAAAAAATGGCATACAAGTGAAAAATAGGGTTTGTTTTAAGATGGAATAAAAATACAGACTAATAATTTTACAATTTTCTAGAAAAATTACATGCTTCATTTTAGTTTGAGCGCCTATCAAACAATCACTGAATAATTTTAAATCTAAAATACATATATTTTTTCTTGAATGTAGTAATACTCGTAATATTTAGACGATGTAGTTTCCAAATATGGTAATTTAAAATTATGATAACAAGGCCGTTATTCTTTTTCGTCTACAGCCTTAAATTATTTCTAAGTCTACAGTTTTTTTTATGTTAGGATGTATACCTAAATGTTTCTGCTCCTACAAAAGTATGTAGGTAATAGTTTTATTGCTTTTAGGTATAGGTATTTCTATTATACTTTTAGGTATGGAAATCAATACTTTATCATCAAAACTATCTCATATTTTTCAACAGATAAGTGATAAGTTATATTAAAAATGGTATCTGATACTAGCGATAACGATTCGTATATCACAAGTCTCTTGCAACTTCTGTGAGTCTATGGGAGAGTGCTACAAATGATTTCTAATGTGTATTTATTAAAATCAATCAACGTTCACTAATTACTTTGTTTGCATTCTGCCTTTAAACTTGTCACGTGAGCCAGTGAGTGTGTGTGACGGATGTGACGGATTATGAATTAAAAAAGTAATTATGAAATCAAGTAAGGAGGATTTACATTGCGTTTATTCTACGAACTTGGTTGCAATTAATAACGTAAGTATGTCACTTTTTTTATTAATTAATTTAAGAAAACATGTTAATTAGTTAAATCACTTAGTAATAATAATAAGTAATAACAATAGAAAGCGTAATTATTACGATTTCTGTGTTACTAACATTGATGGCAAACCCTCAAATTATTGAAGCCAATGAAGTCATGCAGCAAGGAAGGCTGAATGGAGCGATCACTCTTGTCTAGACAGAATTCAATAAAGCGATCTAATCAAAATGGAAAAATCATTTCCAGCGAATAGTAACATTTGACGGGTGTCCTATGAGAGACGCCTTCCTTTTACTAATTAGTAGAATATCTTCGTAGATAACCGATTTTATAATATAGTTACTGTTTGAAGTTAACACGGTTGTTGGAGCTTTTATAATGGTGTTGCGACTCCCACATACAAAGAAACAGAAACATGTTGTGTGAATGTGGTACAATATTATTTATTTATAATACAGCGATATCTAAATAAGACACACCGAACTACGGAGTAACTCCTCAATGAGAATTACTAATCCTGTATCGCGATATGAAGAATTCTCTCGCCGATTAGCATATCTATACTTCTCAACATCAAACGTAGGGCCGCGGTCCGCTAGGCATGATCACCTCGCCTGGTCGGAGGATCCTCCCTTTGTGCTGGAGGGACATGACACCTCAATCTTCCACAATGGTAAAAAATTAGGAGTATAATCATAAATTAAATTTAATTTAAATTCATAAGTGTTGATGTGTTTAATATGTGTGTGGCGACTTCCACGTCCAACGAAAAACATACTTTAATGCCATCTAGCGAAGACACGCCGAAATATGAAGTAACTACAAATTCTACATAGCGTAAATAAAGATCTTGCCCAGATTAGTTTATGTATATACAACTTCCCAAAACCAACCGTTGAGTCATAGTCGGCCAGGTACAGGCTGGAGGATCCTTCCTTTGTGTTGGAGGGATAACACCATGTCACCGTCGGACCGGCGGGAAGCAGTCATAGCGTCATTTCGCGATAAAAAAATTATCTGTCATATTTTGCGGACGCCGCCCCTCCCACGCTGTCCACGCTGTCACGCTGTGCGCAAAAATGACAGGTAATCTGTAAATCTTCACCACTTCTTCTCCCATACAAAAACAATCGGCTGTCACTTTGGAACTCACACATAACAATTAAAACAACACATTAACAATTTCACACTCACATATACACATTCTATGTAATAACAGTGAAAATAAGTGACACACTACATTGACATGTTGCAAACAACCATGGCTATAAAAACTATCGATAAATTCGAATCGGTAAGGGAAATCAGGTTTAAAACGTGATACAAGGGTGGATACTAATATAGGTAGGACTTTATTTAGTACTACAACAATAATCATTGATATTAATAATACTTTTATCTATCTCTGGTTTTGAAACTGGACTGATTTCGTATAAATATGCCGAATTCAATTCTGTGGGTTAAATATTTCATTAAGAATGTTTCATCCTTCTATTGTTCGCCAAGTAGCACTAGTCCATATGGTAAACTCTAGCACTTAAACCCGTATCTTAAGGAAACCAGCAATAAATATATATCTATACTAATATTATAAAGCTGAAGAGTTTGTTTGTTTGTTTGTTTGTTTGAACGCGCTAATCTCAGGAACTACTGGTCCGATTTGAAAAATTCTTTCAGTGTTAGATAGCCCATTTATCGAGGAAGGCTATAGGCTATATATCATCACGCTAAGACCAATAGGAGCGGAGCACCAATGAAGAATGTTTAAAAAACGGAGAAAATTTATTACTATTGAGAGACGCAGACGAAGTTGCGCGGGTCAGCTAGTTATAATATATACCTCACACATCTTACTATGGCAACAAGACTGCTGATAAACAGACTTATATATTTTTAAATAAATAAAAACTATGTAGTCGTAGTTCACATCTAATAATTTTAATATATCGCACCCCTAGATGAAAACATCACTAACTCAAAAAATACTTAAATTGAGTTAGTGGCGTTTTCAAAATCCCGCCATGAATACCTACACGGAGTTCAAACTCCGGTAACGCTAACTTCGACCGTTGTCAAAAAGATGGCGCGAAACTATGCTTTAGTTTTATGACATTAGCCAGGATGGCGCGAATCATACTCCGCCATTTTCAGTTGCCTCCCGGCTGTCATGAGAGAAAGACATTTGCAAAGTGGCATATTTTGAGTTGCAGGAGTTTATGTGAAATTAATAAGGTAAGTTTCATATTGTATTTCGAGTTGATTGAGTTTTGCTGAAATTTTATTGAAAAATAAAACTGTACATTTTGAATTGCGGGGGTTTTGTGGATATTTTGTTACGTTTGTTTCAATTATATTTTGATTTACTCTAGTTTACATGACAGAAAATATGAATTCCGACTTACAATGGTTTACTTGAATGAATCTTTAAATTAGTTTTTTTCGCCTGTTTAATGAAAAAAATAACTTGTGAATCAAATATGATTTTATAATCTCAAATCTCAAGTAGATTTTTTATTCGCTTTTAATTTTTGCAACTCATTATGGGTTGATAATTTGGATTTTTTACTTGCTTGAGTTTACTTGATTTTTTAAATGTTAATGTCATTATTTTCATTTTAGGAAAATGAAAGGCCGGGGGCAACTTATGTTGAATCGCGTCAATGCAGAAAATCAGATTCCTGATCAGCTAGCAACTCACTCCTCTGGTATACAGATAGCTGAAAGTGAAGGAGGGCCTGAAATACCTGCTGAGGAGTTAAGGTCAGTTTCATCGCCGCAGTTTCTCGATGAGCAATCAACTACAAGTGGCGGACGACGACGAGCTCCTCAACGAAAATACACAGAATCACCCATCCACAGCGGCGAAGGGAGCGATTTTGACGACTCGCATGCTGATCCAAACTACGAAAATGCTATACCGAAACCAAAAATAACTTTCTCCCCCTTCCGTAAGTCTCCTAATGCACTCCCACTTTCACGACCTCGCTCTCTGTCATCGTCGTCTACCAGTTCGAGTTCATCAAGCAGCTCCAGCAGCAGCTCCAGCAGCAGTTCAAGTATAATGCTCTTTGAGCTTTCAAAGAGCAATAATAATACTGTTAATAATAATACCGAAGAACATTTAGCGCAAGAAATAGTACAGGGTAAGAAAAAACTGCGGAAACCGGAAACATGGAAACCGAACGTAGTCAAGGCTCTTAAAAATTCTGGTCAGGCATATAAGTCCCGAGGTAAACTAAAGAAAGACATTCCCGCTCGCAAAATGCGACCACCTTGCGGTGAAAAATGTCGTTTTAAATGTAGTACAACATTCGACACGACTAGTCGTCAAAAGTTTTTTGATGGATTCTGGGGATTAGGTAACCTTCAGCGACAAAGAGAGTACATTGTGCGACATTCTCATGAAATCAAGCCTAAATATCGATACTCAAGCACAAATAACTCAAGCACAGATAAGCAACAATAACCGGGCTCTAAATACGGCCTTCTATTTTGAAGAAAATGGCACGCGCGTTCGTGTCTGTAAGAACTTTTTTAAGACAACTCTTGACTTGGGAGATCAAGCAATCAAAACAGCTTTACTTAACCCTTAATTTGGTATTGTATGCTGTGCCATACAAACTTAAAAAAAAAATAAAGTGTTAAAGAAATATTATGATTTCAATATAATTCTTAATATTTATTGTTATAAACTAATCACACTTTATGAAAAAAAAAGTTTTTGGGTGTTAGCAACACTGGTGCTGTCACTTTTTTTCAAAATGTCTGCCCGAAAGAAGCCGGCTGTGCTCACTAAGGTATTTATTTGTTTTTTTATTATTTTTACTCGTAAATTTCTAATAAAACACTAATAATTTGATCGTGACATTATAGTGAAGTGTTCACTGTTATAATTTTGGCAATATTTGTGGATATTTGTTGTTTTATTTGATAAAAAACTTTGTATACCGTGACATACATTGCCAACTTAGTAATGAATTACTGCATAACGAACCTGTATGTCACAGCATACATTGCGAACTTAGTAATGAATCACTGCATAACGAAGCTGTATGTCACAGCATACATTGCCAATTTATTTGATTTCTTTTTGTGATATTTTTTTTTGCGATTTATGGGTTTTTGTTTGCTTGGGCTTGAGTTTTTGGTGTATGCAAGCTTTTTTTTTCTTTTTGTAATATTTTTTTTTTGCGATTTATGGGTTTTTGTTTGCTTGGGCTTGAGTTTTGGTGTATGCAAGCTTTTTTTCTTTACAGCACGCGCTACTAACACGTGGTGGTAGAATTTTAGCTTTGATCCCTACTGAAAATGCACTCTCTGATGATGGTAATGCATCTGACGTCGATGATGAATTATTGGGCTCTCAAGTTTCGCATTCAGACTCATCTTCCCCAGCCCCATCTATTGCGAGTTCTTTAGAAAGACTGAATATATTAGATTCCGATGATGAAAGCTCAACCGATGAGAATGTTCGGCTTACGCCTGTATTCCAAGAAGTATACCCGAATCCATCGCTTGAGCCCGATTGCAGTACTATTCCGATAATAAGCGACATTCCAACACTGACTGCAACCCCTGCCACGCCTGCAACTCCTGGCACTCCTGCTACTCTAAATCCTGTATCTCAAGTCGCTTCTGCATCACAAGCTTCGCCTGCACAACCTTCAGTGTCCATACTTAGCACCCCCACTACATCCTCTACATTGCCAAATCGTCTAATTAGAAAAACACGATCGAAAAGACCGACGGTTCCTGTTGCTAAACGCTCACGCAGAATCAAAAAGTTCGTTCTGTGCTATAAATGGAAAAGGGCTGCTGTTTTTCGACACAAAGCAACTGTGGAAGATGTACCAGAAATCGATTCTCAGACACCTACTATTCCCTTGGACTATTTTTACAAGTTTTTTTCCCCAGACGTTATAACTGACATTGTAGAACAAACAAATGCGTATTCAGTGGAAAAAACCGGACGATCGATTGAATTAGTTGAAGACGAACTTCGAGATTTTCTGGCTATTCACATCATCATGGGGGTCGTGTCCATGCCTTCATGTACAGACTGTTGGAGTCTGCAATATAGATTCGGTTTAGTTGCAGATCTAATGCCCATAAAAAGGAACCAAAAAATTCGAAGATACCTTCATTTCGTCGACAATAGCACTGATAATAGTGACAGATATCACAAGATTAGGCCCATAGTTGAAAAAATAAGAGCAAATTGTTTAGCTCAAGAAGTCGAGACCAAGTTCAGCATCGACGAAATGATGATTCCTTACAAAGGGACTAAGGCCGGCAAGAGACGCCAATACATTAAAGACAAACCCAATAAATGGGGTTTCAAAAACTATGTCAGAGCTGGAGTATCAGGTATGATTTATGATTTTATCCTGTACGGAGGAGAGGACACTTTCAGGTTCCATAATTTCACAGAAGAAGAATTGTCGCTAGGCTTTGGAGCTCAAGTAGTCATTGCTTTGTGCAAAAGTATAAAAAAAATACCAGCTTTTGTATTCTGCGACAATTTTTTTTCATGCCCAGAACTCTTCTACATACTGAGAGAAAACTACGGCATTTTTGGATTGGGCACCATCAGAAAAAATAGACTGAGAGGAGCAGATGCAGTTTTACGTGCGGAAAAAGAAATGAAGAAAAAGCCTCGAGGAGCTTATGATCAAGCAGTTTGTGACAAAAATCGCCTGGCAGTTGTGCGTTGGAATGACAACAAAGTCGTAACGTTGGTCAGTACTTATGTAGGTACAGAACCGGTAGAGAAAATCACGGCTTTTAGGTACGAAATCTATGAAGGACTCAAAAAGAATAGACGTGCTGTGAAACACCCACTCGACATCAAAAAACGACCACAAAAAGCGATACAACCAGTTCCCGTTGAGTCCTCGCGATTTGACAATGTGGGTCATTTCATGACCATGACATCTCAGGGTCGGTGCAGGTTATGCTCTAAGCTCACGACTGTCATTTGCAGCAAATGCCAAGTCCGGTTATGTTTCGTTACTGGAAGTAAACCCAGGAATTGTCAACTAATTTATCATTTTCAAAAATGAGTGGAGTTTCTGGGTTTACTTCCAGCATTTACTGCCAATCACAGTGTTGCAGAGCCATTATACCCGCTACTTTGCTTTCATAATGTATGTCCATCAACTCATTTTTATAAATAGGTATGATTTATGTTTGTTTTTAATTAAAGTTACAATACATATTTATGATTTTTATTCTTACTGGTTTTGGTAAGGTATGTCCCAACATACATTCAAATGAATACATATTTCTTTACCCACTTGGCAATGTATGTAGTAGCATACATGATTTTTCAGGAAAACTGAAAACCCTAGATTTTTTTTACTATTTTTCTGGGCATATTTAGGCTCTAAACATTCCCATTTCAGTATTTGTTTCAATTCAAAATGTTTTATTTTTTTTGCCAAATAAAGGGTTAAAAAGACTGAAACTGGTTTTATAGAGGAAGATAAAAGAGGGAAACATAAAAACCACCCCAAAGTAGACCTTGCAGTTAAAGAGAGTGTTGTTCAATTCATCAATTCTATTCCTCGTATTGAATCGCACTATCTCCGAGCTCAAACTACACGGGAATACATTCTTAGCGAGAGGTCGTTAGCAGACATTTACCGAGATTATAAGGATTTACGGCAAGCAAGTAACTTACCATTTGCTTCTGAATCAACATTTCAGCGGATATTCAACTTCGACTTTAACATCGGATTTTTTAGTCCAAAAAAAGATTTGTGTGATTTGTGTGAGAGTTATAAAAATGCAAATGCCGAAGAAAAAATGAAACTGCAACAAAGCTATGAACTGCATCTGCTTGAGAAGGACATGGCGCGACGTGAGAAGGAAAAGGACAAACAAGAAAAAGGTGCTATAGTCGTTGTGTATGATTTACAAGCCGTACTGCAGGTTCCGAAAGGCCAAATATCGTTGTTTTTTTATAAATCTAGAATAAACTGTTTCAATTTTACAATGAGTGATTTACATGCAAAGAATGTAGACTGTTTCTTTTGGAATGAGACTGAAGGAAAGCGTGGCGCGGTAGAAATAGGAAGCTGTGTTTTATCTTTCATAGAAATGCAGTTAGAGAACCATCCCAGTGGCGACATAGATGTGATATTTTATTCAGATAACTGCTGCGAGCAGCAGAAAAACAAGTATCTCTTAACTGCTTATGCTTATGCTGTGTTTAATATGAGAGTGAAATCGATCACCCATAAATTCTTGATCAGAGGCCATTCCCAGAATGAAGGGGATAATGTTCATAGTGTCATAGAGAAACGAGTGAAAAGGCACATCAAATCCGGACCCATTTATACACCGTTACAGTATTCAACATTGATACGAACTGCCAAAAAATCTGGACCAGCTTATAAAGTGCATGAAATGACCTATGACCGCTTTTACGATTTGAAAGCCTTGCAAGAAGCTTGGGGATCGAATTTCAACATGGACGAACATGGCAATCAACTAAAATGGCAGGAAATTAAAGTCCTGAAAGTTGAAAAGGATAGTCCCATGTCCTTCTTCTTTAAGACATCTTTTTCAGACACAGAATTTAAAAAGTGCTGGGTCAATAAGAGGAAGACCAGACGTACAGGAGTAGTGTCTACATCTAAAATCCCGTCCAACTTGAGCAGAGCATACACAGAGAAGATTCCTTTGTCGGATGCCAAAAAGAAAGATATACAAGAACTCGTGGATAAAAATGTCATTCCTAAGTCTTATTACGATATTTTTTACAAAAATGTTTTGTAAAACATTTTTTTATTTTGTTCTCAACTGAATTGATATTTTTTTATGATTCTAGTTTAAGAACAAAGTGCCATTAACAAACGTATCTCTATTAGTAGTAAGAAAGTACCTACTTATTATTTATAAATTATTTTAACTGTGATTTGAAAGTAAGTAAGTAAGGTATTCTGTAAGTGTTAGCTTAAAAAATGAGACTGGCTTAGAATTATAGAGAGTAAAAGATAAAGATGTTGAGTTTCAGAGCTTTTGTTAGAGTTAACTTTTTTTGCTATGATAAAAAATGTTCATGTTGATTTTGATTATTTAAGTTCTATTAATACTCCTTAGTATTGTTGTTAATTACATAGCAAAAATTATATTCTTGTTACGTAGAAAAGACTTCTAATAGCAACTGTTATTACAAAAAATACAATAATTACCTAGTAAGTACTATTTAGTTGGACATAGTGAACAGAAATAGTGACTTTTTATTTTTCTTTTACCTATTCTTGTTGTTATGTAAAATGAACAACCACTTTCCTTTAATTACAAAATGGTTTTATTTTCATTTTTAATCTGTTTTACCTAATGTTATAAAGCTAGTTTTCAACTTAGTGAGTTTTTAACGCCACCTGTACGTCGCATAATTTTAAGGTGCAAAGTAATATAACTCATTTTAATTTCAGATAAAGTAAAGTAATTCTAAATATGACATAAGAAAATTTCATATTACCTAAAGAAAACACAACTAACTAAAAAAATGAGTTTTTTTTTAAACTTTTGTGACAATAGCATTAAAAAGTAGGTCATTAAAAAGGCTCTAGAACTTTACCTATCATAATAATTATTAGTATACTCGATATCTTTAGTAAATACTCCGAAAACAGTTTTTAGTCGTTTCTGAAAAAAACGTTTTTTTGAATTGCCGGAGTTTTCATCTAGGGGTGCGATATGTGTTAATACTCGTAAATATTGTATTATATTTGATTGAACGCAATTTCAATATTTAAACTTTATTAAAATAAAGCTCATAATCCACATAATTATATTAATCATATCAGAAAACATAATCTCAAAAATGAAAACATGCACGACAGACGTGGATGTATTTATGTTTTATCGATATTTAACTATTTACAAACTGGTAATTTGTCTTATAGTGAAACGCACCAATTAATTTTACTCTTTATTTCTTGGTTATAATAAAGGTTTATACTTTTAATTTTAATTACTGGAAAACACTAAATTCAGTTAATACTACTGAGCGGGGGAAACCTCTTGTCAAGCCTCTTTGACACTGCCTGTCATTACTTTTTTACTGACACTCTATATACCACAACTGGTAACGATCTAACCGAATATTGTACGAGAGCGAGCGGCCTGTGTTGGTAAACAAATCCAAAACAATACCACTGTTATTTTCATAAATAAAGTTTGTAAATTAGGAAATAGTAATAATTTGATTAAAAACGACTTCCATATGAAAGGTAGTTCCATCTTGGGTAGGTAACATCAGCTTGACGGACAGATCATTTTTCGGCATCTTGGTAAGACGGCTACATTACTGTCGTCTACTCAGCAGTGTGACTAAATTTATTCTAGTGAGCGGTCCGGCCGCAACTAGTTTTATTGTACGCATAGGAGCGTGTGGACTTGTACTTTGGCAGAGGGCCCCTCTGCCAAAGTACAAGTCCACAGTCACAGTTTCTCTGAGAAGGGACCGCCTGCCTATGGATACTCCCTACCGTGTTGCTCTATGGAAAACACCCATTTGTCTATGAATAAAAAGTACTACTAATTATATTATAGTATTACTAATAGTTTTATAAAATACTCATTGTATTTGGTAAAATTATTAGTAATAGAGCTGAATTATAATTTAAATAAAGTGAAGGCGTCGCGTCAGCCAAAAGGTGCTGAAAAACAATAATTTCGCTCAATCCTGAATACGGCTAAAGCTAGTACCAATTTCTTAGTTCGAAAACTTCGTGCCATCACATCTTCCAAGCACAGCTGGTATGCCGGTGCTGTGCCGCACGCAGTAGTCGTTGCCATAAGCTCCACCGCTCTTCACTGTTAAAATCAAGAAAAGAGGGACTTAATATTATTTGCTTGATTTCACTGCTAACTAACTAAGCCATAGGTACCGTGGCTCCCTGAGCGAGACCTTAGGCATATATTTTATTTTGTCTTACAGTAACATCAGTCTAGTTAAGTGCGTGTGAGTTAAGATTTGTAAAGTTTTACAATCTGTATTTAAAAAAAATTTTGAACAGTAATTATTGCCAGACCAAAAAATGTTCAGTTGGTTATGTAACTTCCGTTATGGCGGTTTCATTGTCACATCTGTTTCCTTTGACACTGTGCGTCTGGCGCGGTGCGGTGTGTTAACGGTGTGTTGAGTAATTTCCATCGGATTTAAAACATGTAAGTAAAGGAAACTACATCTAAATTATTATTACATCTCTTGGCTCTATCTTGTCCTAACTATCATGGCATTTATTTACCTTTACAATACGTATTTTAACGAGAAAATTATTATCATCTCCCTATTCCCTTACGTAACGAAAATGAATGATGTTTGCACGTGACCTTGCTCCATATATTGTTTGGAATTATGAATTCTTTACAATTTATCTGCAAAAGTTATTGGCTTTAATTGTGTACACTAGTCACTGCAATAATTATTTAAATCTCGGTGGCCGAAACCGACGTATGTCTGGTTCAAAGCAGTATTGATTTAAACGATTTTTATTGTCTGTGCTTGTGACTTTTGACTTTTATAGTCATAGAGTTAATTACTTTTTATTCACAAAATATTTTTAAATTAAATTCAAAACAATACATCTCAGTTCTAAATTCTTCGTTACCTAACCTTCATTTGTTGGCATGACAGTTCTCGGCCATGGCATTGATTTTTGGCTGTTTCGTAATTACTGCGACTAAATTTTTTTCGAAACTTGAATTTAAAAATGGAATGAAAAAATGAGTTCAAAGAAATTGGGCTCTCGTAATGAATATGACAAGAAGATGAAAAATTCTTTAATTATCATGCTAAAAGTATGTACTTAGTAATAATTAACCATTTACTGTTACATATTATTTACTTATGTTAGTATCATTATCAAATATAGTGCTATAAGTACACTACAATTTCTGATATCATAGGTTTGCATTAGGAAACATAATTTATTCTCTAAAGTTTTAAAATTCCTAACTTTTGTATGCAATGATTAAAGATATTTCAGATGGTTTTAGACATCATTGTCTTCAGTAATAATAAAGTACTAAAAATGATATAACATTATGTAAAATCTTGCTATGCAGTCCTGGAACAGCCCATATTGATTGACCTACTTACATTTAGGAAATGGTAGATTGTATCACTTCTGTTACTATAGCAGTTTATTATATTTAAAGAAAGTTTTAAATACTTAATTTCTTCCAAAACCTGCAATAGTGGCAAACAAGGTTTTTCTTTATAGCAAGTAGGAATATATGCTTGCTTAATTTAAGTTTAAATGTATTGTATGTAAGTACATACCATACTTTAATATTTTAATTAAGAAACCTACTTATTGTGTTCCTCAAATAAATTCAAGGAAAGAAAGAAATACTATTAAATAGCATTATCTGTGTTCTACAGTGTTTCCAGTGGTTTATCAGATACACTGAACTCACATCAAAAGCCTTTAATAATCCACTGCTGGACATAGGCTTTTCTTTAGAAAGGAGGTTTTGGCTTATCAAAACTACATGGCCAGACGAATTAGTATCTATACCATGCTGGCCAATGGGTTGGGATGATACTAAAATAGTATTATTTAACTGGTGATTAAAACATTGACTTTCAATTCATTGCTAATTTCATGGAAAGACTACATTTTTTGGAGACAAAAAGTAGCAAATGTGTTAATCCAGGGTGCTAGCTACCTCCATCCTGCTGTTTAAGGGTAAAGAAGTAAAAATACAAACACACACACTTTCGCCCTTATAAGATTAGTGTCATGTGATAACCTAACTGAAGTCATTACTATGAATTTAGGCCTCATTGAAGACATAACTATGAATTTTCAGGCCCCATTGAAGACTGGATAATCAAATTTTCGTTAAGAATTGAACATAAAATGTTTTTTGTATTTGTTACAGAATAATGTTCTCGTCCCTAATAGACGCGGCGCGGAACTCGCCATTCCGCGGCCCCCTCACCCCCGCAAACTGCCAGACTTCAACATCAGCACCCTTAGAAAGCTCACAGGTAAGCAAATTGTCTGTACAGAAGGCGTATTGGTTTCAGTGATCACCTCGCTGCTTCTTGCTGCCCTGAGTGTTGTGGGATCGATCCCCACATTGGACAATACAAGACACAAATTGTTATTCTGAGTCTGGATGTTCTTTGTGGCCATTTTCTTTATGTATGTAAAGTCCCCTGTGACACAGGTTTTATTCCTAGTGCAGTTGTCTTTTTAAATAAAATTACTAGAAATGTGTCACGGTAATGTGACATTACTGGTAACTTAAAATTAGATTAAGGATTAAGTAATGTAAAATTAAAATGTTAATAGCAGGGTTTAATTAAATGTGAATTTTACAGAAAAATAAATTACTAGAAAGATACAACACAAAAGTATTATTACAAAAGGATGTTTGAATTGCCAGCATGTTATGTAAAACCTTCTTACTACGAGTATATTTTAAGTTTGTTATTATAATGTTATAAAATAGTTAGGTGTCTCGATATTCACTAACTAGGTATTTCTTATCGCTACTTAGATATAATAACTTATCAATTGATTGCTGTATAAGTAATTGGCAATCTTGCCCGATGATGAAAACTCATGCCGGAGGGGGGGCTGTTGTGTCTCCCGTATCTGACGTCATACTTTTGTGACGTCTTACTTTCAGTAACGTAGATGATGAGAGTCATGACAGCAGTTGCCCAATGACTTAAGGATTATGAGAGCTGAGGGCTTCTTTAAATTTAATAAATGTAGTAAATCTTCATAATAGTATTTTTATCAAATGTGTGCATTTACAAGTATTGATAATTTGCATGGAATGGTTAGAAATATCTGATGAAACAACTCGTAACATTCGTCTGTGTGACACATAGGAGCGTTTGGGCGGCAAAAAAGGCTGAAGCGCTGTCACTTTTGGCGCTTTGTCGATTTCAATCCAAAGACAATATAGATAGGTCCAAAAACTTTGTGTTTTTTGGCGCCATAATGCTGCAAAGCAGTGACAATATTTAATTTATTTAAGTTCTGTTGTGATTTGTAAGTTGTAAATTAACTATTGTACACAGAATGGCATGGCTGCCGCTGCCCAGGTGCAAGGAGACTCCTGCGAGTTCGCTTCCGGCAAATATTTCGCGCTATGCGGTGTCGGCGGTATCCTGTCATGCGGTAAGTGACTTTTATAATCAAAGAAAACTTTTCTTAGAACTGTTACTATCCTCTATTGTAAATTACCTTTAACCACTTTAAACAGTTGAAAATTATCTTCGCGTTTTCCTTCCTTCCCTTCCTACCTTCCCCTTGTGAGATGTCGTTCATTAATTTTGACTTTCTTACACTTCAAGATTTAATAAACTTTACTTTATTCGTGAAAAAGGGTAAACTATGTCCTTAAAGAAAAAAATGGAACCCTTATAGGATCATTTTGTTGTCCGTCTGTCTGTTAAGACCCTTTATCTCGGGAACGCGTGGAGGTATCGAGTTTTAATTAAAACCATGTATTCAGGTCTACAGTCTCTTGAAGCTGTGAAAAAATCGGACCTACATCGTAAAAGATTATCATAAACATTATCGTAAAAGATACGGCCGTTTAATCCGCCAAAAAACGTATATGTCGGAATATACGTTTTCTCTAACTCTCAAGGGAATCAAAATTAACAGGTTATTTGCCTACATCTATGAAATTTGGCAAGTAATACCGTCTTATACTACAAGTATAGGGAATAATCTGAAAACTATAAAGTTATTAAATCTTAAAAGAACAGTATATGCAAGGAACGAATGGAAAGTGGATCTCTTGAATGGAGTAAACCGTGTGGGTGGGGTATCGTATGAAAAGGCTTCATAGACACAAGCTAAAACAGATTTTTAATTATTTTTATAATTACAAATTTGTAAGGCACTCTCGGTGGGCGAGTCCGACTCGCACTTGTATGGTTTTATACTAATAACATCTATTGAAAATGATATCAATTTCGGCCTAGTTTGCCATCTCCCCTCTGTATGGATTCAATATTTGATTGATATGTACACGGCACGTGCATTAAGTGTATATAATAAACCTGTCTAAGACAGATATAAAATTGTGTAGTAGCATAAACATAATATAATACTTATAAAACATACAATACAAGTTTAACGGTGCTTCGGTACATTCGAGATGGCTCAACTGGAGTAATACTATTGTCAACAGCCTTTACTAGTCCACTGCTGGACATGGGCCTATCCTTAGAAACGAGGTTTTGGCCTGCTGTACCACGCTGGTATAGGGGTTGTTTCAACTTTCTTTCTCCTTGCAATGGTGTTGTCTGCGTAGTTTGTTCCTTTAGTCGGCTCTTACGACACCCACGGGATGAATAGGGGTGTTGACACTTCGTATTCTTAATCCTTTACCACACGGATAGGTAGTGATACAGTGGCTTCACAGAAAACCGAGGGCCTAATGTGTTTTTACATCAACTCGATCGTCACGGTGACCGCTTTCGACGTTGCTATTGGCCCACACTGAAATCTTCACTAATCGCAAACGCGTTGATGTGAAATCAACTGACACTAGACCCTGGTGTTAAGCTTGTTTATCACTGCCTTTCGCTCAAATGCTGCTGCATGCGGTCGCCACGCCGCTTACTACTACGCTGAGTGTTGTGGGTCCGATCCCCACATGGGACGACACTGTGTGATGCACAAATTGTTGTTCTGAGTTTGGGTGTTCTTTGTGTCCCTTTCATGTGTGTCCGTAAAGTCCCCCCCGATACAGGATACATTCCTAATGTGGGAGTTGTCTTTTTATAAAAGTAAAAAAAAGCCAAAACTCGCCTTAATTGGGAAAAGTGGAGTTCAAAGACCAGCAACACTCGTGACTGTGTTGCAGGTTTCCATGAACGTGACCCGTCTGCTCGTTTGCTCCCCCATTCCACAAAATAAGTAGGTAGTAATGTCTTCAGACAATAAATCACACTGTCTAATGTCAAGCCCTAGTAATGAATCACTATTCATGATAAAATAAGTTACGTAATTCGGATTAGCGACTACTTATCAGAAAAATTCAGACGACGTCGATCCCACGTGATAGCTGAGTACCGATAAGCTTATAGCAATTACACCTACTGACATAGTTAAGGAATATATCAAACCGCTTTATTCCATTCAATTTCTCATATTGACTGAAACTTTTTCAAAACGAACGACCGCAATGTTTTTCGGGAACAATTGCCGTAGGAGAGCCATGCTTCGGCATAGATAAGCCGTTGTCGATATGAAGTGTGGAATAACGTAACATCTCACATTTTGTCACAGGCTACTCTAGCAGCGCGCGCCCATATCTCAAATATCGCGCTACACCTTCCTGTTAACCATTCACCAAACAACTCCCGTAGGTTACAGAAAAGCGATTGGAAAGGAAAACTCCATACAAACCCTTTTTTTTTTTTTTTTTTAACGTGTGGAAATCCCCTCGGACCGTCACCCCACCGGGGTTTGCGGCGGGGTGGTGTGTCAGACTCGGACCGACTAAAACCACACGGTGTGCTACTCTGCGCCTGTAATAGGAGGGATCCGGGAACAGCTGTTATTAAGACATCCGGACCCCTCCTAGCGCCTGCCCGCTCCTGGTGCGGGCTCCGTCTCAAAATTTTCCTCTCTTTAGGCGACGTCCGGCACACGCGGACGCCGCCCCCTCGCGGCTGGCCAAACTAATGCGGGTGGAGGGGAAACCCACCCCGTCCACCCGCGGCCACACTCAGGGCGGCATGAGGCGGTGATAGGCGCGCCTCCGCCGCCCGGTTCGCCGGCGGCGGATCGGGTCCGAGTGGAGGTCGTCCTCCCGGGCCTTCTCCGCCGCCTCCTTCTGCGAGATTACTTCCTCGCAGAAGGTTGCGACGTTGCCGAGTCCTCACTGCAGTCGCAGTGGTGGCAGGCGGGACTCAGTTCCCTCCTAGCGACCGAGTGCAGGTACTTTCCGAAGCAACCGTGCCCGGAAAGCACCTGCGTCAGCCGGAAGGCAAGGGTCCCGTGCTGCCGCCCTGCCCACTCGGCGATGACCGGCTGGAGAGCCTCCACGACGGCGAAGCCAGCGCGTGGAGTCTCCAGCCGGAACGACCATCTGACCATGGTGGCTCGGCCACTCGCGCACGTCTTCGGGTGGAGGCCGAAATCCGCTCTCCACCCGGAAGTCAGCCACTCGCCGATAAACTTCGGCGAGCACTTCCGCCTCCAAATCCCACGGGGGTGTTCCGGCCAAGGCGCAAGCCGCCTCGGTGGACACCGTGCGGTATCCGCGTATGGCTCTGACCGCCAATATCCTCTGGGGGCGCCAGAGGCGCGCCCTATTCGGGGCGGTCAGAGCCGCCACCCACACCGGTGCACCATAAAGAGCCATGGACCGGACAACCCCCGCGTACAGCCGCCGCGTGGAAACACTGGTCCCGCCCAAATTGGGCAAAAGTCGCCCTAGGGCGGAGGCAGTGTCCACCAGCTTCGGACCAAGCTGTCGGAAGTGCTCGTCGAAGAGCCACCTACCGTCTAGGACCTGACCCAGATACCTCATCTGGGTCCGGACCAGTACGAGGACCCCTGCGGAACACCGCACGACATAGCCCTGCGTCTCAAGACGCCATCTCGGTCCTCGTACATGACGGTTCGCTCCTCAAGATAGTCTGCCACCAGCCGCCTCAGGTACTCTGGCACTCCGTGGTAGCGGAGCGCTTCCCTGATGCAGCTGAATGGCAGACTATTGAAGGCGTTGGCGATGTCCAAGGACACCGCCAACACCACTCCGCCGCAGCTCACGGCCTCCTCGGTCACGGCCCTAAGGCGCATTACGGCATCGATTGTCAAACGCCCTTCTCGGAAACCGAATTGGGCGTCCGACAGATCGGGGCCAACCTCGCAAAGGTGCCGGACGATGCGGGCAGAGAGCACCCTCTCAAAAAGTTTACCCGCCTCGTCCAGCAACACGATAGGCCTATAGGCCGCGACCGATTCGGCAGGCCGTCCCGGCTTCTGCAGCAGGACCAGCTTCCCGCATTTCCAGCGCTCAGGGAAGCGTCCGGACGCCAGGCTAGCGTCCAACACCCCCCTGAGGTGGTCCGACATGTAGTCGAGGGCTCGGGCCATCACTCGGGCTGGAACCCCGTCCGGCCCGGGGGCGGTGTTCTTGGATCGAATCCGTAGAACATCAACCTCGCTGCCCCCGTCGTCTCCGGCTGATGCAGCCATCGACGGGGGTGTGTGCTCCGCCCGCTGGCGGGAATAGGCCCTCGACCACTTCCTGCAGGAAGCTGGGCTGGAGAGTCTCCGTAAGGGGGGGGCCGACGTGCGGAGCTTTTGTCGCAACCCTTACAAACCCTATACCAACCCGTCTGACCAGCGCGGTGCAGTAGACCAACCACCACAACCTTTCTAAGGAGAGGCTTATGTCCAACACTGGACTATCAAAGGCTGTTGATGTGAGGATAAGCGTTACTCATCTATATTTACGCACATTATTTCAAATTGCATCTAAAATATATCACATTAAGTTGAATCATAGTGAAATTTCATTAAAATGTACCGAAAAAATTCTTAAATTTTATGTTTTAATTTGGTATTTATATTTGTGATGTACAGGTATCACACACACTGCCGTGGTGCCCCTCGACTTGGTGAAATGCCGTCTCCAGGTTGACCCTGACAAATATAAGAACGTCGTCAACGGCTTCAAGGTGTCAGTCCGAGAGGAAGGCTTAAGAGGTCTTGCTAAAGGATGGGCACCCACCTTCTTTGGTTACTCGCTACAGGTGAGAGGTTGATTTTTGTTAAAAAGGTAGGTTTCTGAGTCACTCTTACTAACCTTGTTTAAATTGTTCATGTCAAAAACAGTTTGTTTAATTCCAATCCTTAAAAAAGTAGAAGGAGCGTTATAATTCATTTAACTAGAAACCCAATAGAATAAGTGGTATACTACCCGGAAAAAACATTTATCCACACAACACTTTGTGCGATCCACAAGTTGTTGTTCTGAGTCTGGGTGTCCTTCGTGTCCGTGTCATGTATGATTGTAAAGTCCCCCGCGACCCAAGATTTATTCCTAGTGTGGGAGTTTTCTTTTTAAAAAACAATTCTTTCACAGTTAGATAAGTATATTATCCCTGAGTGCCATAGACTACTTCCGACGGACGGACGGACATCGCGAGTCGCGGCCAAATGCTAGTATAATATGAATCCACTCTATTCAATGATTAAAAAAAAATCCAATTGTTCCTACTGAACTTACTGAAGACACCACAATAACATATGAGCTAGATCTGACGCATTACGTTCAGCTTCCTTCTCCAACACAGATGGTAAACATATTTCTATCCCTCTCAGGGTCTCTGCAAGTTCGGTCTGTATGAAGTGTTCAAGGTGCAATACTCCAGCATGTTGGACGAAGAGACAGCATATGTATACCGTACATTCCTGTACTTAGCTGCTTCAGCATCAGCGGAGTTCTTTGCTGATATTGCTCTGTCACCTTTGGAAGCCGCTAAGGTAAGTTGCAAAGTTTCTATGTACATTTTATAGCCAAAAATATTTAAATATACAGTAGGATACAAAGAATGCTTAATAGGTGCTTTATAGCACATATTTCGCCATATTTGTTTAAGAACGGCTACAAAAGTTTTTATTTAATATATTAATTATCAGTAATAAAAAAAAAACAGTCAATCTAGCTTTCATAGTACAAGCTCTGCTAAAACTAACTAAGTTTGAAACTAGATGGCGTTGTGTCAGATGTCCGAAATATTATTATTATCAAATACAAAAAATTTGTTTTTTTTGAAATATCAAATACCCGAAATAAAATAACTTTACAACTGTATTATTATAGTCTTCCTGAAAATTCTTAGTCTTGATAGTAAAAAACTAATGCCCAATGAGGAAAGAAAAGCGCTTGAGGGAAGCTGGTGTGCGAAGTCTGTGACATATTAGTATATCACTCTGTGCAAACAGCGTGGCTTTGAACATCAGAGTTGCCCTGTGAATGTTAGATTATGAGATCTGAGGGCTTTAAACCTTTTTGTTGTATAAGCTGATAAAACAAATTACCTTTGCTTACACCATAGTGAACACAATATTGTTTCTTTAAGGTCCGCATCCAAACCATGCCTGGTTTTGCCAGCACCTTACGTGAAGCGTGGCCCAAGATGGTCCAGAATGAAGGCTACGGCACCTTCTACAAAGGTTTAGTCCCACTGTGGGGTCGCCAGATCCCTTACACCATGATGAAGTTCGCCTGCTTCGAGAAGACTGTCGAACTTTTGTACAAGGTAACTTTTTATATATATGTATTGTGTATGGTCAACATATTATATGTATGTTGTAGGTCCATTGGTCTACTGTAGGGAAGGAATAAAATCACAATCACATGTGATTTATAAGTCATATCACACCTGTGACTGCTTTACTAAACTACTGCTACTTAATTATTATTATTACGCTAGCATAAGGCTCGCGAAAGGTCTAAATAAAAAAAGGCGTAATTTTTGATAAAAAGAATTTTGATTGATTTCAATGGGTTTAATTTTATGACAGTTGTGAGACCAAGAGTTGATCGGAACTATTTGAGTTGAATTTTAACGAACTTTTATTACAAGAATTGGCTTTCCGGTTCTGTCTCGTTTGGGATTAGACAGCTGTATGAGAAGTCTAAAATTATTATTGACTAGAATGTAAATTTGCCTTATCTGAGTACTAATGGTACGTTAACACGCTTAGCAAGTCTCGACAAGTGTCCACAAACAAGTATGTGTTCGGTGTGAACGTCGATCCAGGCTAGTGTCGGTTTTTGAACATAGATCAAAAGAAGCTTGCTACGAATATCCATCCTGTAAGTTGTTTCGTGTCGCTGTTAAAATTTGAAGAAAAATACACGTCAAGCAAAACATCAATTAACTTAACTAACCCTGGACTACGAACAAACGGAAAACTTGCTAAAAATAGAAAAATAGTAATACACATCTATACATACCTCATATTTTAACACACACTTATGCGCGCGCAAACACACACAATGCACACACGCACGCTCACATAAACATACAGATACCACACACATATTTAAAAATAAATACTAGCACATTTTAAATTCAGTTACCCGTTTTGTCTCTTTTCTATTTTTTTCTTTGTAATATTCTCTTAAATTTTAAGTGTCAACTTTGTACAGTTTATACATGTTTTTTCGCGGATGGAAGCCCGTTTATCCATAACACAAGTATTTTACTTAGTTTGGAAACCAGTCTCCCAATATTATGTTATGACAACATTGTACATTTGTTTATATTGTAATGAGGGAGAATTAAACATTATTATTATTATATACATATATTGATCTATTGCGTTTGGTTTGACACAACTTCAACGTCCACGTCTGCTATGTTTGTCGGTCCGAAACACACTCGCAAGCGTGTTGTAAATATCATTCAAGTGTTATTAAAGGCTTGGAGCTTGTGGACGTTTGCCAAGCCTCGGCAAGTGTGTGTGTAGCATACTATAGGTAAGCAATGCTTCCGTTCGGCACATATAACTCGGCTGACTAGTGTGATACCAAGTAGAAATGGAAATTATTGCAATTTTTAAATCTTATTTATTAGATGAAATGATTGGTTTTAGTCGTTGCGATTTTACATGTAATTGTTATTTCGTCATACGTTAAAGTCAATCAATTTTTTTTATCAAACCTCAACCTCTTTTGTTTTTATTACACGCTTTAAATTGTTTGTTTGTAACCGACCGGGCGTGATTTTGACTGACTTTAAACAGTCAGAATTCGATCAAACTTTGTACATATATCGAGGACCGATGACAATACACTAATTTAAAAAATATATAGTTTTTTAATTGTTTTAAAAAACTATAAAACAATTTTTATAGAAAACCAAACTAAAAATTTTTTTTATAAATTTGAAAAAAAAGCGTGGGTTGCCTTTTACTATTGACAACAGGCAACCAACGCTTTTTTCAAATTTATTAAAAATTATTTTCAATTTTTTTGTATGGTGTTCTATAAAAAGCGTGTTTTTTAGTTTTTAAAACTATTTCTTTTTGTTTAGATTTAGACCTTTCGGCGAGTCTTGCGCTAGCGTAATAAGTCGCAGTGGTTTTGTAAATCAGTTGCAAGTGTGATTATACGATTTATCACTTGTGATTGTATTCTATCCCGAATACCAAAGCGTCACTTTGTGCACCTACATTCTTGTAAATATTTTCATATTTATTATTTATTTCCTGTTTACAGTTCGTAGTACCCAAGCCCCGTGACCAGTGCTCAAAGGCTGAGCAGTTGGTGGTGACATTCGCTGCCGGTTACATCGCTGGTGTCTTCTGCGCCATTGTCTCCCACCCTGCTGACACCATCGTGTCTAAGCTTAACCAGGTATGGAGGAATGTTATATTTGTATATGATATCTAGGATTTGTAGTACCTTGATGATCTTGGCAAATTGTTTTACATTTTATTGTTAATTTTCAGGACAAAACAGCAACCGCTGGTTCTATTGTAAGCAAACTCGGCTGGGCCGGAGTATGGAAGGGTCTTGGACCTAGGATAGTCATGATCGGTACCCTCACGGCTCTGCAGTGGTTCATCTATGACGCAGTCAAGGTATTTACACCTCATTTGTTTCTAAAAATATCAATAGGCATATGTTTACAATAACATCTTACTAAGAGTCTGGATGAAAATTTGCCCAAAAAATAGATTATAATTATAGATTCGACCTAAATTCGAACGATTCTGCAGTTAAAAACTTGGCCAGCAGCAGCCTAAAATTGAAATCTCGTCTTTAACGCCGATTACCCAAACTTACACTATGGAATCCATAAAAAATTAAGATCCTAGTGGTAATGAAGAGAATTAAAAAAATGACCTATGATTATGAATCTAAACCAATTGTTCCTACCGACACTAAAATCTGTGGACAGCATTTATTATGAGAATATTTAATAAAAAAAAAAAAACCCAAAAAAAACATCAATTCCATATTTAAAGTGATAACTTTTTTTAGGTCTGGCTGCGCATGCCCCGACCACCACCAGCGGAGATGCCAGAGTCTATGCGCAAGCGACTAGAAGCCGAAGAGGCCGCCAAGTCAAAGTGAACACTTAGCGATAGGTAGTTATTTCGCATCGCGCAAAGAAAATATCTAAAATGAGATCTAAAATCAATTTATTCGAATATGGAGTAACGGTTAAAGCGTCATCGCTTTACTGTCACTGTCAGATCTGAAAATAGAATCTTTGTTTTTAAATAATCCTAGTTTAGATCTCTATGATATTGTTATCTTTAGGATATTTTACCGCCAAAGTTGGCCAGCGCGCGATGTTAGTAAAACTGTTCCGCAAACCGCCACGCAGTATGTAGTTACATTGTGATTACCAAGTTACAGTATACATATTATGTAAGTAAAATGATCATGTTAAATTATTTTTTTGAAAATAAAATATTTTATTTAATTTTCATTTATTTTTATTCTGTTTATGTAAATAACGAGATGCGTGTTATTTATTTATGATTGTATGTATGACACTTCATTGAATAAAGTTGATAGATCCTGTGTTTGATTTTAATGTAAATGAAAAGACTCAGCGTCAGACTCAGTTACTCGATTTTTTAAACAGTGAACAATGATTGCGGTGAGGTTTAAGCGGTTACCTCGCCACTGCCCACTGCGTTGTGTTGTGGGTTCGATCCCCACATTGGAAGTTGACTGTTAAAAAAAACAGTCCATCAAATCATTGAGGTGCCTTTTTACAGTGTGCGTTACCCCAGCAAAATAATGTCGAAAATGGTCATTTAAACTTTATAGATAATTAGTTGCTCCCCTTCTGTAATTGTTAAGCACATTTTTAAATTTGTTTCACTTAAACTTTTTTAGTTATTTCAAAAAAACATTTCCTGCTGGAGTAACGTTTGAAACGTTACCGCAGCCAGACATTTTCTTTTTTAATTGTAATATTGAAATAAATTTTAGATAAATAATTAGTTATCTGGACTAGGTAAATGTTACAACTTATTTGGTATTTGTATTTTCTTCGGCTGCGAAGTTATTCGAAATCCTGCTGGAGTAACGTTTGTGGGGCGGACCGAAAGGGTAACGGAGAACTTTTTTGAAAACCAAGGGATTGTTTTTTTTGTTGAATAAAAATAAACAAAAAAAGGGATTTAAAAAAAAAAATTAGGGGAAAAAACATTAATGTCAAAAAACTTTAAAAAATCAAAATTTTATTTTCGTTATTCAAAATTTTTAATACCTTAAATTTAGAATTTTGGGGAATATTTTAAATACTTTAAAAAATTTTGGGATAAATTACCCCTACCACGTCAAAAATTTTCCTTTTTTTTTAAAAACCACAATTGTTGATTTTCGAATTTTTGCCCCTAAATGTTTATTCAGTTGTTTTTCCAAAACGGGCAAAAAAAAAGGTAATTAAAAAAAGCATTGAAAGGGGCAAAAACCTTTCCCCCCCACCTTAGGGGGGTTACAAAAAGGCCCCGTTCTGGGCTGGCAAAAAATTGGGTTTTTGAAAAAAAAAACATAAAAAAAAAAAAAAATTTTTTAAAAAAAATTTTATTTCAGGAAAGTATTGTTTTGGGGTGAAAAACGTATTTTTGGCCGTTTTTGGGGATTTAAATTTAAAAAAAATTAATAAAAGAAGTTATTAGGTTAAAAAAAGGCACCAAATTTTTTAAAAAAAAATTAAGAAGGGTGGTTTTCGTCTGAAAAAAAAAAAAAAAGAAAAAAACCAAAATTTACCCTTTTGAATTAAAAAAATAAAAAAAAAATTTTTAAAATTTTAAAAGGGTTTAAAAAAAAAATTTTTTTGAGGTTTAAAAATTTTATTTTCCGGTATTTTAAACATGCGGGGGTTTACGTTGCCGAAAAAATCCAGAATTTAACAAAAAAACCAAAAATTAAAAATTTTTTTTATTGACCCCAAAATTTTAAAAAAAAATTTTTTCCAAAAAAAAAGGGGGGGAATTTAAAAATTATTTTGAGTTGTACCAAAAACCCCCAACATTTAAAAATACTTTTATTTCCGGTTTTAAAATTTTTTACGAAAAAAAAAATTCGTTAAAAAATTTTTTAATTAACAAATTTTACTTTTTGGGAAAATTTTAATGCCGTTTCCCCAAAAAAATTTCTAAAAATTTTTTAAATTTCTTGGGGGGAAAAAAGTTGGAAAAGACCCCCCAAAAATTTTTAAAACCCCCGGAACTCCTATATTTTTCCAAAAATATTATCCCTAAGATTAAATTTTAATTAATTTAAATGAATATGCAAAAACCCGGGAGAAGTGCCCAAAATTTGTTTTTATAAAAAAAAAAACCCGTTTTTTTAATGAATTCCAAAAAAAAGGGCACCCTTTGTTCAAATTTAGGGAAAAAAAATTAAAATTTTAAATAAACGTTTTAAAAAACAAAACTGGTTTTTACCTAAAATACTAATAATATCTTTAATCTTTTAAAAAAATTGCAAAATTTTAATTTACCAAAGGGCAGGGGGGAATTTAATATTTTATGGCCCCAAAATTGTAATTAACCAAAAATTTAAAATTTAAAATTTTTCCCCTTTTTAAAAAAAATTTTTTGTTAAAAATTTAAAAATTTTAAAAATTTTGGGAATTTTAAATTTTTTAAACTTCAAAAATTTTTCACCGTTTGCATAAAAAAAATTTTTTTTTGCCATAAAAAAAAAAAGTTTTAAAAAAAAAGGGTTTTAAAAATTAAATTGGCTGGGGTTCATTAGGATCCATTTAAAATAGTCCCAAACCGAGATTTTTACAAAAATTGCCTTTTTTTTTAATTTTTAAATTATTTATCCTAAGCTTAATAGTTTTTTAAATTTATTACTAAAAAAACGTATATTTTTTTTAATTAAGGAAATTTTAATTAAAAAAAACCCTTTTTCTAATTTTGGCCACATAAAAATTTTTTCCCTTTTTTTTTAATTTGACGACTGCCCCAAAAACCATTTTTTAAAAGGGTTTTGTTATCCCCCTCCCTTTTTTCTAATTTTTTGTCTTATTTCCGAAAAAAAAGGGAAAAAAAATAATTTTTAAATTTAAAGGGATTTTTTTTTTTGGAAGGTTTCAGGGGGGTTTTTCCCCCCAAAAAAAGGGTGAACTTTGATTTTTTTGGGTTGGGGTTTTTCTTGTAAAATAGGATGTATTTAAAAAAAAATTTAAAATTAATTTTTTACGTTTCATTCCCTGACGCCTTTCTTATTTGGGACCAGGCGTTTGTTATGGGGTTTAAATTTTTATTTTTTTTAATAAAAATATCCGTTTTTGGGTTTTTTAAATAAATTTAAAAAACACCTAATTCTTTTTTGCTGAAACCTCTAAGGTTTCCCCCCCGGGGTTAAAAACTGCCTTTTGCTGGTTAAAGGGACCAAGAAGCCCCCTTTTTAAAGGGTTTTGGGGTTTTTAAAAACCCAAGGAAATTTTTTGGGTTGTTGAAAAAAATTTTTTTTGTTTGGTCGGGGTCCCCTCCCCAAGGGGTACCCCCATGGGGACTTTTTTTTAAAAAAAAGTTTAAACCCCCCCCAAATTCTTTAAATTAAAACCTTTAAAAAAAAATTCCTTAACGGGAAAACCCAAAAAAACCCTAAAAAATTTTAAAAAAAAACCCTGATAATTTTTAACCCCAATCAAACACTATCCGAAAATGTCCCCCCCCAAAAGTCCAAACCTTCCCGGGGGGGAAAAGTTACCCATTTCCCCGGGTTTAAGGTCTGAAGTTTTTCACTCTCCGGGTTGTGCGTTAGCGGTGGCAAAGTGCGTGACGGAAATTTTTCTTTAAATTTTTGGAAGGAAACCCCAACCCAGAGCAGCCCAAAGTCTTTAAGGTTTTTTTGTAAAAATTTTTTAATTTTTTTTTAAAATTTTTTTTTAAAAAATATTAAACTATTTAAGGCTCCTTTAATCCTAATATAAAAACTAGCTCATGCGGGCCCTTTTTCGCGTGATTCTTCTTATTTTGTATTTTACTTTGAAAATAACGAACTTATAACCCCACCTTTTACCCTTAAAAATAAATTAAAAAAATTTTTGGGGAAAACAAATTTAAAAATAAAAAATTTATTTATTTTGTCCCATTTCGTTCCAAATTTTAAAAGAAAATCAAGGCATTTTTAACCGGGGTTTATTGTATAAAAAACTTTGTTTTTTCCCCTTTTTTTTTACATTTGTTTACCAAAAATGGTTTGTTTCCGGGGAACCCCCCAAACTTTTTCTTTAAACCGATGGACCCCTTTCCCTTTAGACCTTTAACACGGGGTTTTTAAAATAACCTAAAAATTTACTCCTTTAAAAATTTTTTTTGAAACCCCTTTTTTTTTAAACATTCTTTCCCGGCCCCCCGAGAAATTCCTTTTTTATTTTTACCCCCTTTTTTTTGGTTTTGTAATTTTCCCCTTTTAACGTTTGGTCCCCCCCCCCCCTAACCCACAAGGGCCCCGGGAAACCCCCTTTCTGAAAAAGGTTTAAAAATTTAAATTTTAATTTTTAAAAATAATTTGGGAAAACCCCATTAATTTAATTTTCTATAAAAACATTTTAATTTTAAAGGAAATTACCCCCGGTTTTATTACAGTTTTTAATTTAAAACAATCCCAAAAAAGGAAAGCCAAAAAATTAAAAACTTCCAAACAAACTTTTATTTTAAAAATTTAAAAAGGGGGCCCGGCAAAAGGTTTTTGAAAAAAAAAAAAATTGTTTACCGGGGTGTTTTTTGCCCCTTTCGCCTCCCATTTTCACAAATTTTGAGGGAAACGGGTTCCCTTTTTTAGGGGAGGGAAAAAAAAGAAATTTTTTTAAAAAGAAATTTTTTAAAAAAAAAAATTTTTCAAGACTTCCCAAAAATCGGGTTTAAATATTTTTTGGGGGGAAATTTTCTTGCTAAAACCTAAAAATGAAACCCCCTTTAAATTTTTTTTCCCCCTTTTTATCAAAGTTGGCCTTTTTAACAAAGGGTTTTTGGTCTATCCCGTGGCCCCACGGGTAATTTGGCAAATTTTCCCTTTTTTTTTAAAAAGGGGGGTTTGTTTTTCGTTATGCCTAGTCCCCCCTGAAAATTGGGGTTTTTTGGTTTTATTTTAAACCTTCCCCTTTTTTTTTAGAAAATTAAATTTGAAATTTTTTAATTAAAAACCCCCCAAAATTTGGGAAAAGGTCTTTAAAGGGTTGGGATTGGTTTCAAAAAAATGGGGTTTTTGGTATTTGGGGGGCCCCGGGGAAAAACCCCCAAATTTTTTAAAAAATTTACTTTTCAATTTTTATTTGGGGTAGTAAAGGGTTTTTTAAAAGGGCCCCAAAATTTTTTTAAAAACCCCCCCTTTTTAAATTTTTGTTAAATTTTAAGGAGGGCAGGGCAAACAATTTTTTTTCCCCTTTAAATTTTTTTTTTATAACCAAGAACAATTGGGTTTTTTAAAATTAAAAAGAATCTCGGGGCCTTTTTCCATAAATTTTTTAAAAAAAATTTCAAAAATTTCCTATTGTTTTTTTATTTTTACGCCCCTTTTTTCATTTTTTATCATCAAAAAAGGGGTTTAAAAAAAACATTTTAAAAAAAAAACTTAAATTTTTTAACAAAAAGGAAATTTTTTTTATAGTTTAGGAGTTGGGGGGAAAAAAAAAGATTTAAAAAATTTAATGGCTTTTTAAATTTTTTTAAATTTTTCCCCCCGAAAAACCAAAGGGTTTTGGGAGAAGGAAAATTTGCCAGTTCCCAACCCCCAAATTTGTCCCCAAATTTTTAAAAAATGCGCCCAAGTCCCCCTAAAATTCTTTTTAAATTGGGGGTTTGAGGGTTTTTAAAAAACCCTTTTATTTTGGGAAATCCCAAAAAAATTTAAAATGGCCAAATTATTTTTTTTTTATTTAATTTTATTTTTAAACCCTTATTATTAGGGAAAAAAACCCCGCGTTTTATTTTTCCTTTTTAAAAAAATAAAAACCAAAATTTTTTAAAAATTAAAAAAAAATTTTTGGAAAAAAGGGAAAAAATTTAAACCTTACAGCCTTTTTTAAAAAATTAAAAAAAAACCCCAAAAAAAAAAACCCCCAAAATTTTAAAAAAATTAAACTCTTCAAGAAAAATGAATTAAAAATTTAATCAAAGGGACCCCAAAAGAAAAAATCAAGTGAAAAATTTTTTTTTAAAAAAATTCCTTTTAAAAGGGGGTTTTTTTATCCCTTTTGTTCCCAAATAAACCCCCCTTTTTTTATCAATAAAAATCCAAAAACCAAAACTTTTCAAGGGTGCACCCAAAAATTTTGGTTAAACCCCCGGCTTTAAAATGCCCTTCAATTGACCCCCCTTGTCAAAAGTTCAATTTAAAAAACCCCCGGGGGCCCTTTTAGGGGTTTCCCCCCCAAAAAACAACAAATTTTAAAGGCACCCCCAAAATAAATTTTTTTTCATAGGGTTAAATTTTAAAAAAATTTTTAAAAAAAAAAATTTAAAAATTTTTTTTTTTTGCAGATTTTCCAATTCCACCCAATATTATTTTTATTAAAAAAATAAACCCCCTCCCCTCACCCCCAAATCCCTCGGACTAAAATTTTTCCCCAGAAGGGGGGAAAAAAAAAACCTGCCAGACGGGGTTTTATATTTTTTTATTTTTTTTTGTTTAAATGCCCAAAATTTTTTTCCCCATTTTCTAGTCCCGGAAAAATTTGGGGATAATTAACTTAAGTACAACGAACAAAAAACAATACAAAAATTTTTTTTTCCCCATGTGTTTTTAAAAAAAAAAGTTTTATAATTGATAAGCGCATAATTTTCTCTTTCCAGGGTCTGTTTAAATTCGGTCTGTATGAGGTATTCAAGGTGCAATACTCCAGCATGCTGGACGAAGAGACAGCATATGTCTACCGTACATTCGTGTACTTGGCTGCTTCAGCATCAGCTGAGTTCTTCGCTGATATTGCTCTTTCACCTATGGAAGCCGCTAAGGTAAGTCCATACCAGTTCAATTTCTCCAAGAAGCCTGTGAACGTCACAGGAGGCTTCTGCGCTTCTGGAAGGAGCTTGGTGGTCTCACAAAGCCAACCTCTCCTAGACGCAGTCAATCAGAGCCCACAACCAATACTAATACAAGTTAAATTTGACATCTTTTTACCGCCTTATCTCACCGCCTCACAGAAAACCGGTACTAAGCAACGAGGTTACTGGAGGAATTAGGGGGCAGGGGGAAGGGGTTTACTAGGCATGCCATAAAATCACAATCACCGATGAATATTCATATGATTCTAAAATCATATCGTCGCTCCTGTGCTTCAACATCCCTCGGACTTACTATTATTATTCGCTAGCGCCAGACTCGCGAAAGGGATAAATCTGAAAAAAAAAATGCCATTTATCTTTGACTATGACCAAAGTTGTGATTTATCACAGTAAACAAAATCAATCATTTCATTATATGATTATGATTTACACGTAGCAATAATATTCATGTCTATAATAATATTCATGGCATGGGCTGTCTTGTGACCCTTGGTAACCCAAATAGAAACTGCTGGGAATAAAACCATAAAAAGTACGAAACTGAAGGCAATATTCTTAAGTAGCAAAGTATTTGGGTTTGGGTGTTTTCTATGTATTATATGTCTGTATTTACAAAAAAAATAAAAGTATATAAGTATTCTTACAGTCAATCTTGTTTTCATATTACAAGCTCTGCTTGGTTTGAAGCTAGATGGCGTTGTGTGTCAGATGTCCAAAATATTATTATTATTTTATAGTATTATTTTTAAGGTCCGTATCCAAACCATGCCTGGTTTCGCCACCACCTTACGTGAAGCGTGGCCCAAGATGGTCCAAAACGAAGGCTACGGCACCTTCTACAAAGGTTTAGTCCCACTGTGGGGTCGCCAGATCCCATACACCATGATGAAGTTTGCCAGCTTCGAAAAGACCGTCGAACTTTTGTACAAGGTAATTATGTTATTTTGATATTTTCGTCTACTGGTATTCTGGTCTTTTAATGGCATTTGTAAAGTGTAGGTATATATTAAGCTTAACAAATACCTACACCTAATTTTAGTTTTTTTTTATTTCGTAGACTTATCAAAAAAAAAACTGTTTTTTATTTGTACTTGGGAAGAAGTGTTGCCCATTTTATTAATACCATACATGTATTAATATTGCATACATGGAAAAATATGGGGAGGAAAATTTGTATTATATTGAAATTATAATCGAACAAGTCCATTTTATCAAAACTACATTCTTGAAGTTTTTTTTTGTTAGGCTCGTTATGTCAATTGCGATTTTTTAAATATTTTATTTATTTTTTCAGCATGTAGTTCCAAAGCCCCGTGACCAGTGCTCAAAGGCTGAGCAGTTGGTGGTGACATTCGCTGCCGGTTACATCGCTGGTGTCTTCTGTGCCATTGTCTCCCACCCTGCTGATACTGTTGTATCCAAGCTTAACCAGGTTTGCAAATAATAAAACTACTACAAAACAAGTCACCACGATTAACATCTGTTTTTTGTTATTTATTAGCGAATAACACAGTGTCATCATAAAAAATTGGAAGGATGTTTTTTTTTACAATGTCTATGGTAAAAAAAACTTTAGTTTGTCTTAATTTAATTACGACTGCATTTAGACTACAGATATTTGCAAAAAGTACAAGAAAATAATACACGGCGTGTTTTTTTTTAATATCCAGGACAGAACGGCGACAATTGGATCCATTGTCGGTAAGCTAGGCATGGCTGGAGTATGGAAGGGACTTGGACCCAGGATTGTGATGATCGGTACCCTCACCGCTCTGCAATGGTTCATCTATGACGCAGTCAAGGTAAAGTATTAATTGTTTTTTGGGTTCCTCAAGACCATTATTCATTCACCTGATCATTGCCTGTTCATTCACCTGTCTCTCTGGCAAGAAACTTTTTCTCACCACTAAGCATATGCCCGTTTTTGAAGTCCGTCTTTTTTAGTCTCGTTTGGCATTTTTGAACGACAAACAAAAGAATGTATTTTTTGAATGTATGGAAAAAACCATTAAAATCGCGACACTGTTACCCTTACCGACGCCTCTGTATATAAGTATCTACATATATTGGCCCCGTTTACACGAGAGTTGAGCTTGGGTTGAAATACATTGAAAACATAACTATATATAATATAAACATAATATATAATGTGTATATACTTACAACATAGATATATATTCATATCGGAACTTTTCGAATCGAGAAAAACAAAAAAAGCCTGTTATATTAAAAAAAGTTTTTAATTCTGTCGGCACTCTTGGATTTATAGTGTTTTATCTATGGTCGTGCCACGCTTTGCTTTTATATTACCTACTAAAGATATAATTTGAGCAGAAAGCTGCAGTATATTTTGGTACTTTTTAGGATCCCTTAGAGTAAAAACGAACAACGAAGACGAAGTTTGAGTCTACCTATATCTTACAATTTCATTGACGCAACTATATTATTATCTAAAATAGCTTTTGAAAATAATCAAAGCAATTCTTTTCATTTTGTAATATACCATAAAAAACACATTTTATTCATTTGTGGCAAAACTACCTCGTGTTATTATGTTGCTATGGTAACCTAATATACAATTCGAAAAGTATTTGTAACCAGCTTTTGCCCGCGGTCCCGCCCGCGTAAATATCGGTTATCGCGGCTAAAAGTAGCTTGTGTTTTTCCTCAAGAATCAAAGTATCTTCATAACAAATTTTATCTAAATCGGTTTAACGGTTATTGATTCGCCATACACCCCCTTTTCCCTCCCTTAAAGGATGATTTCTGATATAAAAAGTACCCTATGTACTTTCCCGGAATTCGGACGATCTCTGCTCCAAGTTTCATCGAAATCGGACAGACATACAGACACACTTTCGGATTTATAATATTAGTCTGGATTATTGTCAAATTCTAGTACATTTTCATAAGGTTATTTTCGTAGGTCAATAAGGATTGGACGTTATTTTTATCAATAGGTATTCAAATCACAGTCAGCTAACCGACCTATTTTAAAACACATTATTAAAAACATGTTTTATTTTCAGGTAACGCTACGTATGCCCAGACCGCCACCAGCTGAGATGCCAGAATCTATGCGAAAGCGATTAGAAGCTGAGTCTGCTGCGAAATCAGAGTGAATAATTAGCATTAATAGTTACTTTACATCGCCTGCAATCATTTAGGATTATAAAATAAAATAATTTTATATAAAAAAAGAATATTGTTGACAGCAATTTTAAGCTAGATGCATTGTCTATGATATAGTCCAAAATACCCCGCGAAATGCTACCAAAACTGATCCAAATACAGCATATTATAATAAAATGAGATAACTATGTTACAGTTTATTGTATAAGCAAATGATCATGTTAAATTATTTATTTTGAAATAAAAGAAAAATATACTATCTTTTTTATTTTGGCTTTACCGAAGATAACCGGTGGGGTGTGGGTGGTTATTTGGGACTCGAACCGACTAAACAACGCACGTCATCTCAGGTGCCAGAAGCTGAGAAACCAGGTTTAGCTTGTAAACCATTGACACTCGTGAACTGTTAAGGCTGTACCACATTCTCTAAAACCTAATCTTGTTAGGATTATTCTTAAATAATGATCTTAGATGATTAATCTGAGTTTGCGGAATGGCGGGGATGGAGGGTGGTAGGCCCGGATCTACGATTTTTACGAACCTTGGCAGAAATTTTATAAATTACTTAAAAATATTCACAAATATAACATGTAGAGTGAGCCCCACAAGTCGATGGTGAACCAACCAGACTTCCGTATGCTAGGCGCTTTATGGAGCAAGTTTTTTAATTTTAATCATACAATATTATGATTTTGGTGCCCCTGAAACTGCCGCCAGGGCGGGAGGATAGTGAGGGCACTCGTTTAGATCCAGTGAGTGTCACCACCCCTATTCATCCCGTGGGTGTCGTAAGAGCCGACTAAGAGAGCAAACTATGCAGGATAAACGCATTGCAAAGAGAAGGAAAACTTGAAACCAACCTGTCTGGTCAGTGTGGTATAGAAGGCCAAAACCTCCTTTCTAAGGAGAAGCCTATATCCGGCCGTGGAGTCTTAAAGACTATTGTTGTTGTTGATTTACATTGGACGATTTGCATAATGTGGGCTTTAATATCATTTATCACCCACCTTATATCCAGACTTGGCTCCCATGACTATTATCTCGTTCTCATAAAAGTTAAAGATTATTAATATTTTTAACAAATAAATTCGAACAAAATAGGCATTAAGTCACGTGACAGCGAACACCAATCAGAAAGCGTGACGTCACGCCACGCAAACCATCATTGTTGTTGTTGACGTTTTCATACAACAGAGCAGGTTACTCCTTATTGTTTTTCGTTTTTAGCATATTTTCTCACCTTAACTGGACACAGATGTAAACAGTTTTGTTTCGCAGACTGTTTACGACATTCCAGACGCCATGACACTATTCAGCTCTTTCAAGGAAAATTTCAATTGTTTTTTTAAATACAAAATACGTAATGTAAATATTGCTTTTTCTGTAAAATATAGGTTTTTTGGCATAAAATAGATATTAAAGTATATAATTAACCAAGTTTTCAAATTGAGTCATCATCATCATCAACAGCCTATACTAGTCCACTGCTGAACATAGGCCTCTCCTTAGAAATTGAGTCAACTGGCCTATTTTCTACCGATAAAGAAGTGAGGATGGAGTTTTAGCGTATTTTTTAGACAATGCTAAATATTTTATATGAATGTTACAAGCCACTTCATAGACCTGTAAATATATTAGGGTTGTAGGTGAATACAATGAAAATCTTCACTTTGTAATATTATTTCATCCTCTTCTATTCCATTCTGCGAACTTAAAAAGACATCCTCATATCATCAGCCTATTAAAACTGAAGCTTGTAGCAATTTAGCCAATAGACATTAATAAAAATGTATCGTTTGCATCCCAATGTACTCATTTCTTACTTTTTTTTAAATTTGTCAGTAAGAGTTATTGAGACAATCTTGTTTTCTAACGCAAATGGGCAGACGGTCACCTGATGGCAAGTGATTATCGCCGCCCATAGACCCCCGCAACTTAAGAAAACAAAAGTGTTTTTTGGACTTTAAAGTCATCGAGTGAAACTCTTCCTAAAATTAAGGAGGCGGAAAAGGGCTGGTTTCATTCAAGATCATGCGTCACTCAAATCATCCTGGTTCAGTTACAGTCCATACAGAATAAAAAAAACAATAAAATTAATCAAATCATGCTTAACAAATCAATTTAAAACATTGCTTTTTTAAATCATGAAATTAAACAAAATCTTTTTTCTTGAAAAGGTAATTAATTAAGTTAGGCATATTACATACGAGTACGTCACAAGTCATCTTGGACATTTTGTAGTATATTTCCTACTAGCTGACCCGCGCAACTTCGTCTGCGTCTCTCAATAGTAATAAATTTTCTCCGTTTTCGAAACATTCTTCATTGCTGCTCCGCTCCTGTTGGTCTTAGCGTGATGGTATATAGCCTATAGCCTTCCTCGATAAATGGGCTATCTAACACTGAAAGAATTTTTCAAATCGGACCAGTAGTTCCTGAGATTAGCGCGTTCAAACAAACAAACAAACAAACAAACAAACAAACTCTTCAGCTTTATAATATTAGTATAGATGTGCTTAAAAGACTAATATTTTCACAGTCTATTTTGACTTCAAAAGTATCATTATCATTTGACAGAATTGACAGATAAGAATTTCATAACAGAAATTCTAACCTAAAACTCTATAATTACTAGTGAAACTTGAAATTATCTATTGAAATGTCTGCAAAGAACCTGTTTTTAAACTCTGGTTTTGTACGAGCACCCTTACAGAATGGAGTGGGACGATACGTGTGTCAGTTGCAAAGAATTGTGTTAAAATTCTGCAAAAGTCACGGAGGCAGTCGCGGAATGCGGTACGGATTTCTAACTTGAAGTTTATAAAAAAGCTTATTAGTAAATATGCTCATTTTGGTATTCAACACGAACATGTAAAAGCCCAAGGTTGTATATTTGGCTTTATATATAACCCGTCAGTAAGTCAGTAACTGCTTTGTATCACTTACTAGTAAATAAAAAAAAACCGATTATAATTAAATTAAACGATTAAAAAGGATTATAATTACTTCCACCGTTTCGTCTTGCTTATTCTTTCTTTATACTGCTCAGACTTTTAGCTTTGAGAAATCTCTGAGCACTTGTTGAGCAGTGATTGTTTATGTTGCAAAATTTGCAACCGTAGATAGGGGCCTGTTGCAGCATTATTGGATTACAAAAGTATATAATCAGCATTTCATCAAACACATCCTTATTATAAAAAACATAGTTAAAATCTTGGCTATTCGAATTAAAAAAGGAGTTTTGTTCGTTCCCATCTAATGCAAATGTTTTATAATAATAAATAATAATATTTGGACATCTAATACACAATGCCATCTTGTTTCAAACTAAGCAGGGCTTGCACTATGAAAGCTAGATTGACTGATAGAATACTTATAAACTTTTCTTTTTGGCAATACATACATAGAAAATACCCAAATTCTAAAACAAATATTTATAGATCATACAAATATTTGGTCTGACTGAGAATTGAACCTGAGACGTCAGTCGTATACACTACCACTGTGCCACTGAGGCAGTCTATATATAGCAGGCAGTTTATATATAGCTAACTGATGCGCAAAATAGGTAAAAACAATCTTTGAAGCGGGTTGTACTAGGTGTCTAGTACAACCCGCTTCAAAGATTGTTTTTTAAGCTCAATCGGTGCAGAACTTTTTGAGGTTTTAAGCATGCACAAACCAACTTACTAGTTATATATTCATAGATTTGTGCTATATTTACAGAGATTTCATAGAACAAGACTTAGTTGATTTTGCAAAGCATCACCCAGGGGTGGTGGTATATTTGAAGCCTCGAAGACATCGTTCTCCTGTCATCGTTGGGGAATATTGTAAGTTTTTACTTCTAACTTCACTCCCATGAATTTTTTTATACAACTTGGAATACTAGTGTATGTATAATATCCTGAATTGGTGTAAAATAAAGATTATTCCATTCTATTCTATTCTATATTTGTTTTCAACATCAAAGGTGCTTTACATTATTACCATTCTTCAATAGTCCACTTCTGGACATAGGCCTCTCCTCAGCAAGGAGGTTTTGGGCTACTATACCACGCTGGCAAGACGGGTTGGTATAAGGTTTGTTTCACTCCGTATTCTTAAATCGTCACCATACGGAGAGGGTTTTACATCATTTCATAATTCGATATATATTTCTCAAAGTGTGCATCAGACTGGTGGCCGGCCATAAAAGAAAAAGCCAAAACCATTTTGCAACCACCATTTTGAAAAACACCAAACTGCCTCTGAATAGGGTTTAGCGCTCTGGTAACCTCACTGACTCAAGTGGTTTATCAGTTTTCTGTGGGGCCAAGGAATATTCATCCAATAAATAACAATAACTGCACGGATGGCGTAGTGGTTTAAGCGGTCGCCACGCTGCTCACTACTACGCCGTGTTGTGGGTTCAAACCCCACATGGGACTACACCCACAAATTGTTGTTCTGAGTCTGGGTGTTCTTTATATGTATGTTTGTAAAGTCCCCCGCGACACAGGATATTTTCCTAATGCGGGAGTTGTCTTAGAAGTAACTGATTGCCTCGCAGTGGTAGCAAGCTACTGCTGTGCTGAGGTTAGATCCCCGGGTCGGACTAAATGTTTGTATGTTCTGCATATATTTGTTTTATAGTTTGGGTGTTTTTGTATGTATAGTATAGTATGTAAATTTTTCTCTCAGTCAATCTAGCTTTCATAGTACAAGGTCTGCTTAGTTCAAAGATGGATGGATGAAAATATTATTATAAATACTTACTTTTTCAGTAAACGGCGATCGCGTTTGGATGAATGTACATAACAAAACGCATGAAGAAATAACAAAATGGATAGAAGTTCTGCATACACAGCAAGGAGATATAGCCTCAGTGCGTCTCCGTAAATATCAGTACACCGATCATCCTTCAATCCAGGGTCCCTGGACACCATTCACATTTAAGGACCCAGAATTGAACACTGCAGAGCTCCCATCTTCTAAATTTGGTGCAAATAATAGATTGCCTATGTCTGCAACGGAACAATTGCGGTTGATGTTTGAAAAGCAAAAGATATCAACTAAGACGGAGGATTTAAAGATTGCTGAATAGTTTTATTTGTTGAATAATAGATTAGTTGTTAATAAATTGTTAGTAAGTTTATTAGTCTTTTATATTGCATATGTCTTTTAAACTCTCCGAGGATAAACTAGTAGAAGAGTGACTAAAATTTATTCTTTCTCATTTCCACACTTCTTTTTTTTTGTAAAGTAAGAATCAAGACAGATATCTGTGTCCGTATTTATTTTATATTATCGATATTTTTTTCTGTATCCTTTATTTTCACCCTTACGGTGGAATCATTCCTCCAAATTTAAATGTCACCAAATGGTTCCACCATGGACCTATCGATTCATACATGACGGAGTTTGAGGTAAAAACACGTAAAAAAATGTTTATCTCAGAACCAGAAGAGGTTCTGATTTCAACTTTTTTTTTATTGAAGTTGGTTAAAAATATAAAGGATTCAGTAGTGTTAAAATTAAAATCTGTTTTTCTTATATTAACATTTTTAATCTTAAAATCTAATGATGACAGGCCTTTTAGAGATCCTCCGCAAAGAGTATGGTGGACATTCTGTTACAGACAGACATACCTGGATTATGAAAGGCTTATCCTAATATTTTTCAACAAATTAAAATGCCCAGTTAAATGTAGTGTTTAAATCAATTTAAGTTTCTAAGACATTAATGAATTCTAAAATTTGAATGTTTATATTTTTCATGTCAAATTTCACTGTAAAACTTGCCAGCTAAGTTAAGTTAAGCAAGATCACATGTTTCCAGCACCTTGTTATATCCTTGACAAGAGATTTTCCAGCCTTCCATGAACCAATCATCAGTCTTGTAATAGTAGAGATACAATAAAAAAAAATACTAAACATTTTACAAACTAAATAATAACCAACAATGAATAAGCACTTCAATCTTATTTAAAACAGCGAACAAACAATACTACCAACATCACAGAAGGATAAAAATAAGCGAAAAGTTTTAATAACATATAACAAGCAAATTTTGCATACACTTTGTATGCAAAATTTCACGATGGGTCTGATGAATGCTGCAGCTGCTCATAAAATACAAAAAAAAAATACACATTTTATTTATTTTTTTGCTCTGTGTGAAGATATTATATTATTATTATATATAAGACGGTTGAATAAGATGGTTCTTGTGTAGGTACTTATTTTCTCCATCTTATCTCATATTGCTCGTAGTACAGTTAAAGCTTACACTCTAATTATAAAATGTATCATAACTACTATACTACTTATTTAAATAGTTAATAACATCAATACTTCTAATATTGTTGATGCACCTCCACAAATTATAATTTTAGTAAATTATTCACGTCTGCCTGTGACGTGAGCTAACTGCGTCTGAACTCTGAAGCGCATTTCGAGTGGGTGCGTTTTTTATAAGTGGCGTTATTTACACTCCGAGTTCATAAATAAATATTAAATATAAATTATAAATATATTATATACATATATATAAATTTTGTAAATACGAATATTTCGTGAAAAAACAGGTTCAAATTGTCCTCGGAGTTTCTCATTGTACTATCCTGACTGGCCAGTTAGAATAGCAAGTAAACCTTTTGGCCATCCCAACAGCCAGTAACTACTTACATCAACCAGGTGGCATAGTTATTAGAGCCAGTGGACCTAGCATATGTGTTTTAATAGGTTTTCTGCTATTCAGAACAGAGGCAAATCAAATTTCACAGAAATTGGTCCAGCCATTTTGGTTATAAATTTAAGTTGTAACAGACCTGACTTCTTGAAATCTAAGAAATAAATTGACAAATGTTTAAGTATTGATCCATAATCATCTGATCTAGAATTTATTTCAGAAAATTTCTTAATTTTACTGTCTACCAAATTGTACAGTTTTAACTGTTTCCGAACATAATACATTAATAAGACCAGTTTTATTATACTTGGGTATATAGTTTTCGTGAGGTCATCAACAATATTATGACATCTTTACTCAAATAAAAAAAGTTTGATAGTTAAGCTCGACTAAAATAAAGCTTGGCATGGCCATAAACCGAGCTGCTGGTAGGGACAACTTATTACATAGTTAAATTAATTACTATAAACTTCCCAATACTATGCCTATAAATAATCATGGTCTTGCTTTTACCGTATTAAGTCACACTTATGGGGTTTAATTCTGTTGTGTTTAGTGTTAAAGTTGAAACATTTTACTGTTTAACCCCATTTAAGTAAGTACATAGTAACTACAATATAATAACATCAATACATCATGTTTTAGTATACAATCATATCATTTGGCAGTTCTATAGGTTTTTTAAACGTTTACCTCAGTTCAGAGTAATACCAGACTAACTGACATCACGCACGGTCTGGCAAAAATCAATGGTATTACAATATAAATCCAGTACAAAGTACTTAACTTAATCGTCCCAACATTCGTGATTTGGGTCTGTCTCCGGCAGATATTCCCGTTGCAGTATTGGCTTTGGCACTGTAATCTGGCCACCAGGCCTGTTGTCTTCCACCTCGAGGGGTTTCTGAGGGCAGTTCTGACAGTGGGCTTTCATTTCACTTTCAGGAAAACGATGAGTAGCATTATATGGGCATATTGACAGTGGTGGTCGTTTTTTCTGACATTTCACTATGTGGTTCTGTATGCGGGAGCGTGGGACACGGTGCGCCGGGTCGTAAGGGCATGTAGTCCACGCCTCAAGATCATACTCCATTTTCTGAAAAAGAACAAAATATTTAACTTGATTGCGGTTCAAAAAAACAAATCACTAGTATTATATTTCAACTATATATGTAACTATAATATACCTACAAATTTTTCGTTGTTTTGTTTTTAAGTTAGCAATTTAAATAGATATTAAAGTTAGCTACAATGTTTACAAAGAATCTCGTTGGTTGCGCCCGCCGGTCGGTTTCTCTAATTTATTATAATGTTTCATCTATACGCCCACAGAACATATATACCCCTAAAGGGGTATACGCCGGTTTAATTATTTGATTTGAAATAGACTAGCTAGACATAGACAAATGACAGTACTACCAGTTTTGCCAGTTCTGTATTGTAAACAAAATGTTTTGTTTTGCAATGTCTTGATACGGCAACACTGGGTAGAAAATTAGGGGTTAAAGTATGAAATTGCGGATTTGCACTGAACAATTAAACACCGTTTTTTCCTGACATATTTATTTGAGCAAAATGTTTAACCTATTATCTATCCATCTAAAAGAAATCATTTATGCCTTTACGATATAACTCTAGGAATCTAGATTCGACAAACTGTGTAAAAGCATTTTTTACTGCGTCCTGGGTAGACTCGCCCGTTTATCATGTAGAAAATTGACCAAATCACGAAAAAATGGTGGTCCGTTGGAACAAGGTCTGGCGAGTACGGAGGATAACGTATGATTTCTAACTGCAGATCCTGTAGAGTAATAACGGTTTCTCGTGCGTTGTGAGTGCAGTGGGTCGTCCGTTATCATGGTGCAATAATGGTGAAGATCGGTTCTATTGATTCCCGAATCGGGGCTGTTTCACTGCCAGTGTCACCATCATTGTTCAAAGTTCGGTGCAGTAATAATCTGCTGATATTGACTGACCAGACCTAAGAAAGCTATAGTGAATAACACTATGAAGAGACCACCAAACAGTTACCATTATCTTTTTATTGGTAAGCTTTGCTTTAGGGCACTGATGAGGCGTTTGACCTGGGGTCAGCCATTGCATTTTTCGCTTACGGTTATTGTAAACAATCCACTTTTCGACACGATTCGATACAATATTTCTTCATTTCTGTACCGATTCCGTGTAGTGACGGATTAAGAATACGGAATGTCACTACCCCAATTCATCCCGTGGGTGTCGTAAGACCCGACTAAGGGCGCAAAACAACGCAGGACACCAGCCCTGCAAAAAGACGGAAAACTTGACACAAACCTTATACCAACCCGCCTGGCCAGCGTGGTATAGTAGGCCAAAACCTTCTTTCTAAGGAGAGGCCTATGTCCAGCAGTGGACTATTAAAGGCTGTTGATGTGTGATGTGATGTACCGATTCCACGAGGCAAGACAAGTTTCAACACGTATTTCATTCTGCAGATCAGTCAAATCATGAGGTATCCATTTTTCATGTTTTTTTTTTTTAAATCTTATTGATTTGATGCAAATGAGTATTATAGGTAGCGTAACGTTAAACCATACCGCTAATTCCTTGAAAGTTTCCACCTTATCCTTCAATTCACCGTTATTCACCTGGGCGGTCTTCCACGTGGTTCGTTCCTCAAGTCGTTTAAGCGTTATGTTCAAGCGTTTAAACCAAAAGGGATTCGATCCCAACATGGGACGACACTTTGTGTGATCCACAATTTGTTGTCCTGAGTCTGGGTATTCTATGTGTACGTTTCATGTATGTTTGTAAAGTTCCCCGCGAAATAGGATATATTCCTAGTGCGGGAGTTGTCTTTTTAAAACATCAAACTATTTATGATTTTTATTGTTAAATACGCGGTGATTTTATAGACGTTTTGGAAACGAAACATTTTAATTTGGAATCATCTATAGTACCAATAAAAATGGTAAATCAATTGTAATGTTGACTAAAAAAAAGTTTCAGTTTTAATATTCATTTTTACTCGATCGACTTGGAATATAGTAATACACTGATCATTCGTTCATTATCTTATATGAATAAAACACGTCCGTGCGCGTTTCGGCGGCTGCTGCGCACCGCTGACGTTAACAGCAGCTGATAAAAGTATACCTATAGGCGCGAGCTGGCGAGTACTTCCGTAGATAGACTCCAGTTTGTCCTTGATACCTTACACGGGCTTAGGACCGTCGGAAATACCTATTTTATTTAAACTTCTTTTCGATTATAAACTACGATTGTTCTTTTCACAACAAATTAATTTATCAATGAACTGTAGGTATAAATATTTCAGGCGTATTTAAAAAATCGGAGCTATCTACAGAATAATTAACTTATATACCTATTTACAGTTTATTTAACTATTTACACTTCTCTGTATCGAAGCAACTGCTCAAAATGGATTCCGCTGCGTTCAATACACAAACGTCAACGTTTAATGCAATTGTTTTTTAATTTTCTTAATGTGTCTCTATCACTTTTCACTTTATCGAAATCACTTTTTCAAATATTTCCGTGTATAAACCAGTTTTTTTATTTCCGACCATAAGAAAAAATCCAGGGGCGTTAAGTCCGGGCTTCTAGGTGGCCAAGGCACAGGCCCTCCTCGACCTATCCACCGATCACTAAACTCATTGTCCAGGTATGCACGCACTACACTCGCGTAATGAGCGGGACAGCCGTCGTGGTAGTACATACCTCTCGAGTAAGCTAACGGCACATCGTCTACTAACTCAGATATTACTGTCCTTAACATCTCTAAGTACGAGTTGCCGATTAGATGACCTTCAATAAAAATAGGCCCTATTAATTGGTCGTTAATGATACCGGCCCAAATGTTCACACTGAAACGAACCTGGTGATGGTTTTCTCGTATCAAGTGGGGGTTAATTAGAGCCTAGTAATGCTCATTGTGCACATTGTATAGTCCCACTCGAGTAAACAGTGACTCGTCCGTCCAGAGTATGTTGGCGTTTGTATTATTTAACAACCACTGGAAAAAGACGATTCTTGCTGGTGCGTTAGTGTTGTTTATTACGTGAGCCTTACGAAAATGATACCGATATAATCCTTGTGTACGTAATACCTTACCTTACCTACCTACCTTCAATGCGAAGTTTTGGCTAACATCAATTCTCGTGCTGCCATCCTTGTGCTCCGCCGGGAATCGCGCTCGAAGTACTCAAGAACATCTTCTTCAAACTCTGGCGAATAATAATTTAAACGTCCTTGACCTTGCGCATGAGTAGGCGCACGAAATCGTCCGTGGTCGAGAAGACGTTGGGTTGCAGCCAAGATGGTAGGTGTGGAGGGAATTTGAGGGCTTTCAATTCCACGTAGCCGTAGTGCATTTAAATGCTCCGGCTGGGAATACAAACGCCGAGCCTCTTCCAAGTTGTAGTTGGCAGTAGCGTACAGCTCTACCATTGCCAAGTACTCCACGTTTGAAAATTCGTACTGTCGACTCATTTTAGCGCTAATCAATGTAGCGTGCCGTCACGATTTTATGGTATTACTGACCGACTGAAAGCGAAGGACGCCTCACGATTACAGGTGAGTCCCGTGCATGCGCCTACGGGGCATACGACTCAGTGCAATGCCGTCATTGGTTGGACGACTCCGGCGCAACTCGGTAGCTTTGTTTTTATTGGCGAATACGATTTTATGTGACTCGATATTAGAACGCATAGTATTTCTAATTGTCGTATTTACTTACGTGTGATTGAATAGCGCTACTACTGGTTCTCACTTTTTCTCTGTAAACGATATGAATATCGACTTTGATGAAAAAAAATATACATTTTATTAAATTAACGTTATATATAGCTTCTGTTATTGATAAATAATTCTAAATTTTCTGTTCCAAAACGCTTTCAAAATCACCGTGTATAGTATAGTTAGTAGTATAGTTAAAATATCGATAAAAAATCCAGATGAACAAAGGATCAGTCCTTTGTTTATCTCGATTTTTTACCGACGCGATTTATTATTTTGTGTATCGAGAGTTACCCAAACCTATTGTATAATTGTAAACCTATGTAAACCTATTGTAGTGTAATCTGACAACGTCAAATTTGAATTTGATAGAGGTAGATACTTTAAATTTTTGGTCACTTCAAAACACTTTGTAGAAACTTGTAAATATTAATTTACCCGCGTACACCAAATAAACGAAAAGAAGCCATGGAAGGTAATTCTCTATTTATTCTGTTGTCCAAAATCACTTTAATGTTAATAAATATGGATGTAAACAAAGACAGATGGTTTCTAATTTTCAGATAACAAAAATCCTAAAAGGCCGAAGATGGAGTGTCCTTACGGTGATAAATGTTACCGGTTAAATCCTATACATTTTAAGGAATACAGTCATGCTCACTGTAAGTGCTTAATGTGTCAAGTGTAATTTTTTTATTTAAAAAAGTACTTTTATCTATGTGTATAGGGCTATAGATGATATTGTTTTTTTTTTTTAAGTAAAAAACATACTGTAAATTTTTAAATTAATCAGCTTTAAGTAGTACCTTAAAGCTCATGTTAAATACAGAAATTGTAGTGAACTGCAATTGCAGAATGAAATAAAACTAATTTCCTTTTTGTTTTGTAAATTATATTCAAAATTCAATTCTGTATGCACTTAGTATCAATGCTTGAAAGGCGATCATTAGGTATTTTGGGTTAATATTTAAGGGGTTGCCTTACTAAAATTAATATATTTTACTATAAATCACCTCCTTTGTTTATAATGTAATTTAAATTCTTATTACCAATAAGAAATTGCTGTATGTACTCTTGTAGTTAAACAAAGAAATGGTTGCTGTACAAAAATGTGTATTCTATTCTATATATTTATGGATATTTCAAAATACAAACTTTTTGTAAAAATATAGTTTGTTCTTTCAGTCATTCTTTGCAACTGTTATTGTATCTTTTAGACTTTAAATTCTCTTTTTAGTGGAGTCTATTCTGGACTCATACACAGGCAGTGGAGATTTACCAATCCCGTCTAAACTCAATGAACAAAAGCAGATGTACGTAGATCAATTGAAGATGATTTTGCACAGACAGTTATATAGTCCAGGAAAGAATTTTGAAAAGGAACCAAGTGCTAGGTAAGTGTTTAAAATAACACACATGTTGACTTCATAGTGGGAGAGGAAAACTTGGGTACAAACAGGCTTGCGACCTGAGTAATACACAGAGAACTGGTGTGAAGCTGTTCTTTCATCGTTTTTTACTGATTGAGTAAGTAATTTGAGGGGAGGGAACCTCCCCTTCACTACATACAAATACATGAATATATTATGTTCACCAGTACATCACAATCAAGCGCAAAAGATACGTCATTGGAATCACAGAGCAACCTAACATCAAATACTACTGATGCAGAACCAAGCAGAAGTAGAGGGAAGTCTCCTTGTCAGGATGTGAAAAAGACAGAGAAGAGAGAGAAATTAGCTACTGCAGGTCAGAAGATTGCTGTGGGCTGTTCCCAGGGTAAGATAATTAATTTTTTGTATCATTTGATCGTTTGTCAGTCAAATTTCTGCATCTTTCATTAATTCGTATATATCCCAACCTACTGCAAACAATTGCCAGCTTTTGCTGGCTGTCTGTACCGCTGTACAACAAATTGAATACGTACAGACATATTCAATTTTTTTTAATGAACCCTATTTGTGGATATATAATTTGCTACGGTCAGGCACTTGTAAACCTTTTTTTTTTAAATATATTTTATTTAGAAAATTTAAATGCAGGAAAACAATTCAAACACGACTTCCAAAATGTAGCACTGGTAGAAAAATTAATCACTTACTCAAAATCAGCAACCATTTAATTATTCGCTGTTCGATTTTTTTTATTTAGTTTGAAATTAAAATTCTGGATGCCAACAAGTCGTAACACGTTTAAAGCTAATGTCCGAGAATTCTACAGGAAACAGCTAGTAGAAATGTACTCATGATTTTGTCACCTCAGATATTATTGTATTTGGAGGTGCACATGCACCTTCCATGTCCCTTACTGAAGTATCTTAAGGTTGAACAGCAGATAATGCCAGGAAGTGTAAAAATATTCATTACTGACTGCTTAGACGGCGAAGTGGTTTAAGCGGTCGCCACGCCGCTTACTACTACGCTGAGTGTTACTACACCAGCACTGCAAAAAGAAGGAAAACTTGATACAATCCCTATACCAACCCGTCTGGCCAGCGTGGTATAGTAGGCCAAAACCTCCTTTCTAAGGAGAGGCCTATGTCCAGCAGTGGGCTATTAAAGGCTGTTGATGTGTGATGTGATGTGAGTGTTGTGGGACGTGGGACACACCACACATGGGACGACACTTTGTGTGGTCCACAAATCGTTGTTCTGAGTCTGTTGTTCTGTGTCCGTTTCATGTATGTTTGTGAACTCCCCTGCGTCACAGGATATATTCCTAATGCAGTTATCTTTAAAAAAAAAGAAAACAAAATAGAATTAAATCGATTAGCCGGCAATTAATTTCAATATGCGTTTTAAAGTGACATTAAGTGTCATTCTGATTATTCATGTTTTCTAAATTCAGACAGTGACTATAGGCCAGTGGTGCCACCTACCCGCCGTGCGGAGGAGTTCCTAACAGTGGTACGACCTCGCGGCCAAATGGCGGCAAAACATGCCGCTGCTGCCCCATTCCACATATTTTATACGACTATTAAAGACAGCAAAGAAACTCATTCACAACCTTACTCTATAACTTTTCAAGGTAAGTTTGTAGATAATTTAGTCGAAATAGTTCAATTTTTTTATATGATATACTTAAGGGGGCAAACCAACTGACGGTCTATAGGCGGCTGTAGTCACGGGTGGATATGATATTACATACAAACAAAAGGTAGATACGTCACCAACGCACAAAACGCGAGGGTACTAATTAATTCGAGAAAATTCATAAAATGCCTTCCTGTGTATTTCCTCTGTGTAGAAATTACGACAAAAGGTAAATAAAAATAAAGGAATATCATACCACAGGTAAGTGTGTGTTTTGTTATAATATTTATAAATAGATGTATGTACGGTTACGGAACAAATATTTTGTGCGTGCAGTATGCATATAATATATAATTATCTACCTTAAAATATCTTTGGTAGACGCCGCGTTGTTAACTAGAAAACAATACGAAAGACATGTTCGAAGGCGAGCGGTGTGCTGCCAATGCAGCGTTCTCGTGCGTGAACCACTCGCGGGCGAGGCGCTCCGGAGTTGATGTAGTGACTACGGAGCGCCATAGTACTCCATACAAAGAATACTAACCTCTCGAGGCGAAGCGGTGCTGGTCGGTTCTCGGGTGGCTCTGATGAACAAAAACATATTTTTTAAAGAATTTAGTTTACATACCGCTAAATTCTCATAAATACACCCAGTTATTTGATTTCTTTTTCAGAAATTTTGGATCACAGTTTAGGAGAGCTCAAATGCTCTCTGCAGATCAATTTTATGGTTGAAATCGGATGGTTGCTCGCACAATACTATTTTGCTGGCTACAGGTATGTAGTACGCATGCTTACAGGTGTTGATAGACTTTAGCATTCACTTAATGACTGCTTAAATATTTAATAGAAATGACTGCACGGGTGGCGTAGCTGCTCTGACTGTTGTGGTCCAATCCCCACATGGGACAACACTTTGTGTGATCCACAAATACTTGTTTTGAGTGTGGGTGTTCTTTGTGTCGGTTTCATGTATAATAATAATAATCTTTATTGTAACTATAAGTGATACACAAACAATAAACAACCCTGATTCCCCAACTAGCGCGAGCTGTGTGTAGGGAGACAGTTCCTTCTCAAAGACAAGGTGAACAAATATAATATATAATATAATAATAATATAATATTGTACCACATTCACACAACGCCATCTAGTCCCAAACTAAGCAGAGCTTGTACTATGGGTACTAGACATCTGATATAAATACATATATACTTTTTTTTTTGTAAATACATACTTATTATACATAGAAACACCCAGACCAAATCAAACATTAAATGTTCATGCACACAAATGCTTGACTTGAGCGGGAATCGAACCCGCGACCTTTGGAATAGCAGTCTGCTACACAAACCACTACGCCATTCGGTCGTCATAGTTACAACAGTAGACACAATTTAGTTAAGTTTTTTTTATGGTATAAGGGGCAAACGAGCAGACGGGTCACCTGATAAGCAACTACCGCCGCCCATGGACACCTGCAACTCAAAAGTTACAAGTGCGTTGCTGCCCTTGGAGTCCCTCCCGCTCGAGTCAGCGGGATTTGGGCTCCGGTAACCTCACTCACTCAGTGAAAGGCAACGAAAGAATTGCTTAACACCGGTTTTCTGTGAGGCCGTGGTATCACTCCAGTCGAGCCGGCCCATTCGTGCCGAAAAATGGCTGGATGTTTGTAAAGTCCCCCACGATACAGGATATATTCCTAGTGCGGGAGGTGCCACAAAAAAAGGGCATTCTAGCGGAAAGAAGCCCACAAAAAATTAATAAGAGCGCTTAGTTCCAGCGAAACAACAGTATATTCGCCTGGCAGACGGGCCTGTTGGTTTAGTGAATATTGACTCTGACTGCTAAGGCAGAGGGCGTGGGTTCGATTCCCACCCAGGACAAATTATTGTGTAATGAGCACGATCATTTATACTGTTTGGGTGTAATTTATCTATAATGTATTTAAAAATATATAAGTATGTTATTTTGTTGTTATTATATTATGTATAAGCACAGGCTCTGTCTAGTTTGGGGTCAGACGGCCGCGTGTGAGATGTGTGACGTTATTACGATTACATACTACGTACTATAGTTAAACCGCCGTAAGCTTGGCCCTCCTGATGGTTTGCGGGACGCGGGGCGGGGATGCATTCAACCAATTAGCTAGTGCGTCGCTGTCCGCCGACAGTGACTGACGTGAAAGCATGGCTGCACGTGTTATTTTTCTTAAGACTGCTACACACGGTATTATTTTGCAACATGGATAATCTGCCGACTCTGCGTCACAAAAATAACATAATGAACTCTAAATTGATATATATATGTATATATAAATATATATAAATATATATATATATATATATAAATATATATATATATATATACAAACATATATATAGTAAACAATCTGTACTCTGCAATGCTTCGCTTGTGGTTGCGTTGCTGAGAAATCAGGAACAAAACTGAAAGAATATCTAATAACAATCTTTGAAGTGTGTTGTATATCGTGTCAAAATTTGAGCTCAATCGGTGGAGAACTTTTGAGTTTTAGAAGCGTACACAAACCGTTATTAACCGTAACACAAACGTAAATTTAAAAATGTATAATATAATATGGCAACAAATCAATATATAATAATAATATACTATAACTAGCTGACCCACGCAACTTCGTCTGCGTCTCTCAATAGTAATAAATTTTCTCAGTTTTTGAAACATTCTTCATTGGTGCTCCGCTCCTATTGGTCTTAGCGTGATGATATATAGCCTATAGCCTTCCTCGATTAAATGGGCTATCTAACACTGAAAGATTTTTTCAAATCGAACGAATTGAATTGAATTGAATTAAATTGAACTTAACATTTTTATATATATCACAGGAAAATAACAAGAACCGCAAATGTATAAAATTCCTATAAAATTTATAAACCTTCGTAGGATTCTAAACGAGAGAAGAAACACCCCGCCGGGGTTCTCTATTCGGCGTTGCGGTGTGTCGGACTCGAACCGACTAAAACCACACGGTGTGCCCTTTTTGCGCTTCTATTTTAGGGGGGGTCCGTGTAGTTATCGCCTTCTGGACCCCTCCCAGCTCTGGAAGAGAAGAAAACCTAACCTAACCGGGTTGGGGGGTAATGAGCGAGCCGACCAGCTCGCCAAGGAGGCGGCTCATTACCCCCCACTTACCCTAGTAAGTTTATCAATTTGCGAAAATGTGGGCGTAAAAGAATACAATTTTTATCTCGTTTAGAATCCTACCAAGTTTTATAAATTTGCGGTTCTTGTTATTTTCCGGTGAAATATAGATATTCCGTGGTAAAATTTCCAGTCAAAAGAAATTAACAATTTTGTACGGCGAGGAGTGTAAGGACCTTGAGAATATAAGCTCAAAGAAACCGCACGTGGATGCCCACTATATCACGATGCCCACGCCTTTTGGGAAACACCACACGTAAGTACATTACAACATGTTTGAAATCAAGGTAGAGATCGTGTGGCGGTCGAATGTCGGCCATTTTAAATGTATTTTTTTCTTTCATTGATCAGTATAACTTGAAAAGTTATCACATAACATCAACAGCCTATGATAGTCCACTGCTGGCCGCTCCTTAGAAAGGAGATTTTGGCCTACTGTACCACGCTGGCCAGACGGGTTGGTATAGGGTTTGTTTCAAGTTTTCCTTCTCTTTGCAGTGCTGTTGTCTTGCGTAGTTTTCTCCCTTAGTCGACTTTTACGACACCCACGGGATAAATAGGGGTGACGTCATTACGTATTCTTAATCCGTTACCACACGGATAGGTTCTTGTATACACTTTTTTGCCACATTGATGCTTTGTTCTTATTGGTTATATAGACTTCCTTAATGAATGGGCTATCCAACACTGAAAGATTTTTCCAATTCGAACCAGTAGTTGATGAGACTAGAGCGTTCGACCGCTATTAAATTTTAAATTTTGTTTATAAATGATGCAATTTTTGTAAATACGTTTAGGAAATACCTAAACGTAGGTATTTTCAAATATTGTTGTTGTATTTATGTTAAGTAAAATTAGTAAGTGTAAGCTTATTTTTTCTTTTGTTGTTGTGTTTTTTATTTGTTATTCTTATAGTTTTAATTTGTATATAAAAAATATATAGACAGGCTCAAGATAGCTCAGGTATAAATCTTGTTGGTTTTTTAGTTGCTATTTTTGTATTAGTTGCTGTAATATTTTTTGCAAAAGAAAACAAAAACAAACACACACACACTTCAGCTTTATAATACAACTATAGATAAAGTATAAAAAATATGACAAGTTTTATAAAAAGAGTTACAGAGAATTACCTTCACGTATTTACATATAGATAAATAAATAAATGTATTGTTGAAATTAATATATTATGATGTTTTTACGACCGGATGGCGTAGTGGTTTGTGTTGCTGACTGCTACAGTCTGACTGCTACGTCACAGGTTTCGGGTTCGATACCGCTCAAGTCAAGTATTTGTGTGAAATTTCAAATATATTTAGATTTATAGAATCGCACTAAGAAAAAAAAGTAAAAAAAATTATAGTAATAAAGTAAATAATACATTTGAAAAAAAGCGTGGGGTGCTTTTTACTATTGACAACAGGCACCCAACGCTTTTTTTCAAATTTATTTTCTATTTTTTAGTTTGGTTTTCTATAGAAAGCGTGTTTTTTAGTTTTTGAAACTATATTTTTTTTTTTTAAATTAGTGTATTGTCATCGGTCCTCGATATATCTACAAAGTTTGAACGAATTCTGACCGTTCAAAGTCAGTCAAAATCACGCCCTAAGGAGTCGGTTACAAATATACGAACATACCAACAAACATACAAGTGAAGCTAATATAAAGGGTGTAAAAATAGTGACGCATCGATCATGCCCCGCCCCTAACTAATCTGGTTCCAAAACATCATCGTATCGTACGAAAGCTTAGAACCAGATTGGCCAGGATCCTTGTACTATACAGTAGTTATAGGTGAATTTAGACCTTATTGTTTAATTTTAAAGTTGAAATTAGTTGAGTTTCTCTTGCGGTTTTAAATGTATCAATTTTGCTTTTTTTTTTCCTTTTTCAGTAAAATGATGATCTTATGCTACGAAGACGGTTCCCTTCGGGTTGTGATATCTACAGCCAATTTGTATTATGATGATTGGGAGAACAGAACGCAAGGGTGAGTGACGTCATTAAATATTAGGGGTTGGCTTCTGATGATGTACCTACTTACTACAACCAATCTGTGGAATAAATTGTCGCCGCGGTGTTTCCGGACAAATACGACCTCAGAATCTTTAAGAAAAGAGGGTACTCCCTCAGAGGCCGGTAACTCCTGACTGTAACTCTTGAGTTTCAGGCGTCCATGGGCGGCGGTAGTCACTTTCCATCAGGTGACCCGTCTGCTTATTTGCTCCTTATATCATTAAAAATACAGTGTAATTATTGCAACTTTTTTGATAAAAGTTAGTTTTTTTTGTGGATCCAGTAATATAAAAAAGCTAAAAAAATTACTTTTGCCAGTGGGTTTTTTTTTTATTTTTTTTATTTGATAGAACAGTTGTTGAGGAAGATTACTACTATTTAACATCACGCTGCGGCCCTTAAAAGAGAAGTAGTGAGAGAGAAAGAGAGATAGAGAGAGAGAGAGAGATAGAGAGAGAGAGAATGCTCGTAGCGGCTGGTAGTAATATATCCATTTTTGTTTCAGTCTATGGTTCAGTCCGGTTTGTCCCGAGCTACCGGCAGACTCGATGCCTCACGACGGGGAATCCCCCACAATGTTCAAGAGGAGTTTACTCCGCTATTTAAATCACTACCATCTTCCGTGCCTTGCGTATTATGTCGAGAGAGTCAAAAGATGCGACTTCAGTAATATCAAGTAAGTAAGCTAAATCTATAATTAAACTTGGTTCTGCTCTCGGTTTCGCTTGCTTTATCCATCAACTAAGTGGGCCTCATGGTTTTACCCGCGCAATGTTTTCAATGTGTTCATCCAAAGGGAACACTATATTTGTTAATCCAAGGTGTCGCTATCTCCGTACCAAATTTTATCAAAATTGGTCCAGCCGTTTGAGCGCGAAGAAGTGAAAAAGTTGACTGCAAGGATGGCGTAGTGGTTTAAGCGGTCACCACGCCGCTTTCTACTGCTGAATGTTGTGGGTTCGGTCCCCACATGGAAAAACACTTTGTGAACAACACAGTCTGAGTGTTCGTTGTGTCCGTTTCATGTATTTTTGTAAAGTCCGACACTGGTTATATTCCTAATGCGGGAGTTGTCTTTAAAAAAAACAAAAGCAAACATATAAACACACACTCATAAACTTTCGCCTTTATAACATTAGTGTGAATAAGCTATCTAGAAATAGTAATTTGCCTGAATGAAAGTCCCTCCAGTAGCTCCATCTGGTGCTTTTTATCTTTTTTAAACTCTCGCACTAGGAATATATCCTGTGTCGCGGGGGACTTTATAAACATACATGAAACGGTCACAAAGAACACCCAGACTCAGAACAACAATTTGTGGATAGCACAAAGTGATGTCCTATGTGGGGTTTGAACTCACAAGTAGGAAGCGCCGTGGCGACCGCTTAAACCACTACGGCCATCCGTGCAGTCAAATTTAAATGTATTTAACTAATAAATGGTAAAAGTGTGATCATAGTGAAACGTTATTAACAAAAACAATCAATATTAAAGTAAAAAATATCTTGTGTTATTTGTCAAAGGCCTTTGATTACTTGTATTAAATTACATCAATAAGAAAAATACATTATTATGGTTTCAGAAACATTGCATTTAATCGCTTTTTAAGTTACATGGTTAATGGCAAACAAAAAGTTGATATAAATATCAGAATAATATCTAATGTTTGTGATCTAGATGGGTGTACCTCAGGGTATTATTCTTGGTCCACCAGTTTTTGTTAGGTGAACTATAGGTATTGTTAAATGTCATTAATTTAGTTTGTTTAAACCTTTATCATATTCTTTAATTGTTACAGTGTTTTTCTTGTAGCTTCAGTACCGGGGTCTCACATGGACACCGACTGGGGTATGCTCAAAGTGGGTAGCCTGCTTAAACAACATTGTGAATATAGTGGAAAGGCACCTTTGATTGCTCAGGCCAGCAGCATTGGTAGCTATGGGAAAGAGCCGAAGGTAATTAGATTATTAAGTAATTATATTTATTGTAAATATTTTTAGATATAGGGGGTATTCTAGTCTAAAAGCCCGAATCTTGAGCGTTTTTGAGGATTCATAAAAAAAGCAATTGATATTTTTACCATCCATTTTTGTATGGCTTATTAATTCATATTGCAAGGAATTTTAGCAAGTTATGCGTCGTTGAAGTAGAGGGTGGGTGGGGGAGGGGGGAAAGCCGTGTCCCGATCGTCATGATATCTGCCCTCCTGGTCACCTGAAAAATAAAATTATGGATAATTTTTGATCAATATAAATGTCCGTATCGTATCAACCAGAAAAAGTGAAAGAAGAAAAAAGGAAAGATATTGTCGTAGTAAAATAGTAAAGTATTACTAAGACTAGCAGATTACCGATTTAATTTTCGGTCACAATACGATATACTCACATTACAGTCAACGTTGAATGTTTAATACTTTACTACGAAAATACCTTTTATGACAGTTGTGAGATCGAAAGTTGATCGGAACTGAATTGTGACCGAACTTTTATTACGAGAATTAGCCTTTTGATCTTTGTTACATTCCCTTATTACCCCCGTACGGGGGCTCCAGTTGGCGCTGTCGTTGTCTCCCCCCTCTATAAATACTATATGTTCATTTCCAGTTATGGCTGACTGGTGATTTTCTACACAACTTCACGAAAACCAAGAACATACCGCCTGGATTGTCAGCGCCGCCCGAACTGAAGATCATCTACCCATCCTTACGTGAGTTTAGTTAAGGGTGCTTTCCATTGATATCTTTAACCATCCTCGATGACGTATCTAGCGTCTTCACTTATTCACCTGTCTGCGAGACCACATCTGACAGACGGACCTGTTGGTGTAGTGGTTAGTGGACTGCTAAGCCGGAGGTCGTGGGTTCAATTCCCACATAAGACAAATATTGTGTGATGAGCACGGTCATTTGTTCTGTCTGGGTGTACTTTATCCATAATATGACGACTGGATGGCGTAGTGGTTTGTGTAACGGACTGCTATTCCAAAGGTCGCGGGTTCAATTCCCGCTCAAGTCAAACATTTGTGTGCATGAACATTTGATGTTTGATTTGGTCTGGGTGTTTCTATGTATAATAAGTATGTATTTACAAAAAAAAAAGTATATATGTATTTATATCAGTTGTCTAGTAGCCATAGTACAAGCTCTGCTTAGTTTGGGACTAGATGGCGTTGTATGTATGTGGTAGAATATATTATATTATATTAATATGTAAGTATTTAGAAATATATACCTAAGTATGTTTATCAGCAGTCTGGTTACCATAGTACAAGCTCTGCCTAGTTTGGGATCAGACGGCCGTGTGTTATTTGTTAATATTGTTGACAGAGAACGTTCGCCAGTCCCACGACGACTTGCTGGGTGGTGGTTGCTTACCGTACGCGGGCGACGCGCACGCAAAACAGCAGTGGCTCAACAACTTCCTGTAGTAAGTATTCTCTCACTCATTAAACTGCCAAGTGCGAGTCCGACTTGCACACGTTGGGTTCAGTACCGGCGTATTAAAATTCCTTATTAAAGAAACCATAGACAGCTAGTAGAAATGGTAATGGTAGAAGGTTTGTTTGTTTAACTTGACACTTTGACAGCTGATGCTTTTATATTGTGAGCACCACTAAGAAAAGATTTAATAAATTGTGGCGACTACAACATACAAAGAAACAGAAACATACTACAGCGCCATCTAACGAAGACACACCGAACTACGGAGTAACTACTGAATGAGAATTGCTAATTCTGTATCGCGATATGAAGAATTCTCTCGCCTATTAGCATATATATACAACTTCTCAACACCAAGCATTGTGCCGCGGCCCGCCAGGCATGATCACCTGTTCGGAAGATACTCTCTTTGTGTTGGAGGTACATGGCACCCGTTCCTCCACAAAATAAATCACCCCTATGTAGGTAAAATAAGGGATGAACGGTTGTATGGAAGTTCGTCATTTTCAAAGATAGAAACACGAAATAGGAAATAATCACGCGAGCGATGCTGCGGGACATATTTAGTGTATAATATAAAAACCCGACTGCATGAAAATATATACTCATTATCGGGATTTTTGTGTTTTTCAACAATTATCTTGTTAATTGTTGCGTTTTATTTTCATTAATAATTTTAATCCGCCGACAAACAGGCTGATAGCAAAAGTATAGTTAAGTATGTTTCGTAAGGAACCATCCCTTGTACGTACGGAACCCTAAAAATTGTGAAAGACGTCAATAAAAGTAAAGAATCTTAAAAAGATTGATACTAGTAAAACTATGCAAACAAATGGTCTTAGAATATCGCAGGTTCGATGAAAACCCTGAGAAAACATACCTATATATTAACTAGAGATTTTCTGCAGATTTACTTGCTGTTATTTGATCCCTGCTCCGCTCCTAAAAGTCGTAGCGTAATGTTACATACCTTAAAAAATAAAGTCTTAAAAAACTATTACTCAAATGTGACTAGTTATAAATATTTATTACTTTCTAATCTATTATATAAATATAAATTAAAGCAAGAAATTTAATTGTGTGATGTAGGTATAAAAGTTACTACTTAGTTCCTTGAGTTGTTCATAGATGGCGTTGAAATACATTTTTATCCAACCAATTTTTTATAACAGCCAATGGCAGGCCAAACACACAGCCCGCAACCGCGCCATGCCCCACATAAAGTCTTACCTCCGCGTCCACAACGAGAAGGCAGCGTACTACATACTGACGTCAGCGAATATAAGTAAAGCGGCGTGGGGGCAGGTCAATAAAGGGAATGGTGCCCTCCGACTTATGAGTTATGAAGCTGGAGTGATGTTTTTGCCTAGATTTGTTGTAAGTATTCTTATTTATTTTGTACCATCATTATCATCAACCGCCACAACAAATCCACTGCTGGACATAGACCTCTCCTTACAAAGGAGGTTTACTTTGTACCATTCGACAGATATGCTTCGGTATATTTAAGTTAATTTGATATGCCCGTTGGTCTAGTTTAGGTCTAGGTAAGCGACTGATAAGTTCGAAGGGTTCGATTCCTACCCAGAACAAATATTGTGTAATTAGAACTTTCTTTTATTTTGTTGAATATAAAAATGTATCTATAGTATATATATATTTATAAATATATAAGTATGTTTATCAGCAGTCTGGTTACCATATTTTTTATTTATAAAAGACAACTCCCGCATTAGGAACACATTCCTGTGTCGCGAGGGACTTTACAAACATACATGAAACGGACACAAAGAACACCCAGACTCAGAACAACAATTTGTGGATCACACAAAGTGTCGTCCCATGTGGAGTTTGAACCCACAACACTCGGCGCAGTAGAAAGCGGCGTGGCGACCGCTTAAACCACTACGGCACCTGTGCTGTCTATATATAGCACAGGCTCTGCCTACTTTGGGATCAGACGGCTGTGTGTCATTATTATTTAAAACTAGCTGAGACCCGGGCAACGCCGCGGGGCGAAGCTAGTCTAAAAAAAGTAGCCTAAGTTACTCCTTATGTCATCAGCTATCTGCCAGTGAAAGTCCCGTCGAAATCGGTCCAGCCGTTCCAGAGATTACCTGGAACAAACAGACAGACAAAAATTGTAAAAAATGTTATTTTGTCATATGTACCGTGTAAACATACATATGCATTTGATAAAAAGCGGTTATTTTAATATTAAAAACAGACACTCCAATTTTATTTATTTGTATAGAAGATAAAAATACTGTCCTATCGGTATCGAGTACAGAGACCAAGAAACTGGTGGTTATGGCTCCAGAGACAAAAACTACCTGACAAATTCGTAGAACCCTACAATTATTATATAAGTTTTTTTTTCAGATTAATGAAGAATTCTTTCCATTGGCACCAGGTGCGAAGAATCGTCTGATAGTACCTTATGACCTGCCTCCAGTGAGGTATACTCCTGATATGAAGGCCTGGGTGTCTGATTACCTTAGGTAGTACGTCCGAAGGCAGTGTTATTCAATTTGTTTATATGTGAAGACCCCAAAAAATTATCATTTTAAAATAAATACCAATAATAAAAAGATCAAAAGACGTTTTAATCGCTTTCCTATACTGATATATGTTTGTATACTAACAAGTAGTAATAAAAAAAATCAAAAACACAATTTGCAATTACAAAGAGACAATTTAAAAGTAATGCCCTGAAAAGACCAAAACACCACGAGGTCTGACACAAACATGGCTCATTTTGACACTATCTAAAAATAAAAATACACATTTTATAATCCTTATTAAATTTAATCCTCCCCTATAATAATAAATTAATAATAATATTTTTAAAATCCCCTTTTAAGTTTTTTGATTTTGATACCTGATGATTTGAGATTTGGTTCATTTTTTTGTTAACCCCTAACTATTTTACCAATATTTATTATTAATATCTAATAGGTATATAAAATTCTCGTGGCACGGTGTGCGTGGTTGAACTCCTCCGAAACGGCTTGACCGATTTTCGTGAAATTTTGTGTGCATATCGGGTAGGTCTGAAAATCGGTCAACATCTATTTTTCATACAGCTAATTTTTTTTTTTGACAAAAAAAATTAAATAATGTAAATGGCAAAACAACGTTTGCCGGGTCAGCTACTATATATATATATATATAAATTATTTATTATTATTTTACAAAATAAACCATCTTTAATGTGTGATGGTCAGCCAATTCCCTAAGAATTCTAAAAATGGGGATGAGTCGGGTGGTTTGGGTGGTTGTTGCGTCTATCTGTCTGTCCCATTTAAGTCCACCATCGATTAGAACACCAAGGTACTTAACACTGTCAACAGGTATGGTATTGCCGGACCGATACGACCTTCAAACCTTCAAGAAAAGAGCGTACTCCTTCCTAAAAGGCCGGCAACGCGTTTGTGACTCCTGGGTTGCAGATCTTCATGGGCGGCGATAGTCACTTTCCATCAGGTGACCCGTCTGCTCGTCTGCCCCCTCTAACATAAAAAATAAATAAAATGTCGTTGATGCAGAGCAGGAGTGTGCCTTTATACTAAAGGTTGGCGGTGGGATTGTTATTTGTCTTAGAGAAAAGGAATGAAGAATAAAATAAATTTAATATACGGACCACAGATAAGGAAATATAAAGGTGCGAGGGAACATACACCATGTCTGCTTATCGTGTACCGAAGGTGTAATTATGGTTTAAAACTAAATTAAGCAAATCGCTGAGGTAACTTTATTGTTGGCCGTCACGTGTCACCGTACACTGGATCTTAAAAATCATTGTCCCGTGGAATAGAACCCACACTCGGTAAGGTGATCACTTTATCCATTGCGCCATACGCGCAGTAAAAAGTTCGAGTGAAAATGTGCAGTTTCGTAATTCCTTAAATAACGTGTAGAATCATTCGTATCTACGATAGCGGGTAAAGTTAAGCAGAGATTATAAAAACACTTTTTACATTAGATATATAAGTCATGTATATTGTTTACAAGCACGGGAAGAGTAAATACAGGTTCATCATCATCATCAACAGCCTTTAATAGTCCACTACTGGACATAAGCCTCTCCTTAGAAAGGAGGTTTTGGCCTACTATACCACGCTGGCCAGACGGGTTGGTATAGGGTTTGTGTCAAGTTTGCCTTCTCTCTGCAGTGATGTTGTTATGCGTAGTTTGCTCCCTTAGTCGGCTCTTACGACACCCACGGGATCAATAGGGGTGGTGACACTGTATTCTTAATCCGTCACCACACGGACAGTAAATACAGACTTGGGCAGAAAGTTTACAGTGCAAAGCACAGAAGGAAAGCGAGAAATGGAAAGTTACAGTAAAAATAATCCGATTCGCGTTGTAGTCGTACAACGCTCACCGACAGGCACCGGTGCAGTGGCGCGCGCGTCTGCAACAGCCGCGGAATGTGCGCCAACGCGCTGTCGGTGTCGTTCTGCCTAACCTCGAAGCTTGGGTAGGTAGGGAGAGAGGCTACGTCACCTACCGAGTGACGCACTTACTGGGCATGGCTGCTTCAGTCAGTACCTGTATAGGATTGGACGAGAGGAGACGGCACAATGCCAACACTACCGACTGGGACTCCGCCCGGCACATGCTGGCAGACTGCCCCGCGTGGGCGTCTGAACGCGAAGTCCTGGTCGATCAAATTGGACGAGACCTGTCCCCACCAGCAATCATTGCTACCATGCTCCGGGAGTAGGGTACCTGAGACCGGCCGTCGGAGAATTTTTAGTGGAAACACCATGTATTCCTGGCTCCTGCGTCCCGGAGATCCGAATGGATTCTCCACCTCATCAACAAAAAAAGGCTACTCTTTACCGCGATAACCGACATACCCGCGGCGGAGCCGTGGCAAAAGCTAGTATTAATATATATACAAAAATTCACTTAATAGTTAAAATCTTAAGTTATTTAATTAAATATAGTTATTAGAGATGCGCTCCACTGATATGTATGCACCATCTATAGATCTTATATCTTAGTAAAATACCTGTTTTGAGACATCCGCAAACACACATTTGTCCTTAAGAAGATTAGTTTTATTAATTTAACAAAAACAATCGTCGTGTTTAGTGTTACAGCCATTAGCTAGTCATGTTATTAGTGATATTTTATAGTCTAATAGTGTTAGTTTAGTGCATTTAGTGAATACTAATGTGTATAATGTGTATGTGTGTTTTTATTTTAATTAGTCTTGGTGAGTTAAATACGATGCGCAGAAAATTGCTTCCTTCTCTTTCTATTTTTTTTATTATTTAAGAAAAAAAAGTGTTTGTATGTTTCTTACACCTTTTCGCCTTAACTGTTCAACTGAAAAGGGTGGAGGGAAACCTTTATCTAGAAATAAAGTTCTGATTTTTTTTAAACTAATATTACGAATGTGAATGTAAATTTGTGTGTTCGTATAGAATAGTTTTAAGGAAGTCGTATAGTTCTCTTTTCGACGGATATGTCTATGTCCAGCAGTGGACTATTTAAATCTGTAGATGTGACAAAGAATAGTTCATTTTACATTCAGGAAGACAGTATTTTCAAATAACTTTTAGAATGTCGTCTGTAGCGAGCGAAGTCATTATCAAAATCTAGTTAGAAATAAAATTGGAAGAAGCGAGTTTATGAGGAATTGTATTTACCGGAAACAGCGCTCATTGTAGCTAAAGATTCGTAAAGGAATTGGACCGACGTATGACGGTCGTATTGTATAACGGGACCCGTCTTGTACTGGCTTTCAGTTCGTGAAAAACTGACATATCTGTTAGCCTCCATGGGGATCTTCCACCAAGTCATTTAATTAAAAGCTTAAGTCTTGAAACTAAGTTTTATTTTTAAAAGTAAGTGCATTGGCATGATTCCGTGATTACGTCTTCGTTAAATGAATAGCCTACTTATTAAAAACATTATACAGCTATTATCTAAAGTATAGATTATGATGGGCTTCCATAACACTTAAATCGAGAAGTAACAGGTCTTCGATACTAAGACACTTTCGTTCCCCATTTCAAACTCTTGAACCTTTATTTAAAGTGTTTTTAAGGTCCCGTTTATTCATAATTCATCAAAATAGAACTTCAAGAATTTAAAAACTTCAAATGATAAAAAAAAATAACAATGATGAGAATTTTTATAGCCATTTTTATGTTAAAGACATGTAAATATAACAGGAAAATCTAGCTTTACGTAAACTAGTGTAGGAGCGTTTTCTAGTTTTCTTATACTTTATAACAGAAGATGCAAGTATTGTTGTGTTATGCATGTATGCATGTATTTTTTAACACAACTTAAAATATTCGTAGCATTTATTCTTAGGACCTTACTTGTATAGTTAATAAAGATAATAAGATACTAAGTATATAAAACTTAATAATAAAAATGTATGATCATTTTATTAGGTTATTTCATCATCATCTAGAGCCTTTAACAGTCCACTGCATGACAAAGGCCTCTCCTTGGAAAGGAGGTATTGGCCTACTATATCACGCTGGGCAGAAGGGTTTGTATAGGGTTTGTGTCAAGTCCGGTGGTCCTAATAACAGCAGTTCCCGGATCCCTCCCATTACAGGCGCAGAGTGGCACACCGTGTGGTTCCACCCCGCTGTAAGCCCCGGTGGGGTGACGGCCCGAGGGGGTTTCCACACGTTAAAAAAAAAAAAAGGGTTTTGTGTCAAGTTTTCCTTCTCTTTGCAGTGCTGTTGTCCTGCGTAGTTTGCTCCCTTAGTCGGCTCTTACGACACCCACGGGATGAATAGGAGTAGTGACACACTGTATTCTTAATCCGTTAGGTTATTTAGCTTAATTTAATTCTTCAAAAACAGAAAATATGTTAGAAATTATTAAAGAGACTGAAATTATTGTTGTAAGAATGTTATCTGTTTTATTTTCGTACGTGTACACTATGTGGTATTTTTATGTTCTCTATTTAACTGTTTTCATTAATGTCTAAATAAAATTTGTTTGAAACTCTAAGGCAAGCGATCGCCTGAAACACAGGTTTGCCCTAGTTCAGGCAGGCAGCGATTGGTGCCCGCGCCGTTGCGGGCAGGCGCTGGGAGGGGTCCGGATATCTTAATAACAGCGGTTCCCGGATCTCTCCTATTACAGGTGTAGAGTGGCACACCGTGTGGCTTTATTCGGTCCGATTCCGAAACAGCAACCCGCCGTAAACACACTCCTAAAAAAAAGGCAGGCAGCGATTAAAGTTTTTGAACTACATTTTATTACAAATAATCATTTGTAAAAAATCTGTATAAATATGATGCCATTAACTTAGTTTTACACTCGTGTTACCTAAGGATTAACAAAACTACTGTGTAAGATCTATTTTGAATAAAAATGTCCAACACTGTAACATTCACATCATCATCACATCAATAGCCTTTAATAGTCCACTGCTGGACATAGGCCTCTCCTTAGAAAGGAGGTTTTGGCCTACTTTACCACGCTGGCCAGACGGGTTAGTATATGGTATAGGGTTTGAAGTTTTCCTTCTCTCTGCAGTGCTGTTGTTCTGAGTAGTTTTCTCCCTTAGTCGGCTCTTAACACACCCACGGGTTGAATAGGGATAGTGACATTCCGTATTCTTAATCCGTCACCACACGGATATTTTGAAAGTAGTTAGTTTACCTCAATACCTATTTAAAAATGTCTGCCAGCATTTTTTATAAAATGTATGTATTTAGTAACATATAAATATCAAATCAGATATGACATAAGTAATTTTTAAAATTGTATGAACTGCACACCGGTGAAACACAATTGCTGCTACAAGTATATATATGTAAATTATTACAAAATCAACCTTAAGCCTTAAACAGTCCACTGCTGGACATAGGCCTATCCTTAGAAGGGACGTTGAATATGATTACCTAATTATATAATGACTAACAGTTTTACTCAAGGTTTTAGAAGAATCATTGTTTCATTTTTTTATAAATTCACACATCGCACATACGGTAGTCTGATCCCAAACTAGACATGTATTAGGTAACCAGACTGCTGATAAACATACTTATATATTTCTTAATACAATTCAGCGAGGCAATGCTGCCAGTATCATGGGCACCTTTGCACCAAAGTGCAAAGGGCAAAGTGGTAACATATTATTATAATGAATTAAATAAAAGGTTTTATATTTTAAAAATGTAATTAATATGAATTTAATAAAATTTTAGGAATACATACATATTATAGATAAATTACACCCAGACACAGAACAAATGACAAATGATCGCTATCATTGAATTATTTTTCCGGGTGGGATTCGAACCCACGACCTCCGACTTATAGTCAGGCTCACTAACCACTAGATCAACAGGCCCGTCAATAAGTCACAGTAGACGAATTAAGATTTGAAGATTCTGTTTAAAATAAATCAAGATTTTTTATTAGCTTCACTGTTTTAGATACAAGGAAAAACGTTCATATAAAACCGGTTGATGACTTACGTAATACATTCCGTGACAAGTCATTTAAACACAATTTCATAAAATGCGCATACATTTCGATAATTCTTAATAAATTAGCCTTTTTGTCATCATCATTACTGCCTTTTAAATCGAATTACTTAGTACGTGCGATTGCTCGGAGTGGTCCTAATTAGGACCCACGCGTTTTGTGCCTTCATGGCTTTTCTACCTCTTGTGTGTATATAATATCACTGAGGTAGATCCAATATGAACCGGTTTGGAAAATATTGTTAAAAAAAGTTTTCTTGTTACATTTCTTCTACGTTGTACAAACATTAAGTATTCCAAATACGATATTTGTTTGAAAAGGATAAAAGTTATTTTCTTTAAGTAATTAATAAATATGTGTATATTATATTTGAAGAGACAGAGAGAGAGAGATTGTATTAAGAGAACGAAAACTTAAAAAAAATCCGTCTGGCCAGCGTGGTATAGTAGGCGAAAACCTCCTTTCTAAGGAGAGGCCTATGTCCAGCAGTGGACTAGTGAAGGCTGATGATGATGATGTGCATATATATTATATTATAGAAATAATAACAATAACTGCCAACATCTTACACACGGCAGTCTGATTTCAAACTAGGCAGGGTCTGCACTATAGGTAGTTACCAGACCGCTGATATTCATACCTAAATATTTCTAGAAATAATAATAAAAATAATAATATTCTAACACATTCACACAACGCCATCTAATCCCAAACTAAGAAGAGCTTGTACTATGGCTACTAGACAACTGATATAAATACAAATATACTTTTATTTTGTAAACAAACATATTATACATAGAAACACTCAGACCAAATCAAACATTAAATGTCCATGCCCACAAATGTTTGACTTGAGCGGGAACTGAACCCACAACCTTTGGAATAGCAGTCCGTTACACAAACCTGTTACAAGACATACATAGCTATACTAATACTATATATAAATGTGAAAGTGAATTTGTTTGTTTGTTTGTTAAACTTTTACGCCCAAACCACTAAACTGATATAAATATTATTTCACCAATGGAAAGCTACATTATCAGCGAGTAACATAGGTTACTTTTTACCGCGATCACCGACAAACACGGGTAAAAGTTACTTATAGATAAATTGAAAGACACAAAATAAATATTCATGTTCATCACCATATTCCATGTCATGGGTGGGAATCGAACCCACAACTTCCACCTTAGCAGTCAGGTTCACTAACCACTACACCAACAAGCAAGTCAAATATATGTATACAGGGTTACTGGGTAAGTCGACATAAATACTTTAAATTTTCATAAAAAGAAGTCCAATATCTTGAAAAATGGTTGATATTTTTTAGTGAAATCTACCAGAAATTATGGCAGCTACAACTCCTTAAAGTATTTAGGTCGACTTACCCAGTAACCCTGTATATACTGGCCGATATATATATAATATACATATACATATCTTTATCAAAAGTTTAATAACCTTTACTAGTCCACTGGTGGACATAGGCCTCTCCTTAGAAAGGAGGTTTTGGCCCTACTATACCACGCTGGCCAGACGGGTTGGTACAGGGTTTATGTCAAGTTTTCCTTCTCTTTGCCGTGCAGGTTGTCCTACGTTAGCTCCCTTAGTCGCCTCTTAAGACACCCACGGGATGAATAGGGGTGGTGACACTCCGTATTCTTAATCCGTCACCACACGGATAAATATAAAATATAATACAATTTTTTTTCACATAAATTGTAATAAATTCTACCTACACTTAAAAAAATGCCCTAATAACCCTACTAAATCAAAAATAAAACAAAATCAAGATACACTCAGAACGGCGGATGTATCTTATGAAATTAATTCATCGAATACATAGGGATTAAATATTAATACTTAATAATTGTACCTTTTTTGTACTCCACACAACAGCAATCACACACTTAGTATGTTGATTGGTTTCTGTGAAATAAAACTACTAACGTTTTTGTGTTTGTTGCTTTTTTACTCCAACTCTGAGAGGGTAGAGGAGGACGCAAAGGCACGAAGCTGGGCATGACAGTATGTCTTTTGAGCTGCAGCTGTTCATGGGTGGCGGTAATCACTTATCTTATTGACGAGTCTACTCGCTTACCCTCTGTTCTATAAAAAAAGTTGGCGACTTAAAGTCCCTGCCTATGTATATCATTATCATCATCAACAGCCTTTAATAGTCCACTATTAGACATAGGCCTGTCATTAGAAAGGACGTTTTGGCCTACTATACCACGCTGGCCAGACGGGTTGGTATACGGTTTGTGTCAAGTTTTCCTTCTCTTTGCAGTGCTCTTGTACTGCGTTGTTTGCTCGCTTAGTCGGCTCTTACGACACTTACAGGATGTATAGGGGTGGTGACACTCTGTATTCGTAATACGTCACCACACTTAATCCTATATTTTATATGTATTAATATATATAATAATGTTTAGATTTGAACCACTACGTAAAATAAACTTCTATATTTCAGCCACATCGCTGTCTTTTGCAAGTGTACCTGACAATGGCGTCTCTGATTGCGGGTAATTTTGAACTTATTATTTTAATTGCTAAGACAAGGGCCTCTTGGTCTAGCGGTTAGTCACCCTGACTGTTAACCCACGACGGGTTCGATTCCCACCCAGGACAAATAATTGTGTGGTGGGCACCATCATTTGTTCTGTGTCTGGGTGTAGTAAGTAATTTTATCATTAGTCTGGTTACCATAGTACAGGCTCAGGCTAGTTAGGGATCAGACAGCCGTGTGTGAGACTTGTCCAATAAAACAAATAAGAAAAAAAGCCAAGGGCCTTGCAATCAGGGGTTGCTGGTTCAAATCCCACTTAGTACTCTGGCTGGTTGACCCAAGCATTGAATTTAGCTGCAGAGGTTAAGAAGAATACCAGTAATTTATACATAATTTACTAAACCATTTTGTAAAAAAAATAACTCTTTTTTACATTCACGCCTGTAAATCTAAAGTTCTAAGCAGAAGCGTAATAAACATGTAACCATAATTTGATACAATGAAAAATCTGAAATTTGGTACTTGGGTATTAAAAATGGGAAAATTGGGAAGTGTAATGAAAAGGAAAGATAGGGGAAAGCTATGGAAGAAAGAAGATATAACTTGTTTTGGGTTGGGAAGTGTAAGCATTACCTCAAGCAGAACAAAGTCTTGGGTAGGGACTGATTTTAGTTCCCTCATATTTTTAACAATTTATAATTTTATTTCGTGTCTAATGTTTAAATCATTTTCAGACACAGAAACGGTAATTACGAAGAAATAAAATGTCGAAACGGAATAGGTTGCATTCGTACGGAACATATTTGTGACGGAACGCCGGATTGTCCTGACGGCAGTGATGAACTTCTTTGTCCATTTCACCCCGAGCGGTAAGTTAAATGATCAGCAACAGCGTTTAGCAGTCCACTGGCTAGACATAGGCCTCCTCCAAACCGAGGTGTATCACACTATATCACGCGGGCAAGACGGGTTGGTATAGGCTTAGTACCAAGTTCTCCTTCTCTTTGCAGTGCTCGCGTACTACTATATCACGCTGGCCAGATGGCTTGGTATAGGGTTTGTGTCAAGTTTTTCTTCTCTTTGCAGTGCTGTTGTCCTGCGTAGTTTGCTCGCTTAGTAGGCCTTTCAACACCCGCGGAATGAATAGAGTTGGTGACACTCTGTATTCTTAATCCGTCAAGACAAAAAAGAAAAAAAAAATAGTTCTAATAATTTGTGATTGTGATGGAGATAAGCAAAATTTAGCAAAAGAAAGTTTTATATGGAAGTTGACGAATATAAGAGTAGAGAACGACCAACGAAAAGATGGATAGAGTAAAAGAGGATATGGCTAGAAAAGGAGTAAGTAGGGAACTGACGAGTATTAGAGGGGAATGGAAGAAGAATGAATTAGTCAAATGTAGATGATGATGATGATCCATAGTTACACATACATATTTATTATTATGCGCAATAAACTCTAGAACAATTAGTTAGATTTCAATGTGGAGGAACGGGTGTCATGTCCCTCCAACACAAAGGGAGGACCCTGCAACCAGGCCAGGTGATCATGCCTGGAGGGCCGCGGCCCAACGGTTGATATATGTGCTAGTCGGCGACAGAATTCTTTGTATCGCGATACAGGATTAGCAATTCTCATTCAGTAGTTACTCCGTAGTTCTATATGGCTTCGTTAGATGGCGCTGTAGTAGGTTTCTATTTCTTCGTATGTTTTAGTCGCCACATTTAATAATTCTTTTTGTGTTGGATAGTATGTCTTGAAGAATAATGTAGGGTATAAAACATGATGATACGATCCTTAGAAGTAGAACAGTAAACATAATGTAGTCGAAACTGCGGGATGGGCTAGTGAATGATTTTTTGATGACTTACTGTTGTTTTTCATAACTTGACCAATTTATATTCGATCTCCCATTTTTTTTTCACTTTCAGATTTAATTAATACAGATAGTATTAATTTTATGTTCATTTTAGCGATCTTCAGTCAAATCTAGGGTGGAACAGAAGCCGAAGACAATTGACGTGTCTGTAAGCACTTTTTTATTAATATAGTCGCATATTTGTTTCTTAGGAAACATACTTATCTCATATTTTTTTAAATAGTATGAAAACAAACAATATAATCATTAATATATATACATAATGACGAAGAGATACAATAAATTCCTTCGCATTATCCCCTTTTTTTTTTTTTTCGTGCGGAAATCCCCTCGGATACCACCTGTCAGTGGCATGTCGGACTCGAACCGACTAAAACCGCACGCCGTCTCGGGTACTAATAGCCGGGGAACCAGGTATACCCTAGAAAGGAAGTCCCTGGTGCCCCGACATTCCTCGGGTCGTCTACAGACGAGTAGACGACCCCCCCCCCCGTGTGGGAACCCCATGTTCCCTGTGCTCCCTGGAAGCGAGCGCGCTTCGCAACGCGCTCGCCGCCACCCCGGCCTGCTTCTGCTAGGGTGACAGATGGCCTCACCTGTCACCCCCAGGCCTGCTCTTATGGAGGACGGAGGTCGTTCTGCGACCTCCGGCGCCTGAGTCGCCTGCGGTACCTGGCCCGTTCCCGGGCCTGGCGGGCCGGGAGAGTCCTAAACCTCTCCCGGTCCCGCTCCGCCGTCTCCTTAGCGAGCATAACTTGCTCGCAGTCGCATTATCCCCTACCAGCAGCATTGCCAGAAGATTGACAACATTGCGTCGTTGAATGGCAATGCTCTGTGCTAGAAAAAGACCCCCTTCTGGTTACGAGAAGTATCAATGAGATGCTTGGCTAATTTTGAGAGAGCCACCTTGACCCCAAATGGCTAAAATCATAATTGCCGATTAAATTACTATATTTACGCTTTTTGAGGCTTTTTAAGGATTAGCAGGAGCACCGGCATTGAAAGCTGTGCTTAAAAGAGATGATGGCACGAAGGTATCATCGCAAGTTGCATTTTCAATGACTACTGCCATCTCTGGTACCACCATCACCACGTATCTCGTACCTTCTCATCGTCTTCCCCACCCATATCTTTACTCGGCCAATAAATTTGATATTTGATTATATCTGTGTTTTCAGGTCTGGTCAATGGCAGTGCAAAAATGGCTACTGTATATCAAAGAATAGACTATGCGATCAGGTTTCGGACTGTTCCGATAACAGCGACGAAACTTCTCCTTTATGCAGAAAAAGAGCGTAAGTGTTACTAAAATTGAATAAATCCTTAATATCATGTGAATAAGTCTTGAATTTAAAGATTTTCTGAAACTAAACTTGTTTGTAGCATTGGACTTCCTGAGAAAATTTTATTTGAATTTAAAGTTAGCGACCCGTTCAAGCTATTGCTTACACTTAAGTTATAACGGAACTCTGTGAGATTTAAGTCAATTCGAATGATATATAATTCACTACGATAAAGGAGGGCCCACCCATTGCTGGCAGCGACTTCAACACAATTGTCCACCAGGGGACTATTAAAGACTGTTGATGATGTTGAAATGTAGTGGATTCTTTTTGTTGTAATTTATAAACAGTTAAAGTATTGCATGAGATATCTTACATTTAAATACATTTTTATTCGTACCAAAACGACCCATGAACTCATTTATTTACTGTCAATTTGTCCATGCAATGGTTGTCTGTAAGAATTATTTAACGATTACCCGGCACTTGTACACCTTCATCTTCAGTATTGTTAAGAAAAGGCAACTTTTGCTGTGCAATAAAGTTTATTCTATTCTATTAAAAAGAGCATTAAAATAGATAGAAATTTTCTATCTGTTATTCTAAATACCTCAGAATATGATGTAAATGATTGGAAGTTCTTGAAAGGAAAATGTATGATAATTCGAAATTATTTCAATTAATAATAGAAAACTGAATATTTTAGCAACAGCCACTTTAAGTAACAGGCCTTTGACAGTTTTTTTTTACTTTTTTATAACTTTATGCACTATTGAACATCGGCGGACTTAATGCCCTGCATAGAAAACACCCGAACTCCGTTTGGGAGTTTGGGTGTTTTGCAGATCATACAAACATTTGGTCCGACCTGGGAATGGAACCCTAGATCTCAGTACAGTCAGAAATATGCTCAAGCATAGCTCTCCCATTAAACTCATGTGTAATTTCAATTTTAGAATAGCTACTTCTGGTGTCTGCGTACTTCCTCCGTACCCTGAACAGGGGACATATGATGTAGAAGACATCCCGGATGCTCGTCCTGGTCAAGCCCACTCTTCAGTTGTTCTAACAGTGCGATGCCGGCGGGGATACGGTGTAATGGATTTATACGGTGATGGAAGTGGCATTCAACAAGTTTACTGTGTCAATGGTAAATGGTATCAGAATATGCCGAAATGTGTCCGTGAGTACCTGTCTTCACTATATAATGTCTTTGAGAAAAGGAATAGTTTTTTAGGGTTCCGTACCTCAAAAGGTAAAAAAGGAACCCTAATAAGATTACTTTCTTGTCCGTCTGTCCGTCTGTCCGGGTGTCACCACCGATTTTCTCAGGCACGGGTAGACCTAGCAAGTTGAAATTTATACCAGATACTAAGGTTTATGGTCCCTATTAGATGTATAAAAATCAAGGTCCTGAGTCAACACGATAAAAAGATATGCAAATTTCGCGAAAACTTGTAAGTACCAAAATGTACATTAATTTTTAACTTTTTTTATATTTCCGAATTTTCTCTTTACTTGTTCTGTAAGACCTTGCTTTTAACCAAAATTGACAATTCTAGGTCAACCGGAAGTACCCTATAGGTTTTGGGTCGAAAACCTATATGGTAGTTCCCGTTGACCTAGAATCACGAAATAATCACAGGAATAATTTCAAAAAATAAAAAAGTTGAAAATTAAGATAAATTTTGGTACTTACAAGTTTTAGCGAAAATCTACGTAAAATCTGGATAGGTACGGAACCCTCGGCGCACGAGTTCGACTCACACCTGCACCGGTACCTGACCGACTTTTTTTTACATCTATAACCTATTTTATAACTTTATTCACAAATTTATGCATCGGCGGACTTAATGCCTAAGGCATTCTCTGCCGGTTCGGAGGAGGCCGTGGTATCACACCGGTCGAACCGCCCCCAATGAACGCATGGCTTTCTCATGGTACTCTTGCTATTGTAGTCATATTTATGTGGCAGATATTAAAGTTCCAGCTCGATAACGAGTTAAAATATCATTAAATTTTAAATCTTTTCCAGGTTTCTGCAAGCTGGATCCAGATCCGAGTATCCGGTACATGTGCTACACTCCAGGAACAGGTATCACATTTTGCAGGAACTATGTGTCACCTGGAACAGTAGTGGAGCCCGCCTGCAACAGCCCAATCTACTATGCCAAGGAAGTCTTACGGAATATGAAGTGTATTTCAGGAGTTTGGGATAACTATGCCGAGTGTAAAGTAGGTGAGATGCTCATCTATACCTCTGATATTACTTGCCCTAACTGATAGACTGATTCATCAACGCAGACCCTAAAACGCTGGGGCTACAAACTTGACATTTTGGCAGCGGATGCTTTTTATGATGTAAGCACCCACTAAGAAAGGATTTTTGGAAATTTCATCCCTTAAAGGGTAAATAAAGGGCGAACGGTTGTATGGTATTTCTTCATTTTCTAAGTAAGAAATAGTTAAGCGATCGAAGCCGCGGGCAATAGCTGGTATCTTATGTTCACCAAGGTCAATGTTATACCCAACACAGGTTACTAACAAAACCTGCCCCAGAAGATTTTCGAACAGACTTCAAAAAAAGATTAGTGCTTATTTTTATTACGATTCTAATTTTGGTTGTATTTTGTTTTGCTTTTTTATATTAGGTCTTACAATTTTTTATTATTTAAGATTATACAACCCGTTTGGTCCCATACAAATATTTTTGTAAAATTCTACTCCTTAGGCTGACAATTAATGAATTAAGAAAACAGTATATTCCAATTAATTAATCACTGTCATGTATTTAAGTTGGTAAAAAATCAATGTGAATTTTATTCTTTAGAATGTGGCCGGATAACTCCTGGAGGGCAACCTCTTTTGATAGGTGGGAAAGAGGCCAAGCACGGGGAGTTACCTTGGCATGCCGCCATCTATCGCAGGGCACCAGAAGTATTTATGCAGATCTGTTCCGGGTCCCTGGTCTCCAACAATGTAGTAATATCAGGTATATTCCTCACATAACTAAATATCATTCTGTGTCGCGGGGGAATTTGAAGACATACATGAAACGGACACAAAGAACACCCAGACTCAGAACAACAATTTGTGCATCACACAAAGTGTTGTCCCATGTGGGGATCAAACTCACAACACTCAGCGTAGTAGGATGTGCTTAAACATTAATGGCTAATGATCCCTTCTGCTAAGCCATTAGCCTTGTGATCCATTACCGTTGGCAGTGGATCACAAGGTTAAGGATATACTCATCACATAAGAGCACGACCACTTGTTCCGTGTCTTGGTGTAATTTATCTATAATATGTATGTATTTAGGAAAATATAAGTATGTTTATCAGCGGTCTGATTACCATTGTACAGGCTCTTGATTATTTGAAATCTAACAAAAGTTCTTATACCTGTATCTAAAACTGCATTGCCCCTGCATTAAATTTTAAGTATCTGAGTACTATATTATTCGTGTAGTGACGGATTAAGTACATGAAGTGTCACCACAGCTATTCGTTCCGTGGGTATCGTAAGAGCCGATTAAAGGAGCAAACTACGCAGAAAAACAGCACTGCAAAGAGAAGGAAAACTTGACACAAACCCTATACCAACCCGTCTGGTGAGCGTGGTATAGTAGGCTAAACCTCCTTTCTGAGGAGAGGCTTATGTCCAGCAGTGGACTACAAAAAACTGTTGATGATGTTACATACAGTTACGTCTCTATTCCAAAAGGGTTAGACAAAGGTATATTAAACGTAGCTGATTAAACGTACCCACATGTAGCTGACTATAATTATACTCTTACTGACGTAATACGGGAGTGTCCGAACAGCTTGTGCCCAAGCCTATTGCTGACAACAGGATGCTCTGGGAATTAGATAGGAAAAGTAGAAGTATATTGAAAGAACAGGTAAGAATAGAAGTTAGTGGTAGGTAGACTGCTTCGGTGGTGCAGTGGTGGCGTATGCGACTGCTGAGCTGAGGTTTCGAGTTCGGTTTTCGGGTCAGACCAAATGTGTGTATGATCTGCAAGTATTTGTTTCGGAGTTTGGGTGTTTTCTATGTATAATATGTATGTATTTACCAAAAACAAAGAGTATATAAGTATTTTATTAGACATCCAGTTTTCATAGTACAAGCTCTGCTTAGTTTGAAACTAGATGGCGTTGTGTGTCCGATGACTGAAATATTATTATTATTATATTGCTAATGAGCTTGGAGGAGGATGATTATGAGGATCGATTGGAGAATGTAATCTCTAGCAGCTAAGAGTCTACTAGAACCTTTATTCTATTTTAAGAAGACGCAGAAGAAGAAATATAATAAGAATTAAAACAAAAAGTTTTAATTGTTTTGTCTCTTTTAGCGGCTCATTGCTTCTGGAAGGATTTAATAAAGTTACTCCCAGCATCTCAGTTCGGGGTTGCGGTTGGTAAACTCCATCGGTCGTGGGACAGTGAAGAAGATTTTTTTGCCCAAAAGTCCAATGTAAGAAATGATTTCTAAATTTGTGTTTTTTAACGTTTTATATTGGCTTGAATTTTATTTAGCTTTGTTATGGTATAAGAGCAACCAACTAGATGAGTTACATAATAGACACATGCAGCTCAAGAGATACAATTGCGTTGCACCCTGCAAGTGCCTACCTTCTCCCGGCGTTAGCTGAGAGGGACATCATGCATCATCATTATCATCATCTGCCTACCCTTTTCCCAATTTTATTTGGGGTCGGCGCAGTATGTATGATTTTTCCATTCTACTCTGTCATGCGTCATCTCACTGTTTACTCCCTTCCTAACCATATCCTCCCTGACGCAGTCCATCCACCTCTTCTTCGGTCTGCCTCTTCTCTTGTACTCTTCAACTCTCATACCTAAAACTTTCTTCGCCAAATTTTCCTCATCCCTCCGCATGACATGTCCTATAGTAATAGGTTATCTTGGTATGGACCAAGATAACCTATTACTTCTTAACTTTTCATCCAGTGGCGCTACTTTCATGCATCATCATCAATAGTCTGTAATAGTCCACTGCTGGACATAGGCCTCTTCTTAGAAAGAAGGTATGGCCTACTATACCACGTTGACCAGAAGGGTTGATATAGGGTTTGTTTCAAGTTTCCCTTCTCTTTGCAGTGTTGTTGTTCTGCGTAATTTTTCCTTAGTTGGCTCATACGACACCCACGGGATGAATAGGGGTGGTGACACTCTGTATTCTTAATCCGTCACCACACGGACCATAACATAACGGGTAACAGGCCGCCATTTTATCCCCTACCGCAGCATTCACACAGCATAGTCGGGTTAGCCGCCTTAGCTGAGAGGGATGCTAGGCCTCAAATAACCTGACTCGCTCATTGAAAAGTCATGGGAGAATTATTTAATACTGGTTTCTTTGTGAGGCCATTTGTGCTGGATCTTTCAAGTTTAAGTCTTTTCGTTTTGTCGTTTTTTAAAACTCCCAATCTTGATTCTCTCTCTGATTGACGTGTGTGACGGATTAAGAATACGGAGTGTACCACACCTATTCATGCCGTGGGTGTCGTAAGAGCCGACTAAAGGAGAAAATTACGTAGGACAACAAATCATACATCTGGTTTATCTTTGTTTTCATAAGTTTTTTAAAACTAACGATCTAAACTCCTAATCATTCTAACCGGTACACTACAGAAATACAAAAAACTTTATTCCATCAGTCACAAATACGAATTTCAAAACACCCATTTTCATAATTCCGAATTGTTCAAAACTAATATAACGGTTCAGATTTGTCATTCATCCTATTTTTATAATTCAAAAATTTCAGTATTCCTAACTTAATAATAACAATGCTCAAAATACTGAGTTTTAATAGATCGAATAACAAAAAGTCCGATTAATTCGATACATCAAAAATTCAAATGCCGATTAGTAGGTATTTTTAAATGACGATAAATATAAAAATTTCGCTGGTCAAATAATTCAATAACAGTAGGTGGTATCCGACGTAGTTATATATAAGGAGAAGAAAACCCAAAAGAAATATTAATACGCAAATATTAATAACAAAGTAGACGTTTTTTAATAACATTAAACGTTACTTATAGATTTTGAATATATTTGTCTAACTGACTGACTGATAACTGAATCAGAATCCTAATTTCAGCAGTTTATTCTAAGTTTTGAAAATCGGAATATCGTTTTTCGGACCGAGCATTTGATTCATCGAACGTATAAAAATCGGAAAACAAACAAATTGCATTTATGACTTTATAATAAAAAAAATAATTTAATAATAGTCATTTTAATAATAGTAATTTTAATTATGAATTTTAATAAAAGTCATTTTAATTCTTAACTATTATGAAATTCGGACTTTTGAAAATAGGAACATCGAAATTCGGAATCAAATATTTCAGAGTATTTGGGTGTTCCCCATGCTAACACATAACGCCAATATTCATAAATTTGTGAAATCATAATTTATCCATTATTTAAAGCTAGCAAGTTATTTAAAGCGTTGTCCTTCATTTTGTTTATCGTGTTGCGTACCTGTAATGGAAAAAAAATAAAAGCAGACCAATAATACAGAGATGGAGGGGTTTAAAAGTTACTTCAGGCAATGGCGTAGGATCTTTTCGATTGTGGGAAATTCACACATCAACAACCTCTCCAACCAAGACCAACCAGGCCTCTCCTTAGAAAGGAGGTTTGGGCCTACTATACCACGCTGGCCAGACGGGTTGGTATAGGGTTTGTGTCAAGTTTTTCCTTCTCATTTCAGTGCTGTTGTCCTGCGTAGTTTGGTCCCTTAGTCGGCTCTTACGACACCATCGGGATGAACTGGAGTGGTGACACTCCGTATTCTTAATTCGCCACCAAACGGACTTTATATACTTTTATTTTAAAATTAAATAAGGAAGGTCTCCGTTAGGTACGAGTATTAAGTAGAACTGCGACCAGAATCGACCATATTTCTTAACTAATACGTACATGTAGTAAATGACGAGCGAAGAATTACCTTCTGTTACTGAGTCTTGAGACTTTGTAATTAACTAACATTGGACTCATAATTGAACTAAGAGTAAAACTTTGAACGATTGCATTTCTAACAGATATACCCCACAACCTAAAGGTAAACTGGGAAAAAATGCTAGTTGCATTAATTCCTCCATTGTACAATTAATTGTTACTTGTTCCATAAGAATTAATTTGTGCCAATTTTGACTTGTCCAGAATCCTATCAAAGGCTGTTGATGGTGATAATGATGAACTTTCCTTTCAGGTAAACGAGATAAGAATTGAAAAACTATACGATGGCGTTGCTGCTAACTTCCAGGAGGATATTGCCGTCTTGATATTGTCCACTCCATTCAACTACACGACGTATATTCGTCCCGTGTGTCTCGATTTCAATTTGAACTTTGAGAATTTTCAACTACAAGATGGCGTCTATGGAAAGGTATGTTTCGATTCCCGCTTACTACAAATATTTCATATGGACTGTTGGTCATCCGTGTGGTGACGGATTAAGAATACGGAGTGTCACCACCACTATTCATCTCATGGGTGTCGTAAGAGCCGACTAAGGGAACAAACTACAGGACAACAGCACTGCAGAGAGAAGGAAAACTTGAGACAAACCCTATACCAACAAATATGGCCAGCGTAATATAGTAGGATAAAACCTCCTATTGAAGGAGAGGCCTATGACCAGCAGTGACTATTAAAGGCTGTTGATGATGAGTGTATGTCTGCTATCGCGGTGAAAAGTAGTCTATGTTACTTGCTCATAATGTAGCTTTCCATTAGTAAAATTATTTTTAAAATCGGTCTAGTGGTTTAGGCGTGAAAGCGTAACAAACAGACAAACACACTTTCACATTTACAAAATAAGTATGGCTGTATGTTTATCAGCAGTCTGGTTACCATAGTAGAGGCTCTGCCTAGTTTGAGATCAGACGGTCGTGTGTGAGATGTCACACATCACACATCATCACATCAACAGCCTTTACTAGTCCACTGCTGGACATAGGCGTCTCCTTAAAAGGGAGGTTTTGGCCTACTATACCACGCTGGCCAGACGGGTTGGTATAGGGGTTGTTGCAAGTTTTCCTTCTCTCTGCAGTGCTGTTGTCCTGCGTAGTTTGCTTCCTTAGTCGCCTCTTACGACACCCACGGGATGAATAGGGGTGGTGACACTCTGTATTCTTAATCCGTCACCACACGGACTCGGTGTGAGATGTGTAAGGTTATTATTATAACATTTATTTTTTAGTTAGCTGGATGGGGTCTAACATCTCCTAACGGCCCACCTTCAGAATCTCTGAAGGTCCTCAGTCTGCCATTCATCAATGAGGACACCTGTATTAGCACTCTTCCTGACGCATTCAGAGGATATATTACTGGCGATAAATTTTGCGCAGGATATACAAATGGTAAGTGTCAGGAGTAAGACAGAAAGAGAGTGAGCAATAAAAGAAAGAATGCTGGAGAAGAATAAGAGACGGGCCTTTTGGTGTATTTTCAGATTCAGATTGTTTATTTGCATAACGCAGGTATTATTTACATGGTATTCAATTCACAAACAGGTTCACTGTGCTTTACCACTATGGGTGTGCAAATTTTCAATTTGTACATTTATAATTGCGTATAATTTAAACATAACTTAAAATAACCTATAGGTATATTATTAGCATCATTGATTACTATAAAAAACTGATACATAAAATGTCAAATATTCAAAGTCAAACTAATGTCAAAATAATCAATTAATGTCATGAAGATAAAACAATAATTATAAAAAATAAAAAATAAAACACTACAAATTGTTAGAGATAAAGTCTAATACATTATATTAACATTTTTTAATGAGGAGCTTTTTTAATTGAGACTTAAATGTACTTTATAAATTTAATGGAAAGACTAAAATAATGTGACACTCAAAACATATAAAAAAATATCTTCTGGTTTGTTTGAAGTCGGTGCTGAGACGAATAATAGCGGAGGATAGGTGTTACAGTACATTGAAGCTCAACCATATTTAACCAGTGGCTTGCAAACATTTTTGTATTAGGCTAAGAAACATGCTTTTAGACTCAATCCGCAATAATATTAATTTTAAGTCTTAACATTAGGTAATAAAAATCAGTAATGACACAATAGTAAACACACAATACCAGCTCCACACTAGACATCCAGATAATATATCAATAATCATAGCACTTAAATAATTTTATTTTCCGATAAAAGTTCTGTAGTAGTGGAGTAGGAGCAGAGGAGGAAAAATAATTGTGGGATGACCACGATCATACTTATGTTATTTATTTATTTTATTTATTGAGACTTCCTGCAAACATATTGCATAAGGCGGACTAATACCACGGGCATTTTCTTCCAGTCAAACCTTTGGGTTTTGCAAAGGTGTGTGTGGCAGGTGTATATTTGGGACAGGTAAGGATGAAACTGAATTAAAGAATGTTACAAAAGGAGAAAAAAATCCTACTGATATATAGCTACTAGGTAAACAAACATATAAATATCAAAATATCTATCTAATATATAAAATTCTCGTGACACGGTGTGCGTGGTTGAACTCCTCCGAAACGATTTTCGATTTTCGCCGATTTTCGCGAAATTTTGTGTGCATATCGGGTAGGTCTGAGAATCGGCCAACATCTACTTTTCATACCCCAATTATTATTTTTTTGTCAATTTTTTTTGAAATAATGTTTATGGCAAAACAACGTTTGCCGGGTCAGCTAGTAATATATATAATACATATATAATAAAGATACTCTTAAAGTGTTATTCTGTTGACTCCGTCAGCAAGCCTCTATAGAGCTTCAGTACTTTAAACTTAACAGTGAATTATGTTCTGTGTCTGTTTGTAATTTATCTATTATCTTTATATATATATATAATTCTTCTGTGTGTATGTGACTGAACTCCTAAACGGCTGTACCAATATTGATAAAAAAATGTGTGTTTCCAAGTGGGTTCGAGAATGGTAAAAGTTTAAAATTTTCGGATCTAAGACGTGTGTACAGGACAACGTTTGTAGGGTCCGCTGGAATGTATGTATTTATAAATATATAAATATACCCTGCCTGCTTCAGTACAGGAACAAGGGCCTATGTCCAGCAATAGGCTATTAAAGGCTGTTGATCGTGGTTGCACATTGTGGTAGCAAAAGATAAATAAAAACCATCTTTGATACCGGTTTTATATCGTGTAAAAATTTAAACTCAATTGGTGTAGAACTTTTTGAGTTTTTTAAGCGTAAACAAACCGACTTTACATTTTTTAATATTTAAATTTATCAGTAGTCTGGTTAACATAGTACAGGCTCTGCCTAGAGAGCCGTGTGTGAGATGTGTTAAGTTATTAAAATTAACGAGGAAAGTGTATATTACACGGATCTTCATAAAAAAATCTGCAAAAAAAATGTATTAACTAAATAGAAATGGCAAATTCGGTATGTTTTTGTTACAGGTACGGCTGTGTGTCACGGTGACAGCGGAGGCGGGCTTGCCTTCCCATCTCAAGAGTTTGGCAGAGACCGGTATTACCTTAGAGGAATAGTATCTACTGCACCTAAAGACGACAACAAAATGTGCAATGACAAAGCTTATACCACGTTCACTAAAGTTACGAGGCATCAGAAGTTAATTATTGAGTACTTATCTATTCTGACAATCTTACTTATCGTACTAAAGCTTGGGTAGAGATACCCACGCATCTTACACAGGGCTGTCTGATTCCAACGGATTGAGTAATGGTTTACGTGGTCACCTCGCCGCTTCCTACTGCACTGAGGGTTCGATCCTATCAAGAGACAACACTTTGTGTGATCTACAATTTATTGTTCTGAGTTTGGGTGTTCTTTGTTTCCGTTTCATGTATGTTTGTCATCTCAAACTCAAACTCTCTTTATTTCATAAAATTTTCAAAATTGCTGGAAATCGTCTTTTACGTAGACTCTAAAGTCAGATCAACACACACAAAAGCAACAATCTCTGTTTTGTCAATTAGTAAGCAAATAAATTTAACAAAAATCAAACCCATGCAAAATATATGATATGCCTGTGCCGATCTACAACCGCCCGTTTCCAAGGGGTTGAGCCTTATGAGAATAAAGGGCAAACAAACTCATGGCCACTCTTTTGCAATTCACAGATAGATACAATGGCACTATTAAATATACCACAACATTGTTTTGATGTGTGCTAGTATCTGTCGTATGACACACCTACACAGTCTTCTGATGTCAAACTAGACAGAGCCTGTACTATAGTAACCAGACTGCTGATAAACATACTTATATATTTCTAAATCTGTATTTAGAAATATATAAGTATGTTTACATATCTATACAGAACAAATTATCGTGTTCATCACAAAATTATTTATTCTGGGGGAGGGGGGGGGTATCAACCCACGTCATCCGGCTTAGCAGTTAGGGTCACTAGGCACTAGGCACTAAGCAAAAAACAGATTGGGATGAAATCTGGCATAATATATAGTTTTAACCTCTGGATTAACAACCGTGGTGAACGAATCCCATGCGGGTGTAATCTAGTTTCCTTGTATTTAATATAGGTATACGTGAATAGAATTGTTATACATATCAGGGATTAATCCAAAATTGTAATAATGTAAAACTTATTTAAATAAAAAGGGTAGAAAACTAAACATTTTCAGCAATATTTCTTACAAGCTTTTAGTATTCCATATTAAACTAAGCGTAGCACATATACAGTAGATTCTAGAATACGGAGAATACGGAGGAAAAATACTTAGAAACGTCGGTCATTATTTCTGTTATAGATTTTACTTTATAAATCCATTTCTACATTATTATATCAAGAAACACCCAGAAGGTTGCAAAAGACCGGTGTTTGGAAAGCCCCAGCCGGGAGAAGTTGGGCTCCCTCTAATTTCAAGAATTCTGAAATGAAAGTCACTCGAAGGACGGTAACGCACTTGGGTATCTTAAGCTGCATGCGTTATGGACAGCACCCGTTTGCACCATATACCAAAATAAAAATTATAATCAAAATTTCTTGTACTAATCAGGCATCAAACTCAAAACTGATTTGAATCAAATCAATAATGGCTTCATCTAATTTTTTTTTGTGGTATAAGGGGGCAAACGAGCAGACGGGTCACCAGATTCTAAGCAACTACCGCCGCCCATGGACACCTGCAACTCAAAAGTCATAAATGCGTTGCTGCCCATGGAGTCACTCCTGCTCGAGTCAGCGGGAGGGGGGATTTGGGCTCCGGTAACCTCACTCACTCAGTGAAAGGCAACGAAAGAATTGCTTAACACCGGTTTTCTGTTTTCTTTAAAGTTTATTTCTAAATCTTTTTCTCTTCTGTAATCTGAACGTAAGAAACTTGCTCATTGTTTTCTTTTCTTTTCAAGAGCGCTAGCAGAAAGCAACAAGAAGATTTGTCCGTTGTATTCGTTTCAGTGTGCGGATGGAACTTGTGTGGATCCGGGAGCTGATTGTAATGGGGTAAAAGTTTATTTTTAACACGCTATTATTAGCTTCATTTGTAACTAATAAACCAAATAATCTGCTAACCAACTATGTAACCATGAAACTAACTAATAAATTAACATGGACAAATTTTGGATGCCAATTCACTAAAGAATATACCGTATTGGATATGAAATAAATATTATTCTATTCTATTCTATTCTATTCTATTCTATTCTATTCTATTCTATTCTATTCTATTCTATTCTATTCTATTCTATTCTATTCTATTCTATTCTATTCTATTCTATTCTATTCTATTCTATTCTATTCTATTCTATTCTATTCTATTCTATTCTATTCTATTCTATTCTATTCTATTCTATTCTATTCTATTCTATTCTATTCTATTCTATTCTATTCTATTCTATTCTATTCTATTCTATTCTATTCTATTCTATTCTATTCTATTCTATTCTATTCTATTCTATTCTATTCTATTCTATTCTATTCTATTCTACTCTACTCTACTCTACTCTACTCTACTCTACTCTACTCTACTCTACTCTACTCTACTCTACTCTACTCTACTCTACTCTACTCTACTCTACTCTACTCTACTCTACTCTACTCTACTCTACTCTACTCTACTCTACTCTACTCTACTCTACTCTACTCTACTCTACTCTACTCTACTCTACTCTACTCTACTCTACTCTACTCTACTCTACTCTACTCTACTCTACTCTACTCTACTCTACTCTACTCTACTCTACTCTACTCTACTCTACTCTACTCTACTCTACTCTACTCTACTCTACTCTACTCTACTCTACTCTACTCTACTCTACTCTACTCTACTCTACTCTACTCTATACTCTATTCTATTCTATTCTATTCTATTCTAAATATGCCATACACACATACATAATATAATATACAAATTAAAATAATATTATCACTTACATATGTTAACAGATAGATCATTCTTCATTTGAATTAATACTGTAGTAGTAATTAATACATTTACAGTAAACCAAAGGACCGATTATGATTATCATATCACATGGCATGCCACTTACCACGTAATTAAAAAAAGTTATTGCCCAAATCGGTTCTATTTTGCTGTTTTATCATAACCAGCCTATCGCCGAAGCCGTCTACTGCTGAAGGAAGGCCTATTTGTAAGACATATGTTTATTACCTCAGAATTCTGTCATATACCGGTTTGAAAAAAAAAAAAATTGAGTGTGTTCTTTCTGTTTTGTCCCATAAATAAACGTTATTATTATTTGATATCTGAAGAGAAACTACAACTTTTAAGGCTGAAAACTTGAGGAGTTAATTTGATGTCAGCACAATACCGGTAGTTCTGGCGAACCATGAAGGAGAACCACGAAAGAGACATGTGCAAAGCAGTGGACGTCTTTCGGCAGAAATGACGATGAATACAGTTTATTATAATTCATCATGATGCAGGCATATAATAGTCGGTGATACCTTTTTTTTTTTAAAAGTTTTAAAAGTTATTTATTGTTAACAGAGACAAGACTGCGCAGACGGTTCTGATGAATCTGATGACTTATGTCGTGCCGCACCACCTCAAGAGAGTTTGTAAGATATTCTTTTAAACAACTCTATTTCTTTGTTGTCTGAGAAGTACAATTGAAGGATTCCAAGAAAATCCATATCAAAAATAGTGACTTCCAAGTCTTTCTGGCGTCCCAAAAAGACAGACAAACGAGTATGCGACCTTGGCCTTTTCGAGGTACTGTAGAAATTATATAGTCCCGTTTTTCCATACGAGACTTACGATATTCCGAAACGCAATAAAAAATAAGTTCAAACAGCTGCTTAGTTTAAAATCAGATGGCGTTGTGTGTCAGATGTCCGAAATATTATTGGTATCGGAAAGCTGATTGGCAGTGAATAATGCTAACAAAAGTTTGTAAAGTTAGTAAATTGTCAAATTCAATTTCTCACTTCAAAAGTAAATTCTCCTTTTGCCTGAAATGTTTAGCGTTTTACTTTAATCACGGGTTATTTTACACCTAACTTTTTCCGACCATATTTTTCTGTAACTCTTTATAGTCCTTACAACATTACTTTTGTAGTTAAATATAACTAAATAAAGCTTGATATTAATATATATAGTGTCTCAGTGTTCCCTAGGCTTATTATTATAGAAATATAAGCGAAATATTACTACTAATTTGCCAATATTATCTTAAATTCCAGACAACCAACTCAGAAACCTATCATCAATATTGATTGCGGCAGAATCGCAGAAAAAGTTCAACAGCGACCTATAATTTTAAAAGGAAACACATACAGCAAAGGTGATATACCTTGGCTTGCAGCTGTCTATGAGACTGTACAAAATACCTTAACTTATCTATGCGCGGGAACTCTTATAACTAAAAGGCATGTTGTAACTGTCGCTCATGCTTTTCGCCAAAAGACCATTGCATCTTTAGTCAATAGCATCGTGGTGAAATTGGGCACTTCCAACTTAGAGGACTGGGCAGAAGATTCAGCCGTAAACAGAAAATTGGTTTCGATAAATTTGATCGAATCTTTTGATACAACTTCTCTTGCAAACGATCTCTCAATTCTTACTTTGAATAGGCAAGTGGAGTTTACTGTATATGTAAGACCGGCTTGTCTGTGGGATCGTAGAGAGTTTTCAGGAGACTCTGGAATATTTGCCGGATGGGGGAAAGAGAGGGAATTAAAATTTGGTGATCCTCACATATTGAGATTAAAAATGGTGAGCACAGCTGTTTGTCGGGCCAGTAATAAAGCTTTTGAATATGTGACTTCGGATAAAACTTTCTGTGCAAGAGGTGTTAAAAATGGAACGAACCCCTGTGCAGGGGATGCCGGAGGGGGTTTATTCTTGCTAGATGGTGACCAGTGGTGGCTTCGTGGTGTTGTATTTTTAGCGCTACCACCACGGTCTGAAAATGAGTTATGTAATTTAAATGAGTATGCTGTATTTACCGATGTGTCGCAATATTTGCCGTGGATTAGAAGTGTTATATCGGATAATATTTAGAATCGTTAGATTTAATAAATATATTGAAAATCTTTTGTCGTTTTATTTTTTAAACTTGAACAACACAGTATAATATTTTTGAATATTTTAATACATTATTTTGAGTTATCTTCTATACAAATAAATAAAATTGGAGTGTCTGTTTGTAATGTCAAAAAAAATGGGTTTTTTCATGCTCACACGGTTATTTGCACGATACATATGCCTAAAAAACCAGTTTAAAATTATTTGTTTGCCTGTTTGTCAACTGTCCGTGTGGTAACGGATTGAGAATACAAATTGTCACCCGTATTTATGTATTCATCCCGTGAGTGTCGTAAGAGCCGACTAAGGGAGAAAATCACGCAGAACAACCGTAGTGCAGAGAGAAGGAAAACTTGACACAAACCCTTTTTTTTTTTTTTTTTTTTTTTACGTGTGGAAATCCCCTCGGACCGTCACCCCTCCGGGGTTTGCGGCGGGGTGGTGTGTCGGACTCGGACCGACTAAAACCACACGGTGTGCCACTCTGCGCCTGTCCACCCGCGGCCACACTCAGGGCGGCATGAGGCTGTGGTAGGCGGGCCTCCGCCGCCCGGTTCGCCGGCGGCGGATCGGGTCCGAGTGGAGGTCGTCCTCCCGGGCCCTCTCCGCCGCCTCCTTCCGCGAGATTACTACCTCGCAGAAGGTTGCGACCGCGGTAAAACAACTGTTGCTACCGGCCATGGAGCGTACTACGGCCGGTAGCGAGAGATCCACTCCGATGACTGCAGTGAGGGCCCGGCGCTGCGCCGCCCATGCGGGGCAGACCGCCAGCGTGTGCTGGGCCGAGTCCTCACTGCAGTCGCAGTGGTGGCAGGCGGGACTCAGTTCCCTCCTAGCGACCGTGTGCAGGTACATTCCGAAGCAACCGTGCCCGGAAAGCACCTGCGTCAGCCGGAAGGAAAGGGTCCCGTGCTGCCGCCCTGCCCACTCGGCGATGACCGGCTGGAGAGCCTCCACGGCGGCCAAGCCAGCGCGTGGAGTCTCCAGCCGGAACGACCAACGAGCCATCGTGGCTCGGCGAGCGGCTTCGCGCCACTCGCGCACATCCTCGGGCGGAGGGCGAAATCCGCTCTCCGCCCGGAAGTCAGCCACTCGCCGATAAACTTCGGCGAGCACTTCCGCCTCCAAATCCCACGGGGGAGTTCCGGCCAACGCGCATGCCACCTCCGTCGACACGGTGCGGTAGCCGCGTATGGCTCTGACCGCCATTACCCTCTGAGGGCGCCAGAGGCGTACCCTATTCTGGGCGGTCAAAGCCGCCGCCCACACCGGTGCACCGTACAGTGCCATTGACCGGACAACCCCCGTGTACAGCCGTCTTGTCGCGACGCTGGGTCCACCCATATTGGGCAAAAGTCGCCCTAGGGCAGACGCAGCGCCGACCAGCTTTGGAGCAAGCTGTCGGAAGTGCTCGTCGAAGAGCCACCTCCCGTCGAGGATCAGGCCCAGATATTTCATCTGGGCCCGAACCGGTACGAGGACCGAGTTGACCACGATTGAGGCGCCAGGGGGTGGACCACGACGGGGCCCATGAAATAACAGGGCCTCCGTCTTATCTAGGGCCACCCGTAAGCCCAGCGCCTCAATGCGCCCGACCACCAGGGAGACTCCCCCTGTGGCCAGGCGCGCCGCCTCTTGGAAGTTTGCCCCCCGGGCTGTAACCAGTGTATCGTCTGCGTAACAGATTACACCCAGCCCGGGGGGGAAATATGTTCCACAAGAGGGGTCCAAGAACAGACCCCTGTGGAACACCGCACGACATGGGCCGACACCTCAAATTACCTTCTCGGTCCTCGTACACGACGGTACGCTCCTCTAAATAGTCTGCCACTAGCCGCCTCAGGTACTTTGGCACCCCATGATAGTGGAGTGTTTCCCTGACTGACTGATTGGCAGACTATTGAATGCGTTGGCGATGTCTAATGACACCGCCAACAGCACGCCGCCACAGCTCACGGCCTCTTCGGTCACGGCCCTCAGGCGCAACACCGGCGTCGACTGTCGAACGCCCCGCCCGAAAACCAAATTGGGCGTCCGACAGATCGGGGCCCACCTCGCAGAGGTGCCGGACGATGCGGGCAGAAAGAACCCTCTCAAACAATTTGCCCGCCTCGTCCAGCAGCACGATGGGCCTATAGGCCGCGACCGAATCGGCAGGCCGTCCCGGCTTCCTCAATAGGACCAGCTTCCCGCTCTTCCAGCACTCATTGAAGCGTCCCGACGCCAAGCTAGCGTCGAACACCTCCCCGAGGCGGTCTGCCATGTGGTTGAGGGCCAGGGCCAGCACTCGGGCCGGTACCCCGTCTGGCCCAGGGGCGGTGTTCTTGGAACGGATCCGTAGAACAGCCGCCCCTACCGCCGAATCCCGGACGGGCGGAACATTGTCCTCCCCGTGCTCCCCGTCGTCTCCGGGCCAGGGAGGCCATCGACGGGGGAGTGTGTTCCGCTCGTTGTGGGAAAAGGCCCTCAACCACTTCTCGCAGGAAGCTGGGCTGGAGAGTCTCCGTAAGGGGGGGGGCCCGACGCGCGGAGCTTTTGTCGCACCGCGCGGTAAGGGCGACCCCAGGGGTCACGATTAAGACCCTCCAGCATCTCCTGTCTCTTTTCCTCTTTGGCGCGGCTAATGGCCAGCTTCAGAGTTTTCCGAGCCCGTCGGTACTCCTCATGAAGCCGGTCCTCCTCACCGTCTCCACGGTGACGCCGCCGACTGCGTGTGTAGGACCTCCGGGCACGGCTACAGGCCGCACGGAGGTCCGCCAGCTCCTGGGACCACCAGTAGACCTCCTTCCTTGGAGGCCGACGACCTCGAATGCGGGGCATGGCCGCATCGCAGATATGCGTAATCGCATCGCGAAAGCGACCAGCCCCCACGTCAACCTCCTCGGTCGGAGCCTGTGGAGACAGCCACGAGTGTATTATGGCTGCCTCCTCTAGTAGGTCCCGGTTCAGTCTGGCAACAGCCCACCGCGGAAAGCGGGATAAACGCCGCGCCACGTGACCCCTACTGGAGTCCTGGGTCCGGGAGAGCTCAAATCGGATGTACAGGTGATCCGAGAGCGTCTCGACCTCTTCCAGGACACGCCAGTTCCTTACTCGTGCGGCGAGGGCAGGGGTAGCGAACGAGAGGTCCACTATCGACCCCCCCTGCTGTCGCACGCACGTGTTGGTGGAGCCTCTGTTGAGAAGACAGAGGCCCACCGAGGCCGCCCACTCCTCTACGGCCTCGCCCCTTGCGTCCGTCCTGGGGGAACCCCACGCAATGGACTTTGCGTTGAAGTCCCCCAGCACAAGGACGTGCCCAGACGCTAGTCGCCGTATCGAGGTCTCCAAGCTGGTTAGGAAAACCTCGAAGTCGTTCAAACTCCGGTTGGGGGAGAAATAAACACCATATATGGTGATCCCCCCCCACTCGACGGCAACATATCCAGTGCCCTTGTCTCTTAGCGACAAGGGCGGGGAATGAGCCGTCGTGGAACCGACGACTGCCACGGAGCCGTCCCGGTCACCCATCCAGTTTGGACGGGGGAGGGACAGAATAGGGCTCCGCGACTACGGCAACACCTATCGACCACTGTGCCATGGTTTGCAGGAAGAGATCCTGCGCCGCGGCACAGTGGTTCAGGTTCGTCTGGACCAGGAGGCTGGAGACCCGATCCATTACTGGATCGTCTCTACAGCCTCCTCCATGGGCGACGACGTCGACGCACGAACTACATCGGAGGTAGCCTGGGTCGACTGGCTAGCCCCCGATGCTTGCTGAGAGTTGCGGGGAGGCTTGCAGCCCCCCTTCCCCATCTGGTGATTGGCGGGCTTGTTACCCGCCGCACACACCGGGCAGTGAGGAGCGTCAGAGCATTCCACCGCCACATGCCCCGGTCGACCACAGCGGAAACATAGTCCGCTGCAGTCGAAGCAGCTTTGGCACTTGACGCGCGTGTGCCCCGATGCTAGGCATTTGTAACACCTCATCGGTCTCGCCGCCAGGACTGTGATCCTAGCGCTCACGAAACCGATGAGCAGCCTGCCGGCGTCAGCCAATACTTTGGCCGACGCTACGGGACAGCTGACCCACACGGCGCCAAGCCCCCCTGGACCGGGGCGGATGGTGCCAACCCTGACGTTGTCCGCGCTGCACCCCGTCTTCTCCCGGATTACAGCGCGGACATCTTCGGCCGTCACAGAGTCGTCCAGGCCAGAGATGCGCAGCTCCGCGCACTTGGTAGGCCTGGCGATCTTGACACCATCTGTGGTCGCGAATAAACCCCGCAGCCTCTCAGCGAAAGTGTCCGCCGTCTTGGCGCCTTCAGCCCCTGGGAACTCGAGAACTCGAGCTCCCGTTTGGGCGAGGCGCATTTTGACCCCCACCGTCCCAAAGTCGTTGGCGAGGCTGTCCCGGGCCTTTTTAAAAACGGCCGCGTGGGACAGCCCGCCGTCAGCCGCCTCCGGGGACACGGTCACAACTACAGCCGCGGTTTTGGGCGGCTGCAGCTTCCGCGGCCTCTTTGCAGAGGCCGTTGCCACCGGTGGCGAAGGCTGGGCTTGGGCTGCTTTTTGGGCAGCCCTTCTGGCCCGCCTTCGGGACTTCTTGGAGCCCCTCGCCTCCTGCCAGCCCTCGTTGGAGGGGGCAGGTGCGGAGGGGCCCGGCAGGGGTGTCGGAGTGGGGAGCGGAGGGAATGCCACTCCGCTCCTCGGCGCCGTTTTAGGCACCGTCTTGGCCGGCACTTTGGCCTGCGCCTTGGCCGGCGCCTGGGACGGTGCCTTGGCCGGCGCCTGGGCCGGTGCCTTGGCCCCCCTCCTCGGCTTTTGGGGAGCCGATGGAGTCGGGGCAGACGCCGCCGCCGCGTAGGAGACGCGGCCTCCCACTACGGGGAGCGCGGTCGGAGCGGCGGCCTTAGGCCGCTGTGCCGACGCGAGCGGGGGGCGCACAACCGGCGCAGGGGGCAGTCTCGCCTCCAGCCCCGCCAGGCGTCCGTCCA